AATCTCTTCTTCTTCTTCTTTTATAATAGATATCTATTCTTTTTTGCAGAGTATAAAAGCTAATTTATATATAGTTTATCTTATTAACTAGAATTCTTAGAATAATCTAATTTTTTATAGTTCTGTTCTCTCACATCTTTCTTATTATCTGCTATTATAATAATATTATTATACTTAATAATATTCTTATTATTTCTGTGATTTATAAATTATAAATAAATAAATTATTTTCTTCTTTAAAAAATATATTTAAAATAATCTAAGATTAATTTATTTTATAGAATATTAAGATCACAAACTAGATTTTAATTTAGTTTATAAATCTATTTATAATAAACTGATTTATTAATATCTTTATAAATATATTAATAATTTTATTAGATCTTTTTCTCTAAACAGAATTGCAGTCTCTATTTAATTAAAAAAAATATTAAATTATATAATTAATAATAAGATCTGTTTTTTTTATTAAATTTAATAATTATTATTAGCTAGAGATCCGGGCCTAGTTTTATAAAAGTTTTTTTATAACTAGAATTAATTAATATTTTTTCTCTGATTAAATATATAATATATATTATAATTTCTCAGGCTTGAGAATATTTATAATATATATTAATAATAATTATAATTAAAGATATAATAACTGTCTTTAGACTAATTATAAGATTTATTTTTTATAAATTAAGTAATTAATTAATTTATTTTTATTCTCGCAAGTATTTATTATATTTTATATTTTAAATTATAATTAAATAAAGATTATTATAAATAATTTTTTCTGTTATTTTATTATTTTATTTTTTTTTATTTTTAAATAAAAACTATATTTACAGATAAACTTTTTATAAAATTATAAATAATATAAACTTATAGCTAATTCTTAGATATTATTCTTATTAAAATAATTTTTTTATTTAATTAAGATTTTTAAGAATCTATTTTAACTCTATAAAATTAATAAGATCTTTAGATAATATTTATAATTATTTTTTTCTATAGAAAAGTACTTCTGTAAGTTTATTCTATCTATTTTATAATATTTATAAAATAATAATATATAAAATATATTATATATTTATAATTCCGCGAGTAACTTTAGTCTATAGACTTAAGAATTTATTTATTTAATAATATAATAGAATTTTCTGTTTTATAAATCTAGTTTCTTATTAGTTTATTTTTATAAAAGATATTTTATAAATAATTAAATTATTTTTTCTAATATAAAGCTTTTTATTTATTTTTTATAATTATAAAATTATTTCTGTTTTTTATAAATAGAAGTTAGATTTTTCTTTATTTTAATATAGATTTTCTAGATATATTTAATTTATTTAGAGACTTTAATCTCTGCTTTTTTTTTTATAAGAGTTTATTTTAATTACTTATAAATATTTTACTATAATAATATAAAAAATAATTTTTTATAGAGCTTTATAAGATATTATTATATATAAATTTTATAATAGATAAAAAATTTATTTAATTATTTTATTTAAAATTAATATAATTTTATAAATATTACTTAAGAATATTATTTAATTTTTTAATCTAATTATTAATTTATAAATAATAAACTATACTTAGCTCTTTCTTTATCGCGAGTATATAAATAAAGTCAGATTAGAAATTTTTTATAAAAATATTATTATAATCTATAATAACTTTTATAAATATATTATATAAATAAAAAATCTTCTTAATAAAGATTTTTATAAGATTCTTTTTATTAAAATTTTTTTATAAGAAAATAAAATAGACTATCTTATTATATTAGTCTATTATTATTAAAATATTATTAAAAATCTTTTATAAGTTTTTAATAATACTAGTACTTGTAGATAAATTAGTAATAAAATTTATTATTATTTTTTTTTAAAATTTTATAAATATAAATAAAGATTCTAGCAGTTTTTATTATTTTTTATAAATTATTTTATTATTTTAATATATTCTGCAGATCTGATAGTACTTATTTATAAAATTATTTATTTTTAATTATTAAAATTATTATAATATTAATATTAGTATTTTCTTATTTATAAAATAGCCTGTAATAGAATTATTATATAGTTTTATAAATATTTAAAGCTTAAAAATATATTTATCTAAAATATATAATTATCTTTTTTTTTATAAGAAATCTTTATAATTTTTTTATTATAAAATCTTATCTATTTTTTCTTTTTTTATAATTTAAAATTTTTAGAGTTTTTTAATTCTTTGCAGATTTTTATATTTATTAATTTTTTATTAATATTATAAACACTGCGGCTAGCAGCTCTGCAAAAGAATTTTTATAATATAATATTTTTATAATAATAATATTATCTATTATTTTTTTTTTATAATTTTCTATATATTTAAAATATACCCGCAAGTAAGAATCTATCTAATATTTATAAATAAGATTTTTATCTTTATATTTTCTGATTTCTATAGTCTAAATAAATTAGATAATTATTATAAAACTAGTTTATCTAGTTTTTTATAATTTTTAATTATTATTTTTTTTTTATAATTTAAATATTATAAAAATATATCTGCGGGATTCTATATATCTGAATAATAAATAAAATAAAATTAAAATATTATAAGTTATTATATTTATTATATTTATCTTTATAATAGCTCTGGACTTATTACAAAATATTTAAGATTTTTATAATTAATAAATATCTTTATTATAAGATCTGTTTTTTTTAATTAATAATACTATTTTTTAAATAACTCTATTATTATAAGTAATTTTTAATTATAAATTTTATAATTTCTTTTTACTATAATTATTTTTTATAAATAAAATATAATTAAAATTTATTAACTATTTATATTTCTTTATAATAATATATTATTAATTATAAAATTAGATATATTTATTTTAATATATATTTATTTTTTTTTTTAAAATAAATTATTATAATATTTTCTGTGAATATTATTTTCAGCTACTTGAAGTTTTTATAAATATTAATTATAAAAAATTTTATATCAGATTTTTTTTTCTTTTTTTTATAGAATTTCTTAATAAAATCTATAAATAGAATTATTATTTATAAGTATTCTTAAATAAATTATTAATATTAGTTTATAAATTTTATAAATTATAATATATTTTTTATATTTTATAGCTCTAATTACTTATAAATTATTATAATTTATTCTGATTTTATTTATATATTTTTATAGCTAATAATAAAATTAAGAAAATTAATCTTTATTTATATAAAATAATACTTACTTATTTTTATATATAGTTCTGCTTTAATTAAAATTTATATAATTTTATAAATTTATTTTTTATATATCTCTAGATCTTGTAAGTATATTATAATATTATTAAAATAAATAATTATAAAATTATTTAGATACTCCGCGAATAAAAAGTTTATAAATTCTTAAAATCCCGCGAATATATTAATTAATCTGAATAATATAATTAAATATTTAAATAAATTATATTTTATTTAAAAAATTATTTTTTATTTATAATCTACTATAATTTTTATTTTATAATAGACTTTATAAAAATTAAATTATATAAATTATTATATTCCCGCAAGCTGATTAATACAGTTATTAATTTATAATAATAAATATTTATTTTTAATAATTTATTTATTTAGCTCGCGGTAATTAATATATATTTATAAATTTTTATTTTTTTTTTTCGCGAAGAGAACTAATATTTTAATAAATAATTTTAAGTATTAAATCTATTTATATATAAAATATTCTTATAAATACTCTCAGAGTATTTTCTGTTTTATAGATAATATTTTATAAATTAATCTTATTTTTAATTTATAATCTTTTTTTAGATTAATCTTTAGATTAATATTTAATTATAAAAATAAATAACTTATTATTTTATTTTTTATAAATATTATTTTAAACTTATAAAATTATTTTAATAATATTTTCAGATTTATCTTTTTATAGACAGATTTAATTATTATTATTTATAATTATTTAATCTCTGATTTTTTTGCAAGAAACTCTATTATAATAATATATTATATCTTGATTTATTATCTTTTATAAAATCTTAAATAATATTAATTAAACTCTATAACAGAGATCTCTGTTCAGATTTATAATATATTTAATATAATTTTTTTTATATTAGATATTATAATAGTAATTTCTTTATAAATCTTATAATTATTTTTTATATTTATAAAATTTATTTTAAATATTATTGTGATAGGATCTACTTGTCAGGGTAGAAAGCCTGTTGACTAGGTAAGGAATCAATCATGAAACACTGTGTATTTGTTTAATAATAATAAAGATAGTCTATATCCATAAGATAGACTGATTCTTGAAGAATCAGTAGCTTCTTATAAAAAGATTAATATTTTATAAATATCGGAGAGATATAGAATTACTATTAATAATCTTATAACTCTTATAATTACTATAATATATTATCTTGATAATCTTTATCCCGATAGCTGGATTATTTTATTATAAATAGTACTTTTCTTTGCTGGGACAAGCCATCTGGCTCGGATATTAAAAATAGTCTTATATATTCCTGATTTGGAACAGTGAGGATCTGATAGTAAAAGATAGAGAACTCGCGGGATATATAGTATAAATAGAGTTATATACTATTTCTATATAGCTTTATAAGTATTTAGTTATTTTTATATAAGTGAATCTTCTGCGAAGAAGTATAAATAAAAGAATCTCTTATATTATATTTATATAGATAGATTCTCTGCAAAGAAGTATAAATAAAAGAATTTTTTATATTATTTCTTTTTTTTCTTCTCTTCTGCTTTATAATTATTATTTTTTTAGTAATTTATAATTATTCTCTTTATATTTCTTTGTTATTTTGTGTAATTTTTATTATTTTTATTTATATTATATTACTGTTATTTTCTTCTTTATCAGATATTAGTCTTGTTCTTAATTATTTCGCGATAATAAAGAGAATAGTATATTTTAAGCAGAATATTCTTATTAAAGCCTGCTATAATTTCTGCATGCACTGTCTGAGATATATAAATAATAATTTTGATTCTAAGAAGAATACTCTGTATAATATTAGTTATTTATTAAATATAAAAATATCTATTCTATATTATTTTTATTTCGCGAGAAAGAAGATTTATAATCCTGTGAGTTTTATATATTCTATATTATATATATATAATTTACTAATATTTCTTAAGTCTGCAACTGGTCTGCTAGAAAATATTTATAATCTTATAAAGATTATTAAATAGACTACTCTAATTCTAAAAAAAGAATATTAGAATAATAATATTAAGTAGACTATTTATAAAGAGATTTATATTCTTATAAAGATATTTGACAGTATAAAGAGTATTTATATTTATAAATTTTTATTAAAGAATATTAAGACTATCAAGTATATAAGTTTTTATTATAATTAAGAGATAAGATTTTTGTGATTTTATTATTAATATTTTATTAGAAGTTTACTATTAAGTATATTAAGTTTATTAAGATTTATTATATTTTTTTAATATAGTTAGTTTTTTATTCTGATCTCTGCACCTTGCTGAAGAATTATTATATTTATAAAATAAGAATACTATTATATTTACTATCCGATAATTTAGAATATATAGATTAGATTTCTACTCTATAGAACTTTCTTAATTTAGTAAGAGTTATAATATATATTTAATATCCGGATATTAATAATAATAAATTAACTTTGGATAATAAGAATAATATTATTAAATTAATTATAGATTTCTGTATTCTTCTTCTGAAGTCTACTTTTTTTATAAATATTTCTAAATTATAATAAAAGAGTCTGATTATTATTATTATTTATCTTATAAATAGATAATAAATATAACTAAATATATTTAAGTATCTTCTGCTATCTTATAGTAGAATAATTTTATATTTATTAATATATTTAATTTATAATAATATAATTAATAAGAAATATTAAGAGATTAATATTTCTATAGTTTATTTCTTAAGAATATAAAGAGATTTATTAGTGATTATCTTTTATTTTTTTAATATATAATATTTTTTATAGTATTTTTAGTATTATTTTATAGCTTCGGGTGTATTTTCTATATTTTTACTAAAAATTTATTAATTATATTTACTTAATTATTCTTTTTATTTAATTAGATAGTAATTCTGACTGTTATAATATTAATAATCTTTAATTTTTTTAACTTTCTATTTATCTTTGTTGTCTAGCTTAGATATTAGAAGCAGTTTTTTATAATCTTTTTCAGTATTCTATAATTTTAATAAGAAGATATAGAATATATTATAGATTTGTCTATATTTCTCAGATAAATATAATTAATATATCTGAGATTTAATATATTTAAGAATCTGAAAAAGATTTATAAATTTTAAAATCAGCTTTCTTAATTCTTTGAGTTGTAAGTTCTAAGTTAATAGCTTAATTAGATTTTTTTTTTTAAAGTAAAATAGCTTTCTGCGCTTATTATAATATTTTTTTTGTTTTTTTATAGCTATTTGCTATATTTTTTGTAGCTGTTTTCTTATTTCTCTAAGTTTCTTAATTTTATTCTGTATTACTGAGACTTCTCGCTGTTAAGAATTAATCTTAATTCTAATATAAAAATCCGGCGAAAAATTATAAAGAATATTATAAGATAATTGACCTGTGATTGTATTATCTGTGTTATTGTAGATAAATTAAGTATTTAAAAGAATTAATAGCTAATTAGTATTATACTGGCTGGAGTAATATTAGAGATAATATTTAAATATTTAATTTATCTATTTTGTTTAGCTATTGATTTGAGGATGAAACACAGTTAAAAGTCTTAAGATTATATAATTATTATAGACTAAATTTAATCAGAATTTACTAATAAAAATTAATTCTTAATTAGATATAATCTTATTTAAGAGTCTGAAGATTAATTTAATCTATTTATAAAATAATTTAGCAAGATTTAGAGCAGTTATTATAGACAGAATAATAAAGAAAAGATAGTATTTTAAGAATTAATTAATAATAACTAGAATAGTATTAATAATTTTTCTATATTAAATAATAGAAGGCAGCTCTGTAATAAAATCTATTATTAATTTAATAAAGAGATATAATAAAATTAGTAATAATTTAAAATTATTATATAATTAATACTTTGGAGCAGTAGTTTCTTGATATATTAAATAAATTTAAATATATTTGACTATATTATATTATAATTTATTTTAGTAGAACTTTCTGCGTAGCAGTGCTTCTATTTAAGTCTTTTTAAAATATTTTATTAATAGATTATTATAATATAGCTTAATAAGTATCTGATATAGTATCTCAGAAGAGAGAATATAGTATTAATTTTTAAAATAGATATAATTAATTATTTTAATAATTTAATACTTTTAATCTGATTACTTTTATTAAATAATAGTTTTTTGCTATTATATCTCTAGATTATTATTCTGTAAATATAAGATTATTTCTTGAAGTTTGGAATTATATATATCTAAGTATAAAACTTCTGCGGTATATACTTATAATATTATAAATTAGAAAATAAATCTTTCTTAAGATAAGTTCTCTTAAGCAGTCCAGTCAGCTGTCTTTATACTAGCTTAATTATTAGGATTTTTTAAGCTTAATATAATATAGATATTAAATTCAGAATAATCCTGTGTATTTTAAGATTTAAACTAGATTTTTTCTTTGATAAGATTTTTTATTATTAGAAATAATATATCTATAAATCGCGCTTGAATTAGAATTAATAGTTTTTCTTGAGAAGTAGATTCTGCTTAAGATTCAGAAGATATTCTAAAGAATTTATCTGCTAGATTTGATTTCTCTGTTCTATATTTAATAATAAAATTATAAAAAATTAGACTTATAAATTATTAAGCTTATCTTCTGTTAATCTGGGTTTAATATATAAAAAATTATAAGTTTGAATAGTCTAATAGAATCTTAATTATTTAAAGAGTATTTTCTAAATATTATTATTATTATTTAAAAAAGTAAATAATAATAAATAGCTCTTAATCTGGAGTATTATAATTTAGCTCAGCGCCGGAGAATTTATAAGATTAGAATATAACTAGATAAAATATATTCTTGATATTAGATTAAAATAGAATATTATTTATCTTTTTTTTTAATATATTAGTTTCTAAACAGCAGGGTTTTGTAGAATTAAAATATATTAATAAAAATACTTATTAAAAGATAATAATCAGGCGGCGGAAAGCAGTTTATTTAATTAAAATTAGATAAATCTTCTCTGACTTCTATTTATTAATTATTTTATAAAGTAAAGAAGTAAGAGACAAGATAATATAAGAATAGTCTTAAATAAATTATTAGTAAAAGTTACAGAATTCAAGAAAGATCTGGATATTATAATAACTTTTAAGAATTAATTATAAAATAATATTGTTTATTTATTAAGAATCTATAGATACTCTGTCAGAGTTGATAATATATTTTAAAAATTTAACTTAAGATTAATAAAATAAATATTTTAATAACTTTATATAGAGCTGTACTTCTTAAAGTCTCTTTAAAATTTAATAAATATATTTTATATAAGATTTTTTATTTAATAAAAAGATGAGAATATTATTCAGATATATTATATAAAAGTTATTGAGAAGTTCTTGAAATATAGTATATATATAATTTTAAAAAGTTGCTGAAGTATTAATTAATCTAAATAATATAATTATATATTTAAAATAGCTGTATTAGATATAAAATACTGTCTTTTATTTATTATTTTTCTTAATATAGATTTAATAGTATATATTCTTAATATTAATTTTTAAAAAGTAGATACTTCCCGAAATCTTGTTAAGAATCTTTAAAATAAAAGATAAGAAATAATAATTTTTAATAAAAATCTTATTAAGATCTCTATAGTCTATATAAAGATATAAATTATTATTTTTCTTAGATATAAAAAGAATAGGGGCTCCAGCAGAGCTTTTTAAAGATTAAATTTAATCTAGTTTTAGATTTTTTTTAATATATTCTTATAGAATCTTAAGTTTAGCTTTAAATAAGAGATATATTAAATTATAAGAGAGTATTTTATTAGATTTAATATTAATAGTATAATTCGCAGGGTTATAAGAGAGTAGTTATTAGAAGAAATTTATAGAGAATATATCTTAAAACTACTTAAGTTTAACAGAAATTATCTTAGAATTTATTAATAAATTGCGAGATTCTTTTTCTGATAGCTAGATATCTTTGAAGAGTTTAATAATAATATATATTTTTACTAAGTTTTAAATTACTTTAATAAATTAAGTAATAGAAAGTAGTAAAATAGATAATATACTAAATTATTACTGGCGATTTTATGCTGATAAAATAATATATAAATTATAAAATATAGTTATTAAAAGTAGTACAGAGCTGTCTTTTAATTAAGAATCCTAATTAATTCTTATATAATATTATTTAAAAATATAGATATCTTCTCGCGAATTAATAGTGATAATAGAGACTTTTTATATATTATAGATAGAAATAATAATTTAATTAATAACTTTAATCTTTGGCGCAGTAATTAGAATATATTAAAGATTATAGACTTTAATAAACTAATAATTAATAATATTTACTTCGGCGCAGCTATTCAGGTCCGCAAAGGTTTTAAGACTGTTTTAAATATAGATAGAAATATAAAAATAATATATAATCTTTACTATAGATAAAGAAGTTAAAATTATAGAATTTATTCTAACTTCTCTATTTTTTTCTCTGAATTTAATAAAAATTAATAGATTTTAATAAATTAAATTTTTTTATTTTTAATAGAATATTAATTCGCAAGATATTAAATACTTTTATATATAAAATATTATAATTAATTACTATTCTTTCTAATAGGATTTTTTCTGTAATTTGGGATATCTTTTTTAATAATTTTATTAGTAATTTCTTAAAAGCGCTTGTGTGGCTTATAATTACTAAATTAATTATTATTTTACTTATATTTTTCTTTATTTTCTTATAGTTTATAATAGTAAGTAGTAATAGTTATTATTTTATTTCACTTCTCTGATAGATAGAGAATATACTCTTAAATATAATAATTTAGATCTGATAATAGTTTAGTAAAGTAAGATAAGATTTTTTTTTTTTCTGCTTGGCGAGGAAAGTATTACTTTAAGATATTAAAATAAATATAAAACTCTTGCAGATTCTGGCTGTATTACTAATAAGCCTGTTTAAATTAAGTTATAATATTTAATTAAAAAATAACAGTATTTCAAATTAATATAAGAGTCTAATCTTTAAATTAAAATTATAATTTCTTAAGAAATTATCTCTTTTCTGAATTCTTATTATTTATAAAATAATATTATCTTTATTTATATACTAGATCTATATAGTTAATAGCAGCAAGAATCTTATATTTTTTTAATAAATATTTCTTGAATATATCTTTAAATATATATTTTAAATTAATAATCTATTCTTAATATTTTTAAAGATTGAAGTTTAGAATAAAGTAAGAGATATTTTTAAATTTAATTTTTTTCTTTTTTTTTTCTGATTTAGGGGAGGATTAATAATATCTTAAAAAGATTTTATTTAAAGAGCTATTTCTTTAAAGATAAGCTATTCTTCGCTGTAAGTTAATAGCTTATTTTAATTAATAAATATAATCTTCTAGCTGTTGAATCTCTTTAATAATAAGAATAATATTTAATAAGAATTCTAGATTAATTTAATTACTAAGTACTTTTATTTCTTTATTATTTTTAATAGATAATATCTTTCTTAGATAGTCAAAAAAAGAAGAATCAGAATATAATAAAATCTACTTATTAAAATAGAAAGTTTATTAACTAGATAAGAAATTAATTATAAAATATTATATATTTGTTTAATAATAATAAAGATAGTCTATATTTACAAAATAGACTGATTCTTGAAGAATTAGTAGCTTCTTATAGAGAGATTAATATCTTATAAATATCAGAGAAATATAGAACCACTATTAATAATCTTATGACTCTCACAACCACTATAATATATCATCCCGATGATCTTTATCCCGATAGCTGGGTTATTCTATCACAATTATAATCTCTTCTAATTAAATATTATTATTATTTAATAATCTTATAAAAATCTTCGCGGGTATTATTAATTATTCTATAATTTTTATTAATATTATAAATATTAGATTTGCTTCTATATCTATATTAATTAAGATATTAATTTTTTTAAATAAATTAATCTTATTCTGCGCGAGTGATTATTTTTATAATCTTAGAATAAAATATATTATAAAAAATATATTTACTAGCTTTTTATAATTTATTTAAATTATAAATTATTTCTCAGGATTTTTATTTTTATATTAATAATAATTCTTTATTATATAATTTTATTTATTATAATTAAAATATTTTATTATTTTTACAGATATTAATACAGAATCTTGTAAAATAAATATTTTTAATATATTTAATTATAAAATATTTCTTTATAAAAATCTTTTATAATAGTTCTGATTATTAAATTATTTTATTTAATTTATAAATAATAATAATTTTTTTTCTTATATATAACTAGTCTTTTTATTTTACTAGTTAATATTTAATCTTAATTTTATAAGTAATATAATCAGATTCTGTTTAATAATAGAGAAATCTGACTACTTATAGATTTTTTATTTTATATTTTATAAAAATAATTTAAAAAATAAATATAATTATATAATATTTAATTTTTATATTTTATAATTTAGCTTTATTTTTATTTTTTTTAATATTATAAATATACAAAGTTTTTTTTTTTCTTGTAAAAGATTATTTTTAGAATTTATAATTATATTTTTTATTTATAATTTTTTAAATTATCTAGCTGTATCTTAAGAAATTTATAAAGATTTATTTAATTATTTTTTTAAAAAAGCTTTATAATTTTATTTTTTTATAAATTATTAAGTATATAATTTAAATAGATTATTATAATTTATACTTACTAGTTTTTATCTTAGTTATTAATCTTCGTGATAAATTCTTACTAAATAATAAATAATTAAAAAATAATATAATTATAAATATTATAATATTTATTATTCTATAAAGAATATATATATATATTAGTCTTTTTTAATTTTATAAATAGAATATTAGAATTACTCAGAGATTTATAAGTTTTTTTATTATTTATAAAAATTTCAAGTCTCTGCTCTAATTCTATAATTTATTAAAATATATTTAATTATTTATAAAAATTCTTAAAAAATAGTAAAATTATATTTATTTTAATTATTTTCTTTATAATAATTTCATGATTAATCTTTAAAAAATCAGAAAAATTCTTGCAGATATAATATCTAATATTTTATATAAATATAGTTTTAACAGATTATTTTACAGATTTTAAGTAATAAGATTATAAAAGATATATATAAAATAATATAAAGAAAATATATCTATTATAAAATTAAGATAATATTTATATTATTTAAAATATTATTACTAGTCTTCTATCTAATTTTTTTTATAAATATATCTATTTATAAGAATTCTGCAAGTTATATATTATACTAATATAATCACTTTATAAGAGACTATCTTCACAGTATAAGTATTTCTTGTGATATATTATATCACAAGGATTATAAGGATTACTATCCTTACAATATATTTAGATTAAATAATTATTAATTTAATTATCTTTATTATTATCTAAAAATATATAAAAAGAAGCTTTTTAAATTAAAAAAATATAATTAAAAAAGAAATTAGTATTTTTTTTATTATTATTTATTAAAAATAATAAGAAAATTTTAGTTATATTAATAAAATTAAGCTTTTTATAAAATTATTATTCTTATAATAAAAAATATATATAAAAATATATAATTACTACTCTATTTTAGCTATATATTTTAATTATATTATAAAATATTAAAAAAATTATATATTAACTACTAAATAAAATACTAAGAATAAATATATTATTTTTATTTTATTATTTCTTTTAAATCAGATTATTTTTAGATTTATAAATAAAATATAGCTTAAAGAGCTATTAATAAAATTAGAAATAAATTATAAATTATATATAAAATAATTAGAAAAAATAATTAGATTATTAGAATAAAGACTAGAGCAGATTAAACAGATTAAATAGATTAAATAGATTAAATAGATTAAATAGATTAAATAGATTAAATAGATTAAATGGATTAAATAGATTAAATAGATTAAATAGATTAAATAGATTAAATAGATTAAATAGATTAAATAGATTAAATAGATTAAATAGATTAAATAGATTAAATAGATAGAATAGATAAACAGAATAAATAGAATATATTAAATCTATATTATAATATTATAGCTCTTATAAAAGATTCTATAAAAGTTCTTTATAGATTTTTTTTATAAAGATCTACTTTTTATCTAAGCAGCTCTATTTAAAAAAAGAGACTATTTTATAACTCTGGGCTTCAGATATAAATTTCTGTTTATTAAATCTATTAAAATAAATAAAATATAGCAGGCGTGTTAGCTGTATATTAAAATATAATAAATTGTAAGACATCAATCTAGGGGAGTTGTTGCCACTGAGCCAAAAGACTAACATTACCCGCAGTTACCTGCGGACCCCTAGAATCCCATATATATACTCAGGTACACCCGGGAGGAGGTGTCACCCTTGTAAGGATGCATCCCGCGGATATCATCCCTTACAGTAAAGTAAATATTTTTTAAATAACTTTATATCTGATTACTAGGGGCGGGCCGCTATACCCGATTTTAAATTGAAATATTAATAATAAATGACCATTGCAGAAGGTCTCTAGTAACAAGGGATAACTAGTTAGGGGAGGGGGGGTTGATTAGTCACTATCCAAGGGGGATAACTAACTACTAACTACTATCTACTACTCCTCTCTCCCTCTTCTCTTCTTCCTCTTCTCCTCTCCATTGTCATCGTCATCGTCATCGGCATTCCCAACTTCGGTGGGTCTGCTCTCACGATGATGAAAGCAGTGGCCCCTCGTCAGCCGTGAACACTACTGAACCGAAGTCCTGCTGGTTTCCCCCCCACCCCCCGGAGTGGAAGTGGGAGCAACACCCGCCCGTTGATCGCCGCAGCCGGTAACCGCGAGCGCTCCCGCCCATGGTTCGCTCCAACTTGTCTCACATCCCCCTCCGCCGACCCCGAATTCAGGATCTCGATCCAGGAGCAATGGTTGGCCGCGTTGGGGTTCCCCCCAGCCAATGGCCTCACCCTTAGCCCCTCGCCCCTATATTTCACTGATCATCCGGAACAACTTGGAGTTAACATGAGACACGTCTCTGACAGCAATAGCCAGCAGCCATGATCCGTTGGTTGATATTAGCGTGTTTGGCTTGGCCCGGCGCATTGGCTGCATACAACCAATCCACCGAGTTCCCCCAGGCCGATATCGACAGCGGGGCCGCCCTGAAGACACTGGCGGATCAGGCGCTTGGGAATATCAAGCAGGAGTCGCGTAACCTGAACACCAGTACATGCCGCTTCGAAACCGCCCAGGTGCGCAGAGAATGGTATGTCTTCTACGGACTTTACATTGAGGAGATGCTCTGTTAACTATTACCTTCCCCCAGGCGTGACCTATCGCTGGACTCGCGAAAAGAGTTCACCGATGCCGTTCAATGCTTGCAGAACCGGCCTACCAATATCTCTGCAGAGGCGAAGAAAACCTTCCCAGGCGTCCAAACTCGATATGATGAGTTTGTGGCAACCCACATCAACCTGACTGAGTATATTCATGTTAATGTAAAGCATGCGCCCCAATCCGACGTGGCTACATAACAGTTCTAACATAATAAGGCCGACTTCCTCGCCTGGCACCGTTACTTTATCTATACATTTGAAAAGGCGCTCAGGGAGGAATGCAACTACTCCAGCACCCTCCCATACTGGGAGTGGGGATATGATGCCGAAAAGCCCCAGGACTCAGTCCTCTTCAACGGGGATGCCTACAGTATGGGGTCCAACGGAGAGGCCTGGAACCGGACGACTATCTTCTGGGCAAGTCAGAACATGACCATCCCGGCCGGGACGGGGGGTGGCTGCGTATCTGCGGGCCCCTTCGCCAACCTTACTGTGAACATGGGTCCCATCAATGCACCTGGCGAGCAGCCAGTCGACTACAAATTGGAATACAATCCGCGCTGCTTGCAACGGGATGTGAACCCGACTGTGTCAGGGACGTCGGTAGCATTCCGCAACTCCACTGAACTGATCCTCTCATACGAGACAATCGACTGGTTTCAAGGCGTTATGCAGGCAGACAAGCGATTTACAGACCCTGATGCGCCTCGCTCATTCGGGGTGCATGGAGGAGGCCACCTCACGGTTGGAGGCGTCCTAGCAGATATCGACACCAGCCCTGCGGAGCCGATGTTCTGGATTCATCACGCGCAGATTGATCGCATCTGGACAATTTGGCAGGGCCTCGATCCGGCCAAGCGGCGGAATGCCATCTGGGGTACCCACACCCGAGCCGATATGCCCCCCTCGGCGAACATGACATTAGACGAAATGCTTGACTTTGGGTTCATCTCCACGCCTCGCGAATTTGCGACATTAATGAATCCCCTAGCCGGACCTTTCTGCTACTACTACGAATAGCCAGTTGTACCTTATATCAGTGTTACAATATGTTTCTTATTGTTAATTAAATACCTTCGGTTCTAAAATTTTACTCATACCATGGCCGTAATCCAGGGATATCATCAATCTATTCAACCTCATTATAGAAACTATTTCTTGGACCTTGGAGAGTCATGACGCACTTCATTTTGGAGGATCATTCTTGGCTGAATTAAGCTTTTGATCCCCATGCCACTCGAGTCCCTCTTGAACCCTCGTCAAGTTGGCATCATTCGATCATCGGCTCTCGGTAACCAATCCTCCATAGGGAGCCAGTATTCGTTTTCCGAGGTTACATTGACCTTTCGATCTGAGACCCGGCGGGCAAACCAGAATCGCAAGTACATCCGTCAAAATAACCGCCCGTGTCAATCGCCAGCCAGCCAGCCAGGAGGAAATAGAAGGCTTCTAATTGGCCAGTCACGACTCTCGACGTCTATCGCGTAATCTATTACTTCTGCACTACCTAACGCCTGAGGTAGTACTATCTCTGAGAGAGATCTTAAGTCCTCCCCACTTCTTCTTTCCATAGGTGGCTATGAATTCTGTCGCACTTTTTTTCAAGATCATGACGAAAGGACTCATAAATCAATTTTGAATCCGGATCTTGAAGGTCTCTTCGGTGGCCGCTACTTGGTCAGTTGTTTGACACAAACGCTTCTTGAGCACCAGTAATCCAGGCAGGCAGGAACTGTCAAGAATGGGAATAATGCCTCTCACGAGCGGTCAGAAGAAACTTGATATTTTAATCATGATATACCAACTAGCCTGGCTGTATATATATACTAGATAACATAATAACTGAATAAATATTTGATTTATATGTATAATTTATTTTATATATCTTTCAAGTATTAATCTTTATATTTATACTATTTTTATATAATTCTAGAAAATTTAGTTATTAGTATCTTTAATCTTATATTAAATATCTTTCTAATATAATAAACTATTTAAATAGTCTAATATATACAGTGATTCTGCCGGCAGAATAATAAGCTTTTGAAATTGAAAATCATTTTTACCCGATGGCGGCTATAGCTTGCCGTACCCCGTACATACCACGGAGTCCCTACTGCCTATACTCCTGCTGCTTGTATGCGCTGACCACGGCACTCCCGGATGCGACCTGTCGGATCCTGTGCTCTACCGTCACCCGCACCAGCACGTTTCCTGTTGAATCTTATCTATTGTGTTAGATATATATCACCAGCGCTATGCCCTCCCCATATGCCAAAGACCAGCCCTCCGGTTTCATCAACCGCATTGAGCGCATCGCAGTCGTCGGGGTAGGCTCAGTCCAAACGCAGAGAGGCCAATTTCGTTCTGGAACATCTCCCACTGACCGTTTCCCAGGCCGGAGGGTCCATAGGGCAGCACATTGCCTCCGAGCTGGTCAAAACCGGCAAGCACACGGTGACCGCGCTGACCCGACCGGACAGCAAGAACAAGCTGCCAGCAGGGGTGACCCCCGTGTATGTTGACTACAACGACGAATCCTCCCTCGTCGCAGCCCTGCGAGGCCAGCAGTTCCTCGTCATTACCATGGCCGTCACCGCGCCGCCCGACACCCAGTCCAAGCTGTTTCGCGCGGCCGCCAAAGCCGGCGTCCCCTATGTCATGCCCAACGGGTACGGGTCGGACTTCACGAACGACGCGCTCGCGAGAGAGACACTCAGGGGCGATGTGATTCGCAAGCTGGTCAAGGAGATCGAGGACACCCAGGTGTGTTCGTGGATCACGCTTGTGTGCGGGTTTTGGTACGAGTTCAGCATGGCCAGGGGGGAGGAGTGCTTCGGGTTGGACACGCAGAAGAAAAGGCTCACCTTCATGGATGGCGGAAACACCAAGATCAATATCAGTACCTGGGAGCAGTGTGGCCGTGCGATCGCGGGCCTGGTCAGTTTGAAGGAACTGCCCGAGGACGCGAACGACACGAGCCCGACCGTGAGTAGCTGGAAGAACAAACCGCTGTATACGGCCAGCTTCCTGATTAGCCAGCGGGACATCTTCGAGAGCTGGAAACGAGTCACGGGGGATCGGGACGAGGACTGGACGTTCCGCGACGAACCCAGTCACGAGCGGTATGCTCGGGGTCGGGAGCGCCTCCAGAGCGGTGATAAGATGGGCTACGTGCAGATGCTGTATTCCCGGCAGTTCTATCCCAATGGCGATGGGGACTTTGGGGCAAAACATGGCCTGGCGAATGACCTCCTGGGCCTGCCCCGGGAGGATCTCGATGAGGGTACGAGACGCGCCAAGGCGCTGATTGAAAGCGGATATGCCTATCACTGAGCCACCAGGGCTCCTCTCATAGTACGAATCATCATCGAGCTTTTTGTAGCCCGGGTCCCGGAGGGGGGCCAGAGAGGGTATCATCGTAGGCCGCCATTCCACGTAGAGTGAGTGCATCATCGACTTGGCCCGGGGGTGGTTGGTTCCCACCTCCGACGGGCCCGGGAGGTGCTGTGCAGACCCATGGTTCGGGGCGGATTGCACGCATGGCTTAAGAACCGGCCTGCCGCTTCTCCAAGTGCACCGGACCAACACTACTAGGACTCACTCGCCGGACAATATTTGTACTTCCACCATGAAATTTCTCCTGCTGACCGCGCTCCTCAGCGCTCTCATACACGGTTCGCAAGATGCTGCTGTTAAAATCTTCACCCGAGCCCGGCACTGACCCCAACAGCCCATCCAGGCCCTCACCCCCAGCCCGACCCCGTCCATTTATCTCGCCGAAGCGCGGTAGCCAAAAAATGCGCCAACTCGGTAGGGCTGATGAAGCGCAAACGCCACGCGATGCGGCGCCAGCTACTGGCCCCGGGGCAAGTCACCTACGGGGGCACCAACCACACGGCAGAGGCGAGTGTGCCGTCCTACGACTTCCTGAAGAACGACACCTGCATCCTGACCCCGGAGACTAGTCCCGGGCCCTACATCTACCCGCGCAGTGAGGTGCTGCGCCAGAACATCACCGAGGACCAGCCCGGGGTGCCCTTTGAGCTGGACATCGGTCTCATCGACATCCATACCTGCGAGCCGTTAACGAATGTGTTGATTGATATCTGGGTATTCCTCCCCTTTCCCTTTGAGCGGAAAGCATGCGTTTCCTAATAGATGACAGCACTGCAACTGGAAAGGCAAATACAGCTCCTTCACGGGCCTTAATCCTGATGTGACGTTCCCGGAACAATATCTCGAGCGAACCGGCAAAAAGCTCCAGGCGTCCAGTGGGCAGGGGGATACCTCAGTAAGGACCCTCCTCTTGCCATAGTAGAAGTATAACCGAGCCGCGCCACCAGAGAGCTGACAGGATCGAATGAAAAAAGTTTCTCGCAACAGACAACACCACTTGGCTCCGCGGGATGTGGCCGACCGATCGGAATGGAGTGAGCAAATTCAACACAGTCTACCCGGGCTTTTACGTACGGACCACCCCCCCCCGCAATATACTACTCTTCATCAAATGCTGACCTTGAAGACCGATCGTGCTGTGCACGTTCACTTGCAAGCCCACACCAACTGGACCCTAGCGAGCAACGGCACCATTGCGGGAGGGAAAACAGTCAGCACAGGCCAGATCTTCTTCCCGGAGGATGTATCGGCAGAGGTGATGTCGGTGCAGCCGTATGCCAACCATACTCAGACTACTCGGAAGCCGGTCAACCTGGATGGTGTCTACGTGACCGAGTCGGAGAGTAAGGATACTCCCATCCTGCGCGCCTGACATGTACGCTGACGTCGCCGTAGCGGGGGCCATGACCATTCTAGATACCGAGCCTCTCGACGGGAAAGACTATAAGAATGGAGTGCTGGGATACATTACCTTCGTATGTAAAAATCACTGCAAGGGCTTTTCTTTTCCTTTGCCCCCCCCCCCCCCCGGCGGAAATACTGACACCTGAATAGGGCGTCGATACGACGGCAATCCACGACGGCAGCACGAAGAACCCAAGTATATCCGTCCTACTTCTGTTAGTATCTGGGCTGAAGCTGACATACATGAACAGATCCTAAAATCAGTGCCGTGCCTTCCGCTGCTTAGAAGGAAAATTTTCATTCGGTTTGGTGGTTGTACAAAGCAGAACGGTTCATAGTATGTAGGGCAGGTGGATCAGGGCCGGAGCACCACATTTCATGATAGGGTTGAAAAGAACAGCCTAGATCCAGCTCTGTTTGTAGAGATGGATCTAGACGCAAACAGTGACAAAAATGAGAAGATCCTAGAATATCAGAATAGACAGCAGGGTAACGGGTTTCACCATAGAGATAGAAAAACAAGGAAGTGAAGAGGGTATAAATGTACCCCACTTACCAGAAATCTAGGAATGAAAGATATCTATCTGCTCTGTGAGCATCTATATGATCTTAGGGTTACCGTCATTGAGAGAGGTGACCGGAAGATTTGCTGTAGGATCTAGATATTTCTAATTCTCCATATTCTATAGATATTAGATCATAGTAGTCCTGACTCTTTACTATTACCGGTGCCGGTTGAATATAGATGGGAATTATATATGGGAATTGGTCTGTAATAAAGATAATAGACGCGGAGTCTGCTGTAGAATCTGGATTTGGTATTGATATGTATTAGAAGCTTAGAGTTAGTCTAGAGTCTTTAACCTGTGTGGCTTTGATCTATACAGCTTTAATGTAGATGACTTTAATCTGTGTAACTGTAATCTAGATAACTGTAATCTAGATAACTTTAATCCGTGTAACTTTAATCTGCATGGCTTTAACCCGCGTGCCTTCGATCTATATAGCCTAATATCATATAGCTTAGTATTATATCTTTGCCCTACACGTCTTCTAGTCGACCATGATCGTCTAGTCCCCTAGTAACCTTTGGCTACAGTCCACCCGACAGGCTCTTGGGAATGGAATGAGACGCTATATTCCCGCGGTCAGTGCAGATCCCAACTAGAGACAAAACTAAAACTGACTTTTCTCCCGTGCACGTGGGGCAGATACCGGATGCATCGAGCTTGTGGTCTTTGCTAATGATAAAAGACGGGTCATTGGCAGCTTACAAGAGCGAGGGATCAATCTGCATGTCCCCGAGATTAGTACTTGGCAGATACAGGTGCACTGGCCAGCGCTTGTGAAGCAAGCAAGGGTGCTGATTCTATTAGCAATACCAGTATCAAATATGCTATGAGGTTGGTATGGAACTGTGACAATAATGAGAACCATGTGCTTCATATCTCTCTACGGTAGAATCCAATTGCGGAAACTGCTCCCAGAAGGGACACTTTACGCAGAAGAGCTAACCACTAATGTCCAACCAAAGCTTGCTGCGCAGGTGCATATCTGGTCCCATGCGGCTTTGCAGCATCGATAATTCGCCGCATCTCTTGCTTTTCCTCCTCCGTCAGGTCAACGTCCCGGGAGGCCCAGTTCTCCTCTAAGCGATGTACTTTTGTTGTCCCGGGGATCGCAATCATGCCTTGCGCAGCAACCCAAGCAAGTGCGATCTGGCTGATTGTGCAACCCTTCCGTGTGGCGATCCTCTTGACCTCCTCCACAATTGCCTTGTTCTTGAAGAAGTTTTCGCCTTGGAATTTCGGAACTAGTGATCGATTCGACATCATTAACCCCTGCTGGCGCTGTGATGAAGGTGCCGGATGAGGACGATAGCTACTTACCTTTCCGACGGAAATCATCCGGCGCAAAGTCGTCAGGGCTGTTAAAGTCGAAGTTGTCGACCAACCAGCCATGGCCAAGAGGGCTGTAAGCGACATAGGTCACGCCCAGCTCCTTGGCGGTGGCAATTAGACCGTCGGTCTCGTGTAGGGTCTCGAAGGCCGAGTACTCTGCTTGAACAGCGTCGATCTTGGCAACTATTCATTCGTTGAGGTTAGGAGCCGCTTAGTGCAGATGAGGGGAGGAATAGGAGATGCCCACGTGAGCTAGCCTTGCGGAGAGTTGCAGCCGAACACTCAGAGAGGCCAATGTACTTTGTCTTTCCTGCCCTGCGAATTTCATCCAGAGCTGGAATGGACTCTTCGAGAGGAGTGTCTATTGCCGGTCAGTAGGTGAGGAGAAACTGTAACTGTGGCTTACGAACTAGGATCAATTCGATGTAGATAGTATAGATCAGGAGTAAAGCCCAGTCTTTCAATGCTGCCGTCGATGTATTCCTTGATGTGGGAAGCGGAGTTGGTAACAGAGCCGTCTCCAAAGACGTTGAGTCCGCATTTTGAGGCAACTATCAACACAGTTGTCAGTATCTGTGAATTTTGACCATGTTGACATGGTTACACACGGAAGATCTTGTCGCGGACGTCGTGTTTGCGGATGAAGTCTCCCAGTAGCTTCTCATTCACGCCGGCTCGGTACACGATCTAAGGAGTCTTCAGTCAGACCTGGTGTTCAATGCTGTAGAGAGTTGATGAGAGCCCACAGCAGTATCCCAGAAGGTGCATCCCAGTTCAATTGCTTTCAAAAGCACCGGTTCAGCTTCTTCAAGGGAGAGATTTGTGCCCAAGCCGTGACTAAGACCCATGGCACCGAAGCCAGGAGAGGGGACTTGGAGCTTTCCGAAGGAGAGAGTCTTGACCATAGTGGCAGGATTGTGTGTTGCACTGGAAGGAGAATTGATTTGGAGTAAAGTCGGAGAGCAAAAACAGTATTCTGGCGGGTGATGGGCAGGTATTTATATGTCCTTCATTGGAACTCAAGGACACTGCGAGAGACTGATCATACGAATTGTCTCCTTCACAGTGGAATTGGCTCCATTCTGATGGAGTTCAAGTGTGGGCCAAGTCGCCTGCATGAAAAAACGTTGTACTGGGTAACAGAACCCAATTGCCTGCACCCTGCTGACACCCTGTACGGAGTAGAGTCTCGTCTAGAGAGTAAACTCCTTTATATCCGGTAAATCCGGGCGGACCCGAGGAGGCCCTTTCAGGCCTAGCGCATCTGCGGGTGTCAGCAATTAGCGCCGGTTCCACCCGGTGATGTCAGGGCAGACACAATCCTCCGAAATACACTACTAGTCCGAAGATGAGGCCGGCCTGGAACATTGAATAAAGGATACCAATATGCCAATATTGCTTATCCGGGATCCAAGGTCGAGTGCGAATTGAACCAATGGATTGGGGGCTATAGGTCTGTCACAGCCCAAGAGGATGAGAATGGCGGCCAGAATGACAGCGAAGCCGTTCACCGATACCCAGCCACCGTCCAAATATCACCACTAGGCCAGGCTGATAAGCCCAAATCCACTGTCCCCCCAACTATGGCCAGCCGAATGTTTCATGTCAACAACCTGGAACGCTCGCTTGACTGCCATTAGGGCACGTCTCACACTACCCAGGTTTCGTGCCCTCTGCATTGTTTCAAGCCTCTCAAGGACAAACCGGCGATGATCTTCGGTGTCCAATCCCACATGCCCTAGAATGTAGAGAGGCCAGAGGAGCGTAGCCCGATCAGGGAGGACGGATATTATGTTTATGATGGCAGAGGTGAGGTGACGCTTGTCTAATCTGTCAGGAAGCTTGACTTCGGCGTCATTTCGAGGACTTCGGCGTCCACTAAGGTAGAGTAGCGCAGCTAAGCGCTTGGCTTCAGCAATCTGGGCGAGATCGGCTCTGTCCTCTGAGTATCGGGGGAGAGTCTGGCTGAGCGTTGATATGGAGGAGGCAATTTCTGTCACCTTATCCATGGGTGTATTAAAGAGACTGGATTTTGTTCTGGTTCGGTTGGGCTGATGTGTCTGTGTCAATGATTATGGGACAACTCAGATAAGAGGGAGTTCCAAGGAGTGATACCTTCAGTTTGCCAGGTTGTGGAAGGTCGGACACATCATCTATAAGACTCATGAGCCTGCGCGAGCAGCCCATCACTGTGTCGATCTGGGACACCGGTTAGACAGTATACGGTAAATGAGAGAGGTGGTAGAAACCTCATCAAGGTCGTCACTATCTGACCAGCTGTGCGTGATTCCATCACGCTTTATGGTCTGAAAAGCTGTCCGACTCATGATTTCATGAGCGACGAAGTACATCTCGAAGAACCTTCGTAGAGAGCAGCTTCCACTTTTGTTCGAGGGGACGCGGTATAAGAGATCGAGGCCTCCATGAAGATGTGTTACCCAAGATGGGTCGCAGTCATCGGATATCTGGCATATGGGATTTGTCAGTGGAATTTATGTCAAGCGAAACTGCATACTTCGTCTTACGTCATGAAAGCACAGCATTAGCACAGTTGCGATGACTCCATCGTCTATCTCACCAGTACAGATGGCTTGCTGTAATCCCTTCAGCGCCCTATCTTTGTAGACCAATGTCTCTTTTACGAATCGCGTATCGCCGAGGAGACTGAACTGATTCGATGCAACCGCCAATAGCGCATTTCGAAGCGTCGTATGGCAAAATGAGAGTGGAGTGATAAGCGTGATGTATGGGTTATTTATTGGACTCAGGGAACAGTTGGGCCCAATTCCGTGGATGAAGTATTCCAGGAGATAGCTTTCCACTTCAGAGTAAGCCGCGAGCGGGTGCCCAAGACACGACGTTGGCGAGGGTGGTTGAATGCGCTGCTCGAAGGTGGCGGGTGACAGTTCGCTTAAAGCACTTGTCCGCCGGTCCCATTCATCAGCGCCATTGGTGAAATCCGCACAGGTCGTGTTGAGAAAGATCCACCGCCCCATGAACTGGTTCAGGGGGATGCCATGGAACTCAGCTTGGGCGTCAAGCGACGATGACTCGCCGAGTCTTGGATTTCTTGACCACGTTCCTATGACGACGAGTGACCCGTGGTTAGTGGACAGCTACCCGAACCTCATCGTGGAACTCACCTTGCCGGCCGAAGCTGATTCCCCGTTGGAGAGCATCTTCCCGGAATATGAGCCGTAAGCTACGCTCACAGGGGAGATCTCGTCGCTCGCAGCGACGGCACCGGGGTTGCTCCTCGGTACACTGGACATGCTGGGCTGCATTTAGGCAGAAGTCAATCGTAGGCTCAAGTAGACCTTGGCAGATCGTACCTTTGCATTCTGCGCAGCCGGTCCTCCGACGATTTTCACGGCGGGTGCGCTGGTTCGATAGCATTGGGGTGGTTGAGATAGTGATGAGCAGGCGAAGTGACAGTGCAATAGAAGAAGTTGGCTGCAATAATAGGGGGGGATAGACATTGCTGTGGTGTGCGACCGTGGGAGGGAAGGGAAGGCAAACGACGATCCGCCGCCCGTGCGGGGAAACGGAGGAAAGGCCCGGCGCTTACCCGTTCCTATCATGGCCTGGACTCTCGGGCCGGGCCACCAATCTAGGCTCGCGGCCATGGAAGCTTGGCCCATCTTCGGCCCACTCCGGAGCGTTCTGGCGAGATCCGAGAAGAACAAAAGCGTTGGCAGTGTGCACTTGTTGGGAGATCAGTGGGGACCTCAATGTACAATTTACTCCCAGATACATCATATCTCAGAGAGTCCATTATGAGATGATATGAAATAAGTGAAATATAGCGTATGTAATGCTGATGACGGAAATGAATACTGCTGACAAAGTAAAAAAAAAAAAAAAAAGCCTCTCAACCATGACTTATGTTGTATATCTGAAGGTCTTTTGCTGCAAATCGGTCCTATCGGCAAACGCTCCATCCTTTTCATCTTCCTGAACTGCCCCCGCCTCCGAGTCCTCGGCGTGGAGTCGTCGGTTAAGACGGAGCACCAAAAGCCAATAGCCTGCCATTAATCCCACGCAGATACAGTAGCAGACCAACATTGCAACGAATCCGCCAGTATAAGCAGGGGCCTGGCTGGCCCGAAATGTCTGGGGGCCAATAAGATTGCCTTAGAGACATTTAGCGACTTTAGATCGAGAAGGAAATAGGAAAGCGAATGAAGCTGGATAGAGATCTGAAGGAGAGAGGGAGATATCTTGAAAGGGCAAAGCTTACCCACGCCATATCCAATGTAGAGGATGGAGTACTGTACAGTCTTTTTTGTATGGCCTGCCGTATTGGCCTGGGCCATTGAGATGCCTGTGCTATTGGTGAGAATGGTCATGTCGCAGGTTTTATAGGGCACTTACCGACTACATAAGGCCCAAAATAGGTATAGAGCTAATTCAACATGGTTAGCGAGTGCGAGGCTTAATGACAGATCACAGAATCATACCAAATATATTCCAACCATCTGGCCACCAATATTCGTTCGTAGGAGGGAGTAGACCAACGCCGAGCCAACTATAGGCAGACAGCATGCAATCATTGTGACAAGACATCGACGATTGGTCCATCTTGCGGCTAGCCAAGAAAACAAAAACGCTGCCAAAGTCGACATGATTCCGGTGGGCATGTTAAGGAGGGAGGTATTTACGGCAGAAAAGCCTAGATCGTCGATAATGATGCCGCTGAATGTGGTAAGGCCTAAAGAATCAGCAACCATTGCGCCTAGACGAAGAACGCATCCTACCTCCGTTTGGAATGTTGATTGCAATGTTGAAGAAGAAGAGGGTCCAGGTCTTCAAGTCAAGGATCGCTTCCAGTGCCTGGTCCAACTTCCATTCTCTGTTGATGATCCCTGTCTTATTCTCCGCTAGCCGTTGGATAGCATAGTACTTTTCTTGATCCGTCAGGAAGAAGGCATTCATGGGAGAATCTGGCAGCCACACAATCGCCATAATGGACCACGCAGCAGAAATAGAACCTGTTTCCATTAGTAGCGATCAACACACGCCGCTGTTGTACTTACCGACAATCAAATACAAATACTGCCATGTGGCTAAGGGGGCAGAGTCTGGAATATGCCCCACCACCCATGAGAGAAACCCATTAATGACGGAGCTAAACGCTGCAAAGACAATGGCATTTCGTGGGGGTTGTTCCGACTTTTTGTAGAATCCGGCGATAATCAAACTGATCGACGGAACGATAATTGCCTCAAGGCAACCTGCACTTGTCAGTAGCATATTTAGAGAGTGAGGGGGGGTGGGGGGGGGGGGGTTCGCGTGAGCCATACCCATGAAAAATCGCAGAGCCATAAGTCCACTCCAGTTCTTACATGCAGGGATCAAGAGAGCCATGCATGACCACCCAAGCGAGCACGAAGATAGGTATTTTGCCGATGGCAGACGTTGCACGAGGTATGAAGAGGGTAGCATTCCGACGATAGACTAGCATTAAATGGTTAGCGTAGTGCGTTGAAAAAGGAATAGACGCCATACTCCAATTGAAAGGATCGATCCCGCCCAAGAATATTGCTGTCCGTGAAGGTGTAGGTCTGGCCAAAGTTAGAATCATTCGAATGATTCGATCGCTACTATTACCTTCTTCCAATCCATAAATAGCCGCAGTGCTGATAGCCACTTTGTCCACTGCACCCAGGGTCGCTGTCAGAAGCAACTGCGCGTCGGTCTTTAGTATCCTGTTCCCCAGTTGATCAATTGCAGCCTACCATGGGAACCAAAATCCAGTCCAGCTTGCGGATCAGCCTTTTCTCATCTTCTGGCGACATGGGCGGGTACGTCGAGCTTTGCGCAAGATATTCCGCGGCCTGATCCATGGCCTTGGAGGGGCCCATCTCTGCGGGCGGGTAGGACGGTAAAACCTCCGTCGCTGCTTGTTTGAACTCCTCCATGGCGAGTGAGTGACGAAGAAATTCAAATTCCCTCGGATTGGCGAGCAGAGCGGTATCGGGCGCTTCGGGGGATGTGAGCAATATATATTCGGCCCGACAACTAGGGCTCAATGCTGGTGGCAAGGTCGAAGAATGTTTCTTGCGCCATAGTTTCTTGGCTATCAAAGATATGACAGGGATGTGGGCGAATGACAGAGGAGAGATCGAATTCTCTCGAGCTGCCAGCACCAACGTGTCTTCACTGATAAGCTAGCGAGGGTGATGAACACTGAAAAGAGCTGGTCGATACGGCGGAGAGACGAAGGGCGGGCGAGTCAGATGCGAGGATTTCTCGGCCCCGGGACGGTGTGCCTTAGGCCGGCATTAGCCCCGCCTTAGGCCCGCCTTATGTGGCCTTAGGCCTGGGTTACCGGCCAGGCGCCTGAGGTTGCATCCTTGGTTCGCGGCTGGGACGTGCCGACGCCGGACTACCACCCAGTAGATCGCCGCTACTGGGCTTGGCGCCGTGCCACCTTCGCCGCCAGAGCAGCTGGTCTCTCCGGATTAGGACTAGTGAGGGCACACATTCCCCGAAGCACTTCTTCTCCATGCACCCCGCCCATCTATCGTATCGACTTGCCTACTTCTTCAGCAGCAGGGGGCAGGCGATTCCAGAAACCCAAAGCGTGCACTTCTCCTATCCACCGTATCGACCTGCCTTCCTCCCAGTACAAGCAGCTACCCTGCCATGGAGTACACGATGCTCGATCAACAAACCCTGCTCTCCGCAAATCCATCGTATCGACCTGCCTTCCTCCCAGTACAACCAGCTGCCCTGCCATAAAGTACACGATGCTCGATCAGCGAACCCTGCCCTCCGCAAATTCATCGTATCGACCTGCCTCCTCGTGCGACTGCAGTTGAAAAGATGACTGGGAGGGACCAGGAGGAGGAAAAGGAGGAGGAGGAGAAGGGGGAGTGAGGGTGATTATAAAAAAGCCATCATCTCCAGCTCTGGAAACAGCCATGTTGTCCAGTTTCGAGAACTTTATCCGCGATGAATACAAGCGCTGGGAAGATCAAAATTGCAATCGGTGAGTTTCACAAGCCACAATGATGTGTCGAGTTGCAATCTCATACCCTTCTGTGCAACTTGCAGATAGAGGGGGGACCTTCACCGATGTTTGGGCAAGCCTCCCTGGGCTTCCCGATGTTGTTCTGAAGCTACTCTCGGTAGATCCATCCAATTATGATGATGCGCCCACAGAAGGCATCAGAAGGGTTTTGTCCATTTACTACGGCAAGGAAATTCCCCGCGGCAGACCTCTCCCGAAGGGAGATCTGGAGTTCATCCGGATGGGGACAACTGTGGCAACAAACGCCCTACTGGAGCGGAAGGGTACCAGGCATGCTTTCCTGGTCACAAAGGGGTTTCGGGACTTACTCAACATTGGCTACCAATCGCGACCACGGCTCTTTGACCTGGATATCGTCAAGCCAGCGGTGTTGTACGACGAAGTCCGCGAGGTCGATGCTAGAGTAACAATAGAGGGCTTTGACGAGGATGTCGATGGACTTTCAAAGTGTAATGAGGAGATTCCTGGAGTCCTGGTGCGTGGGAGCAGCGGCGACATGGTGCGAATCTTAAAACCTCTTGACGAGGAGCAAATTCGTCACACACTGAAGGATCTTCGTGCTAGTGGAATTGACACATTAGCGGTCTGCTTCGCCCACTCTCATGTCTTCCCAGACCACGAAATCCGATTATATCAGATGGCAATGGAAGAGGGGTTTGAACATGTGTCTCTGTCATCAGCGGTCGCTGCTAATATGATCAAAATGGTGCCACGCGGGAGTTCAGCATCAGCGGATGCTTATCTCACCCCCGAGATAAAGAAGTATCTGACAGGTTTTATTCAGGGGTTTGAAGGTGGAAACCTGGATGGTGTTCGATGCGATTTTATGCAGTCAGATGGGGGGCTTGTGAGCCACGATCACTTTAGTGGCCTGCGAGGAATTCTGAGTGGACCGGCAGGTGAGAGAGGTCGAATTGCATCAGTATGACGCTCATACTAATCTAACAGGTGGCGTGGTTGGCTATGCAAATACTACATTCGATGAACAATCCCCAACTCCCGTGGTAGGCTTCGACATGGGCGGCACCTCCACAGACGTGTCGCGGTACGGCGGACACCTCGAGCATATTTTCGAGAGCACCACTGCTGGCGTAACGATTCAAAGTCCACAGCTGGATATCAATACGGTGGCCGCAGGCGGTGGGTCGATTCTGACATTGAGAAATGGCCTCTTTGCAGTTGGACCGGAGAGTGCATCGTCACATCCTGGACCAGCATGCTACCGCAAAGGGGGTCCTCTCACAGTCACGGATGCCAATCTCTTTCTCGGACGACTGATCCCAGAGTATTTCCCAAGGATCTTTGGCGAGCGGGAAGACGAGCCTTTGGATATCCAGGTTGTGAAAGAAAAGTTCCTGTCGCTGACAGAAAAGATTAATGCAGAAACAGGTGGATCGATGAGTCCGAAGGCTGTTGCGTGTGGATTTCTCGATGTCGCAAATGAAGCCATGTGCCGACCTATCCGAGCATTGACAGAGGGGAAAGGATATGACATAGGTAAGTGATAATATGTTGATTAACGATATCAGACTGACAAAGTGACGTGTAGGGAGTCATAACCTGAGCGTCCTCGGGGGTGCTGGGGGGCAACACGCTTGTGATATCGCCCGAAAGCTAGGAATATCTACTGTGATCATACACAAGTACTCGAGTATTTTGTCTGCATATGGTAAGCGGCGGTTCTATTTTGCAGCGATGGCTGGCTAAACAAGGAACTAGGCATGGCCCTTGCGGATGTGGTGCAAGAAGCTCAGGCACCCGTGAACGAGACGTATGATGATGACGCACGAAAGAGGCTGATTCAACGTCTGCTAAACTTACAAGAGAAAGTTTGGCTTCAACTCAGGGAGCAGGGAGTCTGCGAAGACAATGTTCGATACGGTCGGTATCTCAACATGAGGTACCAAGGCACCGAAACAGCCATTATGGTCCTTGAGCCTAACGACGGCGACTTCAAGGCGGAATTCAAAAGAATGCATTTGCGAGAGTTTGCGTTTTTATTTCCAGATGATAGGGCAATTATGGTGGATGACGTGCGAGTCCGTGGTATTGGCTCAAGCGGAGACCTCGAAAGATCCGATGGGCGGAAGCTGGGCGAGGAGTTGCAAAGCTCCACATTCACTGCCGTGCCTCCCAACTTGGCAAAGCAGATGGTAAGGAATGTATACTTCCAAGGCTCTGGAACATGCGCAACGCCTGTCTTCCAACTCTACGATCTTGCACCCCTTACCCTCATCGCTGGACCGGCAATAATCATCGATCAAACGCAGACTCTCGTGATTACTCCAGGTGCAGAAGCCAGAGTCTTGAGCAAACATGTTGTTATCTATATCAAGAGGAAATCAGTCGGATTCATGCAGGACACAACGATGGTAGACAACATTCATCTTTCTGTGTTTGGACACCGTTTCATGAGTATCGCGGAACAGATGGGCCGTGCTCTGCAGAAAACGGCGGTATCCCTGAATATTAAAGAGCGACTGGACTTCTCCTGTGCTCTCTTTGGTCCAGATGGTATATTCCGTCTCTGACAATCAGATCATCCGACATGAAGCTAAATTCTCACAGGGGGCCTGGTGGCAAATGCGCCCCACGTGCCAGTGCATCTGGGTTCAATGAGTTACGCAGTCAAGTATCAACATGATCTCCACAAGGGAAAGCTCATCCCCGGTGATGTCCTAGTGACCAACCATCCCGAGGCAGGTGGCACGCATCTGCCGGATATTACGGTAATCACACCGGTCTTTGAAAAGACTGGACGAGAGGTTGCTTTCTACGTGGCTTCCCGCGGACATCATACGGACATCGGCGGCTTGGGCGGCACGTCCATGCCACCCAACTCGACAGAGCTGTGGCAAGAAGGGGCTGCCATCCGGTCATTCAAGCTAATTCACATGGAGCGGTTTGACGAGGAGGGCATCACGGAAATTCTACTTCGCCCCGGGCAGTACCCGGGATGCACAGGGAGCAGACACATATCGGACAATATCTCCGACTTGAAGGCTCAGGTGGCTGCAAACAACAAGGGAATGAGTTTGGTGCAGGGCCTCATCGAAGAATACACTCTCCCTGTAGTCCAGTTATATATGAAAGCTATTCAGTCCAATGCTGAATGGGCCGTCAGGAAATACATTCGTCGCGTCCTCTCACAAATGGGGCCACATCTCACAGCGCAAGACCAGATGGACAACGGATCAGTTATAAATCTGTCTATCAACCTCTGCCCGGATGGATCCGCCATCTTTGACTTTACCGGAACCGACTGCGAGCTGCAAAGCAACATCAATGCCCCGCCGGCTATCACGCACTCCGCCATTATCTACACACTCCGCCTTCTCATTGGTAACGACATCCCACTCAACCAGGGGTGTCTTACACCAATCGAAGTGATATTACCCAAGGGAAGCTTCCTCAACCCGTCCGCTGGACCCGCGGTTTGTGCCGGAAACACCCAGACCTCGCAGCGGCTTGTGGACGTGATCCTTCGGGCCTTCCGTGCTGCCGCCGCCTCGCACGGCTGTATGAACTGCTTGGGTTTCTTTGGCGAGGGTGGCACTGACGCAGATGGCAAGAAGCTCACTGGATATGCATACGCCTTTGGGGAGACGATCTGCGGGGGCTCAGGCGCCACATCCAACCGGCCTGGAGCATCAGGAGTGCACACGCATATGACGAACACTAGAATCACTGACCCGGAGAGTCTCGAAAAGCGCTATCCGGTCATTCTGCGCGAGTTTGCCATCCGACCTGGTACGGGAGGCGATGGGACACACCGGGGGGGCGATGGTGTGGTGCGAGATATCGAGTGTCGGGCTCCACTGAGCTTCAGCGTCATCACCGAACGGCGTAGCATCGCCCCGTACGGAATGAATGGGGGTGGACCAGGCGCGCGGGGGGCTAACTACTGGGTTCGACGTGTGAAGGGTGCTGCTGATGGAGAGGAGTGGCGGTGGGTCAACATGGGAGCAAAGAATATGGTACGGATGGCAGCGGGGGATCGCTGCGTGATTCACACCCCTGGCGGAGGGGGCTGGGGGGAGTCGTATATGAGTCTCCGTGAGAAATTGTATGACGAGATTCCTTGCTATCCCCGAGCCTCGGGCAGTGTTGCTGCCTATATGATGGCGCAGGAGAGTTCTGTTTAAGCATGGGGCGGTCGACGCGCCGTGGAACTCCGGGACACGGTACCTAATATACTTTCTTATAACGATTCAAATGAAAAGAGCTATCCAATTGAAGACGAATACATTTGACAAGCGTTACGTGATCACTGCTCAGCCGTCACGATATACTAGGTCTACACGTCCATCAACCAAGATACTTGATCTTCAGCACCCAACAAAACTGCTCCTCCTTCCACGCATCTTCTGGCACATTAAACACGACACCCTGGCCACCGTCCGCAATCTCCCAGCTCACCCCAACATCACCATCATCACCACCCCGCAAAACCACGACCTCATCGCCCTCCACCACGGGCAGAGGCGCATCCACCCACACGCGGCCCGTCCCGGGGTCCTGCAGGAACAAGACATAAAACGCGTCGTCCGTCTGCGTAAACCTCACCCCGGAGTCCTGGACCTCACTCATGACAAACCAATACGAGGTATTAAACACGGCCTCGGCGTGCGCATGAATCCAGGTCCCAGCCAGCCTCAACTCCCTCTCCTCCGCCTCCACAATCGTCCCATCCGCCCTCGGTCCCACGTCCAGCAGGAAGTTTCCGTTCTTACTCGCCATGTCGACCAGATCCGAGACAATCGTCGAGGCATTCATGTAGCTCCCCGCCGCCGTGGCACGGTTATACCCATAACTGTAGGGATCCATGCCCATGTTGGACTCCCACTTGCGCAGCTGCGCCGAGCTGAACGTCGCGTACTCGGGGGTGTCAAAGTCAGCGATCTCGGCCACGCCGCAGCGCGAATTGATCGTGACCTGGCGGTTCTGGGCGCGCGCAGCGTTGAACCATTCGGCGGCGAAGGGGGCAGTCCCGTTGGCGGCGCCACAGTCACACCACATGATGTCGGTCGAGTAGTTGTGGGCCAGGATGGACATCTGGGGGACCATCAGGTCCCAGATGAAATCCTGCACCGGGATGCGTCCGGTGTAGGGCTCGTCGAGCCCCGTGTAGGGGTTGCGGGCGATGATGCCGGGCCAGCTCGTGGAGGTGGGGCTGGAGGTTTGCGCGAAGCCGTAGGGGCCGAAGTCGGGGTTGAACCATTCCGGGAGGGAGAAGTACGTCCCTCGCTTGAGGGTGGGGTGGTAGGTGGCGGCGGCGGCGAAGAGCTCGCCCACCAGGTCGCGCTGCGGTCCGTAGTGCAGGGCGGACCGGTCGGTCGTGTTCTGCGTGTCGAAGAGGGCGAACCCGTCGTGGTGTTTGGTGGTCAACACGAAGTATTTCGCCCCCGACGCCTCGATCAGGTCCACCCATGCTTTGGGGTCGAAGTTGGAGGCCGTGAAGTTTGGGAATCCGTTGTCGTAGTTCCAATCCGGCCCGAAGGTGCGCAGCCGGTAGTCGTATGTGTCGGATTTGTCGGCGATGCGGTGCGTAGTGTACCACCTGGGTGGGTTAGGGGGGGGAGAGGAACAATGAAAGGAGGGAGGGGATGGGCGTACCAGAACCATTCGGCATAGCTTTCCCATGGGGTCGAGTTGCCCCAGCCTGGCACGGAGTATGGGCCCCAGTGGATCATGATCCCGAATTTGGCGTCGTCGAACCATTGCGGGCTCTCGTGTTGGGAGAGGCTGGCGAGGTCGGAGGTCCATTCGGTGAGTCCAAGGGAGAGGTGGTGCGCGTAGGGCTGGCGCTGGATGGACAGGCCGCCGTTGTTGCTGTTCAGCACGATGGTGGCGGTTCCGTTAGCCGTGCCGTTCACGCCGATATCGACCCGTTTCTGGTCCCCCGGGCAGAGGCGTTTGATGTGTCCAGGCTCGATGGTTCGAATGCCGGACATGGCGAGGGAGATGGTCAGGCCGGACCCTGCAATGCACTCGGACCCCTGGTTGTTGACGGTCACCTCGACCACTTGGTTGCCCCTCTCGGTCCATTTCTGTGTCGGGCGGACGAACTGGACCTGTGCGGAGGAGGCGGGCGATCTCCACAGGGAGACGGAGAACACATGCAGACGGCCGGTGGTGACATTGGTGGTGACGGGCAGCGTGATGGAGCGGAGCGTCTTGCTGGGGTCGAGGGCTGCAGTGTACTCGAAGATGTGGGAGGTGTTGAAGTTGGTGTCGTTGGAAGTGTAGCGGTACGGGAAGATGATCTCACCGCGGTTGATGGTCAGGAATGCCCACCAGGGCAAGCTGCGCAGCTCCGACGTCCATGTGGAATTGTCCGAGTACGTATAGGTCACGTTGCCGGACACAGTGGACAGTTCCAGGTCTGAGGTCACCAACATCGAGGCCGAGAAGTACTGCTCGGAGGGCACAGCGATCGTTTGGCCCGCGCAGATGATGTTATCGGGCAGCGAAGGGCGATACCCGGGAAAGTCGTACACGATCCCGGTCTGCGTGGATGTGTAGGTGCCATTGATGCCGATGATGCTGGGGTCCGGGTAGGACTCGTTTAGCGCGTCAAAGGAGGTCTCTCCGGGATAGGCACCGAATGCCTGGTTGTTGAAGTACGGCGCGAGGGGGACGAATGTCACCTGGGAACTATCAGCTTGGGTGAACATATTGGATCAGACAGCATTACATTTGTAGCAGCATGGACGCCTGCTGCCAGGTACCAACCATTGAGGACTGCCAGAGGGAGGGTAGTCAGCTTCATGATGTACACACTCACTCCACCAGGGATGACCGTGTCTGGCGCACGTTGGACTGGGAGATCAGCGGGGGGGATTAAGAAGCAAAGTGAGAGATAGACATGGCCGGGGTGGCTCCGACCTCATATCTCTCTATCATATCACCCCCTCCCACGCATCAATGGCACAGTGACATCGGCGACCCGAAACCCACTTGGTGGGCGACAGTCATTGGAGGTCGGAGCAGGACGAGACGATTAAACGGCCGGCGTGCGGGGAGGCCGACAAACATGCCTGATAAGCGTCGCATCCCTGCGCGGAACAGCCGATCCTCCCGCTAACGGCCGCCTGGCGTGAGGGGGAGAACCGCCCATGGTTACATCGGCTGACGCATGGCGCATGCATGGCGAGGTGATAAGAATTCGGCATCGCCCAGCATGCTATCCCTCGCACCCATCCATCCTGTGCGTCTCAATGTGGACAATTGCATTGACCATCGCCGCTTCTCTGGCCAGCCTGCCAGTGGGCCTGGCTTTCAACAATCCCCCAGGCGTGGACATCTGGTGCGGCAAAGCTTATCGATCCAGGTACTATAGTATACTACATACAACCGACCCGAGCCCTAATCCGTGGCCGTCTGTATACTAACACCGAGTCAAGCAATGCCTCCTTCAACCCCGGGGGCTGGTTCGAGGAACCCTCCTGGTCCTCCACTCCGCTGCTGAACCTCAAAGTCCGCCCTCGCATGAGCATCTACCTTGAGAGCGATGCCACCGGCAGTCTGCTCATCGACACGACCGTGTCGCATCTCACCGGCGACCCTCTGCCCTCCCTCCCAAGCAGCGCTGCATACTCGAAACAAACCCTGCACTTGAACATCCACATCCTCACTCCCGAGGGAAGCCCAATCGCATCCATCACCAACCACACGCTCACGCTCGACTCCACCAACAACGACATCGCCCTCCCCTTCTCCTCCCTCAACCTCAGCCCCCGGCGCACCCCCTACATCGTCACCACCATCGCCTCCCTCCCCAACACCACCTTCACCACCTCCACTGAGCTCTACTACCTTCCCCAACGTACCGACGGCGGCAGCGCCACCCGCATCGACCACCTCCACGGCGGGCTATCCTACATCCGCGGCGAGAACACAACCTGGACATCCATCTTCCCCTTCACCTACTACGGTACCCCCCTCCACCCCGTCCACACCCTCCTTCCAGCTCCCCCCACCCTACTAACCCCCCCACCCCTCCCAGTCCAATGGTCCCTATACTGGGACACGACCCCGACAACGCTCGAGACCTTCAGCACGATGGGCTACAACGTAATCCACATCGTACCGACAGGCACGCTCTCCACGACGCCATTCCCCTGGACAAGCTTCAGCCCGTACCTCAGCCTAGCGGACCGGCTAGATCTGCACTTCCAATACGACGTGCTCTGGGACGCGACGAACCTCACCCGCATGATCGACCAAGTCAACCACATCCACACCCACCCATCCCTCCTGCTCTACTACACGGGCGACGAGCCAGACGGCAAGTCCGACGCGCTCAACGCGACACAGATCGCCTACGCCAAGCTGAAAGAACTCGACCCCTACCACCCCGTGTCCCTGGCGCTGAACTGCAAGAACTTCTACTACACGGACTACGCCGCGGGGGCGGATATCATCCTGAGTGACGTGTACCCGGTCGCGACGAACACCTCCTGGAGCACGGTGTACGAGACCCCGTGCAATGCGACGTACGGGTGTTGCGGATGTGATGACTGCACGGGGAGGTTCGAGGATGTCAGCGAGAGGATTGATGGGTTCAGGGCGTTCGATGAGCTGGTGGGCTGGGAGAAGACCCATTGGGGGGCGCCGCAGGCGTTTGGGAATGAGACGTTTTGGACGCGATATCCCACCCCGGAGGAGGAGGTGGTGATGGTGATGCTTAGTGTGAATCATGGCGCGATGGGGATTGTCATGTGGGACTTTCCCACGAGTGAGGGCATCAAGGAGGTTACTGGGGAGCTGAGTCGTGTGGTGGCGGGGGATGGGGAGGTGGTGGGGCTTTTGCTGGATGGGGAGAGGGACGGGTGGACGTTGGGGCGCGGGTAGATGTGGCGGTTTGGGTGGCTGGGGGCGCGAGTGGGACGGCGTTGGTCAGTGTGGTTTGTTTGGAGTATGAGGGGGTGGCGGAAGGTGTGGTTGTGCAGGTGCCTGGGGGTAGGAAGGTCAAGGAGGTGGTGAGGTCCTTGTGGGGAAGTACTGGGTGGGAGGTGGTTGGGGGGGAGTTGGTGAAGCGGGGATTGAGCGGGTTGGAAGTGGACTTTTTTATCGTGGAGTTGGAGTAGTTATACTGTGGGGGTATGGGCCTGATGGGGGTGATCTCTGTATTATGTGTTATGGGGATGGAGAGTGGTCAATTTGTGCACAGGGTGTGTGTGTGTGTGTGTGTGTGTGAAACATGTCGTGACATTATTAGGTGCAGGTTATATAGTATATGTACTTCGAGGATACCAATGATAGGCCCCTACAAGGCAAGGAGAAGACCCGCGCCTGCCAGCCCGGACAGCAGATGAATCGGCTTGCTAGTCGGCGCGACCGCCATCCCTTTGGACGACGTGCTCGTGGCCTCGGCAGAGCTACCACGCGAGGCACTCGAGCCACCTGTGGACTCGGTCGAGCCAGAAGTGGCAGTGGCCGCTTCTGTGACAGTCCGCACTCCCCCAGTCGCTGTTGCGACACCGTTACCCGTGGCAGACGAGACTGCTGACGGCACGAGGGTGGCACCGGGCACCGAGTCAGTGCCAGTCCCGATTTCCAGGATCTCATCGTCTCCTGGGTTCAGGTTGGTGTTCGCAAGAGAGATCTCGTTATTGGCCAGATCGTACACCACGTAGGCGCTGCGGAGGAATGTATCTCCCAGGAGGTTGACACCCGGTTCACTAGGCACGAGGCCAAGGACACAGTCCCCCTTGGGGAAATCAGGCTCGGTGCCATCGAAGATCAGTTGGCTCATTCCAACGGTGACGGTCGCACCAGAGAAGCTATAAGTGACGTTATAGTCCTTCTCCCTTGTGTCACAATCAATGTACGGCATTCCGTCATTTTCATCATACGTTGCACCAAGTGCTTCGTAGATCTTGGTGACAAGCGCCTCCGGGAGCTCGGTGAAAGCGCTGCCTGTGTCGAGGGAGACGGACAATGGCAGGTTTTGGGTGTAGCTGTTCGAATCGGAGTCCGTCTCCACAGACACGCCGGTGAGGGCGATAGCCAGAGACATGTATTCGCCGTAGACGGGCACGATGGGCAGTGTCTGCAGCTCGCCCTGGTATTGAGCTTTATTCACACCGCCGAAGAGGACCGAGCCGCTGGTCGCTTCGAGTCCGTTTAGCCACACACTGTAGGCAGCCGAATTGATCGCGCCGCTGTCGACGAGGGCCTGGGGAAGATTCGCGTATTCTTTGTGATCATACTCGGACTGATAGGTCGAGACCTGGTAGCCGATACCAACAATACCCTCTGGAAAAGAAACAGTCAACATTAGCGCAGATACTCCTTCATTGCATGGGGGAACCCACGAGCTGCATTGGAAGACTCTGCAATCGCGAACTGCATCTTGTCGATTGTTGCATTTCCGACAGTGAGCTTGTCAGTCACATAGGGACCATAGGCGTTGGTACCGCCTGCATAAGTGATATTTATGGAGGTGCCCACAGTCTCATAGGTGGATGAAGCGCTGTAATTGTACAGGCCATATGCATTGCACGGAGCATCACTGCCCGAGCAGAGCGATGAGTTGGCCGTGTTCACCCAGATATCACTGCTGCCGGTATCCAATGCCAGTGAGAACTTTTGTGCCGGTGTTCCGAGGGTGAGGTTAAGTAGGTAATAACTGCTTTCCTGTCAGTATCATTAGCATTATTACTACCATCAGTCCTATTGTGAAAAGGAACAACAATACCGTGTTCAAAACTGACACATCCACAATGTCCCGCTTCCGCAGCGGATGAGCAGCTTGTATACGCTCGATGGGAAAGTCCAGGACGGCGGGTACATCGCGCTTGTGAAGAGAGAGAGCGCCGATGCAGGGGAAGTAAAGCCCCGCAATAAGGGGTAGGAGTGATGAACCTCTCATCCTGTAGCAGTCAGATGCACCTGCCTCCACGAATGTCCACAGCAGTTTCCACGATGAGGTTCAAAGGCCAATGGGAGAGTCGGCTGCCGTGAATGCGAGGATCAGATCCTGAGAACTTGAATCCCAATGGGCAAGGGAGCAGGTAGCCTTTATATCTTGCTTATTGTCTGTTGTCGAAGGAATGACCTTCACCCTAAGCGCAATAGTGTGCCCATTGTGCTGACTCTAGGCGAGAACCCACCAGTCAACATTGACGCCGCGACTCAGCCCCATACCGAGTCATAGGCTAATATCAGGGACCAGCATGGGACCACTCAGACGAAGGCGACATCGTGCCCTAGCACCGGCTAGTTCCGCCTAGCCCCGACCAAGTCTCCCAATACGGCCATGCGGCCGGATGCTCCGGGCATGAATCCTCTCGTCCCTGGATCCTGATTCGACCATCTCCACCCGGTGGGATTTTGGCGAGCTTTCGCTGCCGCTTAGACTAACTCTCCTAACGCTCAGACCCTGGGAAACGGCGCTTGCTGGTCGCTGCAGTCAGGAAAATTATGCACGCTCTTGGTGTCGCCCCGCCTTCCATCTGTTGGAAAATTCTTGATCCAACTGTGCCAGTGTGTCCAGATCACCAGAGCGTCTTGTCCGTCCGGAGATTTCCACACAATCCTGGACACACCTCATGGCCAAATGAAGGTTGTAGGAGCAATTCAAGGGCAACAAGTCGGCGTGGGCATTATTACATGTGATTTGCTCATTGTGGTGTCGCGCAACGTCCACCACAACAGTTGCGACCGTCTTCAGGACTGATTCGGAGTAATGTAACCACTGGACATCAATGGCACCAGACGGATTGCGCAGGATGTCCTGGTGGATGAGGAAGAGTGCTCTGTTATGCTCATTAGTCATCGGAGTTTTTCAGCTTGGTAGGTTTCTGCCTTCGGCTGTGTTGGTTCGGAGAAAACAGCCGACATACCTTACAGCAGGGGCAATGCCACTGCAGCCATGGCCAATTTTGACCGTATCGGTGCCCATCACCATCGTGAGGAACCCTTGGAGGCACTCGTCGAGTCGTCGAAACTCCGATATTCTAGATCGATCGTCTTGAGGAAGGCGTTGCACGGCCAGAACCTGGTCAAGCAGATATACGGCTTCTGCCTGGCGTCCAAAATTACTGGGGTTTGACACGTGGATATTGGGCATGCGCAGATTTGTGTTTTGAAGGGTTAATCTATTATAAGTGTCGTCTCCGTCATCGTATAGATCACTGGGTAAAAAGGCGCCCGGGGACGGATATTCTGTTGCAGGGCGTTGCTGGTTGCCCTCGACTTCGCATAGAACAAGCCTGTCTTCCGTTAACGTGGTGTTCTTGATCGGCAGTTTACAACGATATACCTTTCCAGAATAAGAATCCCCCACCACAGGTTATATCTCTCGATTTCCTCCATGTTGGACCATCGACTCCCCGCCAAGTCCGTTTGCAGTGGGCGGCTGTGTTGTAATCCGTCCACGTACCCAATTCTAGTGCAGGTTCCCATGGTTATATGTGCCGCCTCCGGTCGCCCATTGGCATATTCGTAAGCGGCAATCAACACGCTCGCCTGAAGCAAGCGGGTGGATGTGCACATCATCGATTGCGTTTCGGCAAAAACCACTTTCACAGTCCTGTGGAGGCCTGGAGGGGTAACTGAGGCCGTTGAGGAATCATTTGACGGCTGGAGCGTAACTAGGCACATGGCGAGCAACAGGACAGAAAGGTCCGCAGGCGGAGACTCTAAACGGTCATTGTATGCACTAATCGCGGTGCAGAATAGCCTGGGAGATATGATGGGAAGCCACTTATGAAAGTTTCTGAAATAACGGTCACTGATCTCTTGTGGGGACATCCCTGCGAGCTGTATAATGCGATGTACATGATGACAGATGCGGTCAGTGGGTCTGACGGGCAGATTCTCCGGGGACGGTCCGAAAAGGGAGACCATCTGCAGCAACATCGCATTTGCACTTATTTCAGGAAACCCGGTCGTGTCTCGGTCGGTCCCTGTCGGTGGAGATTCCTCATATTGACATCGGAGGTTTCGTTTGGCGCAATAGCCACAGCTCGGCAGACCTTTGTCACAACGCTTCTTTCGAATCTTGCAAGTGGAGCACACCTGCGGCGCTCGATCCTCTACGACCTTCATGGAATTTTCTGTCTCGGGGTAGCCGGTGGCAGCTTCTTTCTTCAGGCGTTGGGTGTCAGGTGGGGATACTAGTATCTGATGCGAAGAAGACGTCACTGAACAGAGACTTTGTGGCCCGATTCTGAAAGCACCAGAAATACCTGGTGGGAAGCGTCGGCCGCCGCTAGGCAGCTTGCAACGAATGTTGTGTGGATGTTTGTCGAAGCGATCGTGACAGCGGGGAATGGCGACGCCATCACAGGATGATTACCTGCCGGTGGGGCCGGCGGCCGCCACTAGTCCCCTTTGAGCACGCCCAGGTACTATACCCTGCGGTCTTGCGGAGTCTTCTTGGATAAATCCTATATAATGCTCGTCTTCTCTTGCGCTGGTCTAATTATTTTTGCGAAAGCAGTTCTTCATTCCTTCCCTCTTCCTTCTATGCGATTTGGCTTACTACAGCTATATATATACATATACTATATACCCACAATGACCCAAAAGACGAGCGTCAGCAACGACCGTGACCCTGCCTACATAGTCAGTTTCGACAAAGGTGACCCCGACGACCCGAAGAACTTCAGCAGCTGGTACAAGGCATGCCTCACGTTCCAGATGACCATGACTGCGTTGGTCGGAGCTTTGGGGTCTTCCATCCTTGCACCAGGGCAGTCCGCCATTGCAGAATACGTCAATGTTAGCGAGGAGGTCGCAGTACTAGCAACTTCATTATACATTCTAGGTTTGTGCCTCGCCGATCCCAAAGCGGCTTATGAGCTAACTGTGGCAGGCTGGGCGGTAGGCCCAGCTCTCTGGGGCCCCGTAAGTGAGGTCTATGGGCGCAGGCTGGGCATGCTCCCCGCAGTATTCTGTCTAGGTCTCTTTAGTGTCGGGACAGCGGCGAGTAAAAACGCTGCAAGCATATTTATCACCCGGTTCATTGGCGGGGTATTTGGGTCGGCCCCCATCAGCAATGTGGGTGCTGCGTTGAGCGACCTATATAATCCCAAGGAGCGAGGAACTGCGGTGACATTCCTGGCCATGTGCATTACCGGAGGACCAACCCTGGCACCGATTATTGGCTCTGCGATTGTGACAAACCCGATGCTGGATTGGCGGTGTGAGTCTGTTCCACGGGTCCTACATATATGTATGCTAACCTTTCTAGGGCTCATGTGGATTGAAGCCATTCTCGCATTCGCAATTGCCATCATCGCGACTTTTGCCCTACGGGAAACATATGCCCCGGTGCTGTTAAAACGCAAGGCCCAGGAGACACGCAAGAAAACCAGGAATGAGAGATACTGGCATCCCCACGAGGGAGCGAGTATCACAATCGAGAACGCCGCCACGAAGCATTTTGTGCGTCCGTTGCGGTACGTGTGCGTCCTTCCCCAACTATAGCCCCATTCCTGACAGGGTCCTAGTATGTTACTCACGGAGAGCATAATGGCCTGCATCTGCTTGTACGCCTCGTTCACATATAGCCTTATCTACCTCTGCCTCCAAGTCTACCCCATTGTCTTCGAAGACGAGCGCAAATACAGCCCTGTCATCTCCTCTTTGCCCTTCCTGGGAATTCTAATCGGCGTCATGTGCGCTCTAGCTATTAACTTCGCAAACCAGGCATGGTACGCCAAAGCGATGCGCAAGAACAGCGGCAAGCCCGTCCCGGAGGCACGTCTTCCTCCAACGATCATTGGGGGCGTATTCCTCCCGCTGGGATTCTTCTGGTTTGGCTGGACAGCGGCCCCGAGATATCCTTGGATACTGCCCACTATTGCGGGGGGTAAGTCTGACAACACCGCCCGCCCACCCAAACATGCTCCTGTCTAACAGCCTTCGCGGTCAGGTTTCATCGGAGCTGGATTCAACATCATCTTCCAACAATGCCTCAACTACCTCATCGACACTTACGGACCGTGCGCGGCGAGCGCAATCGCCGCAAATACCATGCTGAGATCTCTGCTGGCGGCAGGGATTCCGTTGGCTGCGAAACCCATGTTCAATAATTTGGGCGTCGGGCCAGCTGCCAGCTTACTGGGTGGGATTGCCTGTCTGGCTCTGCCGATCCCGCTCATCTTCATGAAGTATGGTCCTGCACTCCGGAGAAAGTCCGCGTTCGCACCCGTCGATCGGACTTGATTGGTTTTCTGTTGGAACATAGAAACTGCATCACTTGGTTGGGGTATGAATATCTTGGATCGAAGGTTAATCGTTCATTGTGGATGGATACCTGTTCCCCAATCCCTGAGAGAACCCATTTGACGATCGCTTGCATATAGCGGGCTCATTCGGTTTAATTAAACTTGATTTCATTCGAGTGATGGCTGCATAGCTTGCGGTGTTCTACGTTTGGTCGACAAGAGTGATTTCATCCCGTTCGCCTGGACACTTAGTGGAGCAGACATCGGAGGCGGACTATGGCTCTGTTCTTCGAACCTACACGGAGCATAGACTTGGTTATAACATTGAGATGTGCATACATCCCTCCTCCCACTTCCCCCCTCTTCATCTCAAGCACAATGGCCTCCCTCACCTTCCCAGCCAACCCTCACGCTTCGCGACATCGCCTACCGGATCCGAACCGGCCAAGCGACCCGCATCGTCGTTCTCACGGGCGCCGGCATCTCCACCGCAGCCGGGACCCCGGACTTCCCATCCCCGCGCACTGGCCTATACGACAAACTAGCCCCGCTGAATCTTGAATCTTCCCTCCCCAGAAGCCATCTTCCACATCAGCTAGATACTTCCGGCACACGCCGGAGCCATTCTACGCGATCTCCGCCCCACACACTCACCCACGTCTTCCTGGCCCTCCTCGCGCAGAAGGACCTGCTGTCTTTCCTCATCACGCAGAATATCGATGGGCTGGAACTCGACGCGGGCGTGCCGGAAGACAGAATCCTGCAGGCGCACGGGAGCTGGAACTCCCAGCGGTGCTATCCATGCAAGGTGCCGTATCCGGATGAGCTGATGCGGGGGAAGGTGCGGGGTGGGGAGGTGCCGTATTGTGCTGTGGAGGGGTGCGGGGCGTGGTGAAGCCCGACGTGGTGTTTTTCGGGGAGGCGTTGCCCGAGGCAGTTGAGAAGGAGGAGGGGAGGGCCGTGGTGCCGATTTGATGCTGGTTTTGGCGACAAGTCTGAGGGTTGCTCCGTGCTCGGGGTTGCCGCGGTTGGTGCGTGCGGAGGTGCCCGGGGTGTTGGTGAATGGAGAGATGGTCGGAGATTTTGGGACCAGGGGGGAGGATGTGTGTTTGCTGGGGAGTTGTGATGAGGGGGAGGAGTTGGAGATGGCGTGGGCTGATGCGATCGAGAAGAGGGAGGCGAGGGGGAGGGAGATTCAGGGAAATGGCGATGCAGATGAGACACCCAGTGTGGAGGAGTCGATTCGGAAGAAGGAGGGGATGATCTCTGGGGGGGCATAAGCGCATGTTGGAGGAGCATCCGGGAGAGAAGCTGGCGTGTTTGTTGTCTCGCGAGGTATGAGCGTACGAGATGCCCGGGAAATCTATGACGTGTGTGAATGCAGACCGGAGTCCGTTGGTGCGCGCTACTGCAGTGGTGCTTTTCCTGGCAGGGTTTATTAATGTATTCGACGCCGATGCACATGTCGTGTATTGTGGGGAAGCTTAGTTCGGTTAGGGCTGAGGTAGATTTGACTTCTGGGACCAGGGATGAAACAACCATATTTTATACAATCCCTTGTACAATCCATGTCTTCTCTACTTGAACAGGTCTTGGAGGGCTGATTATTTCACTGTTCCTGTGCTCGTCAGATTGAGCAACCTCCAAGGTCCCTTGTTCGACACCGCAACGAGCGGAGCCCGAGCCGTGTCTGAGGCTACACGTGTCCACCACAGTCCAATATTCGTCCGCCAGTGCTGCCTGTTCTCCTTGCATCCCGCAGATCCTTCGACATCCACAGTCCTTGATTCTGTCGGTCCGGATCCACATTGGCTACTGACGGTGAAAGTCACCGGCCCCGGATCCGTCAATTCCTCTTGGCTATACCCATTGGAACGCGGAAGATTGTTCTTCGATCCCAGCTGCACCTGCTCCATAATTGTATCTTTCATATTGCTCGCTATTCCCCCCCTCATGGAAAAATCCGGTGTGGAAACATCCGGGCCGCATTTCATTTGTCTGTTGTCGCTCGGACCGGATTCTGGCGGTCATCTGTCGGATCATGTCCAGTGGCATTCACCCTAAGTCTCTGCCCCACCTATGCGACCGGCCTCCATGCAGAGATGAGCTCTGCCTGGGAGGTATGGCATGCTATGGAGTGAACCGGGTGGTTGTGGATTTGGGATAGATATGAGGGACCTTGGAGAACGATGGTCGCCATGGTATGTTCTCAGACTTTGCCCTATAACTATACCACCGTTGAGGTGTTTTCCTTCCCCAGCCTCTAGCTAAACATCAAAATGCTTCCAGGCAACGTTCTTTTGGCCACCGCATTGGTCATTCTCACGGTATATGGGGAGCAGAGGCGGTCTAGCGATGCTGTCAGCAGTCTCGACGAGGATTGCCTCTGTCCTATCTACACATCTCTTTCACAATATCAGTTCCTCGGTGGTAGGCCTGTCGAAGCGTCTAACCGACGGAAGGATGGCACAAGTACGTTCTACAAAAGAAGGTATTCTGAAAGCGGGAAGCTCTTGATCGATATCTGTGATAGCAGGGTGAAAGTTGCTTCAATGTATGCCAGTGCCAAAGCACGCTGTGAGGGAGGAAACCCCGTAGCCAGCGCTTCCTATTGGCGAAAGCTCTGCGGGGACAGCCTTACCCGAGGGGACCTTTCCGAGGTCGAGGCCAATGTGACGGACACACACATTTTATCCATGCGTGTTGTCGATCCGGACACCAACAATACCATGTCGACGGGAACCATAGACTCCCCAGTCCTGCTGAGCGAGACATACTACGAGCGAGCCTACAAGACCTGTGTGTGTTCCAATTCCCTCGATGTCCTGGGTAAGCTAATTTGATATCAGGTGTTCCACGAGAAAAGCCTGGACCAAGCTATCCGCTTTGGCTGGGGACTCATGGGATACTGGGGAGTTGTCCTTCTCCTCGGTACCATAGCCAAGATATCGAGTGTCTGGTCGAGACAGCGGCAAGTAACAGCCAGATATTCGGGTACTGATGTTATCGAGGGAGGCTTGTGTCCGAAGCGAAGCTTGAGTATGGTCTCCTCCGCCCTGCATGCCCTACGAACATACATCGTCATGCCTGCAAGCTTTACTCCGCTTTTACCAAATCACCAACAACTACTGTACTGGTATACGATTCCAACCCGACTAGACCTTCTTATCATCTGCGGCTTCTGGACACTTTGCATTGTCCTAGCGTGTGTGGACTTTGATGGAGACACCAGGTATGAGCAATAAGGCCATTTCCGCGCACTGTTCCTGATCTAAGCGACAGCGCATCGAGTCTGCCCCAACAAAACTGGCACTACTCTTCCGATCGCACCGGGGTTCTGGCATATGCCTGCCTACCATTCCTGTGGCTCTTCAGCGGTCGAAACAACGTTTTTCTGTGGGCGACGAACTTTAGCCAGCAGTCCTTCAGCGTCTTCCACCGCAATATTGCGTGGGCGTGCGCGATTCTCTCCGTCGTCCACTCTGTCAACTACAGCATCATTGTTGCTTACTATGGTATGTTTACTGTCTCGTCAGGCGTCGGATGCTGATACGTACAGAGAACGCATATCAAATCGCATGGACCCACAAGCCATGGTATATGGGGGTAGTGGTGAGCTTGACAGTGTCCACCAACTGGATCGTTCTAACATTCTGCAGGCGACCATTGCCATATCTGCGATGATAGTCCAATCGACAACATGGCTCCGTCGCAAATGGTACGAGGCATTCCTAACCATCCACATCGCCCTTGGCATCGTCATACTCGTTGCCCTTTTCCAGTACGTATCGACCTACCATTTTCAGGCTGCACCATCAAGCTAATTAGGACAGACACACCAAGCCCGACGGGCTAAAATGGAACGCATATCTATGGACTGTTGTCGCCATCTGGGCGTCCGATCGCATGCTCCGTTTAAGCCGAATTGCCTACTGCAACCTTGACATCCACATCAGGAAGCACTCTATCACGACGCCCCACTCTACGGTAGAGTACTGCGAGGCCAGCAATCTCATCAAACTCGAACTGACAACAACCTCATCACGACCCACCCCCAAACCCGGCCAGCATTACTTCCTCTACCAACCAATATCCTTCCGAGGGTGGGAGAACCATCCCTTCGCCCTAGGCGCTTATCTCCCTGTCTCCAAGAAAGACGAGGAAAGAGATATCCTTCGCCCGAATGAGAAAATGAAACTACTCTTCTACATCCGGCCCTACGACGGATGGACTAAATCCCTCCGCAACCGCTGCCGCTCGTCCAAACAAGCCAATACCATCCACCCCAAACTCCTCCTGGAAGGTCCGTACGGCCATCCTGCCCCGCTCCACACCTTCAACTCCATCCTCCTGATTGCCGGTGGAACCGGCATCGCAGCTATTCTCCCATACATTCTAGACCACGTCTCCCGCACAGCCGAACAGCGCACAGGCCGCACGACCCGAACAACGAGAATCCATCTCATATGGTCTTGCCGTCAGGCGAGAATCTTTTCGGATGTCTTCGACGATGACAGGCTCGATCATGTCTGGCGCAGTGATGCTCTCGTGGCCGATTTCTTTTGGACTGGGTCTGCGTTGACCGGCGATACTGTTACTGTCGATCTCGAACGCGACAGTCTCTCCGGTGATGGTGATCTCGAGGTCGGCGTTGAGAACCAGACAGGTCTGTTTCGCTCGAATCGGCGCTTTCATTCCGGTCGACCTGACGTGGGGGAAATCATTGCATCGGAAGCCCGGGATGCGCGGACGAGCTGTACGAATCTGGCAGTGCTGGCTTCCGGGCCGGCACGGATGGCGGATGATTGTCGGTTTGCCGTGTATGAGGCGATGCGCCGCGGCGGTTGGAAGGATGTTGAGTATTTTGAGGAGGCGTTTTCTTGGTGACAAGCAGCTAAACAGCTTTGCATTTCTTCTCTCTTCAAGGGCATTTTCAGCAATCATATCTTTCTTGTGAATTGCGTTGTTGGTCAAGTTATACGACTAGTTAAACTCCGCAATAGATTGCTGATGTAAAGCAAGCCACACACGTTGTGGCAATCATGATATATACTAGTTAGGGGGTCTAGGGTGTCTCAACAACACCCCCTTTCCCAAAGTGGAAACATGATACACTCGTCATCTTTCAAGGTGTTGTTGAGAGGAGAATGGAACTATACTAAAACCTGCAAGGATACTACTAGGTGAGGAAGTAATAAGTACGAGGCTGACTTGGAATGGTGCATGCAGAAGATGTCGATGGACGGGAAGAGGGCGGAACACTTTGTGGGTGCGTGTTTCTCTTTCCGAAGGCACAGTGGTAAGGTACTTACTTATATTAGGAATGGCAAGAGCGATCCCACCGTGCATGCACAGCACACACAGGTAGTAGGTCTTCACAACTTTCCTGCATAGTAATCCATTCTACCCCAACCATCCCAAGGAGACACATCTCCTCTCTATCCTCCACCACCACCCCCACCCCCAATTCACTCCTTCCTGACTTCCCACTCCCGAATACTGATCTTCTACCTTGACCAGCTACTTTACACTAGCTCGACAATGATCCTTCTCCTATTCCCAACGGAAATACCGTCCGATCTGATACCCCCCCCCCCCCCACCCCATACCCCGCGGACAATCCCTCGACCCACCACCTCCGCCCATATGTCCATAGTCTCACCCAGAGACGCAACTGGACTTTTCGCTTACCTTGATGTCTGCGCTCTGCGAGCCAGACAAGTCCTCAAACGATGAGAGAAAAGAAATAGGGTTGGGTACTAATACGATACTTGCAGGACCGAATGATCGGTTTGATCGGGATATGGGTTGATCTAGTTGGCTCGATAAAGTAGCGGAAGATATCCTCCCAGCTGTCAAGCTTGACCTGCTTGGTGCGGGCGGCGGAAGACGAAGCTACTAGGGCCAATGAATGCTAAATGTCCAGACGGCATTGTGGGAAGATAGTGCGGCGAGACTTTTACATTCGTTCGAGCAAGTCTTTTCCAAGGTACGGGTGTGTATTATATAGCAGTTGTGGTCCACGTGCTGTCGGGGATAGTTAGGGAAAGAGGCAATGTGAAGTCCTGCAATCGGGGTTACTGCAATGATAAATCCATCCATCAATCAATCAATCAACCAATCAACCAATCAATCATAGCTCATTGAGACATCACTCGTAACTGCATCTATATAAACCTGAAATGAAACGTATCAACTGCACAACTCCCCGCATAACTATAACTACACACCCCCTCCCTCCGGAGTAAACGTCTCCGCGCGCTTTCTCTCCTCCGCCGGTACCGTCTTCCGCCACGGGTAATAATGCCAGCACGCCCACGCCAGCATCGTGGCGAGGGTCAACGGGATCGTGATGGCCCAGTAGATCCAAAAAGACGACGTCATGACCTCCTTCCCGTTGCTGTAGTCGAAGAAATTGGTTCCGAAGAGGCCCTGCATGGTCAGTACGGGAAAGCAGCAATGAACGTTAGGCACGAATCAACCATACCGATACAAACGTCCCCGGCAGATATACCATACTGACGATGGCGACGGTCTTCATCATCGCACTGTCGGATTTGGCGTCGCCGCCGAAGCGTTGCGAGACGAGGTTGAATCCCTGTGGATTTTGATTAGCTTGTGGGATGAGATGGACAGAGATGTGTGAGTTATCGCATAGCAGAACATGGGATGGGGATGGCAGAGGTAGAGGTGGAGAGAGGAAGTGAGAAGGAGGGAAAGAGGTGAAAAGCAAGTAAAGAACAAGGAACCAAATAAGAAAGGAAATAAAGACCAAATTAATCTCGTTGTGCAACCTCTCCGCTAACGACCGACTCCTCGTCTTTAGCGAATGCAGCTCCTTTGCACGGAACAGCAGCTGGCGCTCATTCTGTAGCCATGTGCCACGGTCGAGCGTGGGATAGAGATCGCGCGAGCGGGCCTGTTCGGTAACCAGACTCTGCAGGGTATGTTCGGCAATTTCGAGGGTCTCATTGGAGTGGAAGATGTGACGAGCGATGTCATGGAGGTGGGGGAAGAAGTCGGGGGTTAGATTGGTGGTGTTGACTCGGGCCTGGTGATTTTGTTTTGTTTCTTAGGTATCTGGTGGCAGGTAGATGAACAGAGGGAGGAATATCAGTTTACCTTTTCAGTTGTGCGGACCAGATCGCGCAGCCCCCAGATCGATCGATCGTAGAGTTCGATAATGGCGCCCGCGAAGGCTGTGTGCCAGACATAGGGGTTGCGGTTGCGTGATTTTGCCGGGGGGAGGAGTTGAAGGAATTCTTTGTCTTCAAGGGGGAGGTCGATGATGTAGATGACCTGTCTCTGGGTGTTGGGGTACCAGGTTACGAAGACGGTGGTCTGCACCCATTCGTACTGATGGGGCTCGCGAACGCGCTTGATTTTGAAGCACGACCAAGATACTGACTGCCTCGTTAGGATTGGAATTGACGGTGTTGGGTTTCGCTCTGGGGCAAGGACGGGGGGAGGGGGCGCGAGACGTACCGTGCTTGACAAGGTTGTACTCGTCGTCGAGGACATCGTCGCAGTAGAAGGACCCGTTCAGGTCCTTGCAGATGACGGGCCAGAAAGGCTCGGGAAAGAGGTGGTGCAGATGGTCCTTGAGGGCGTCGGCTTTGGAGAATCTGTGAGCCGTTAGTCAGGCTCTGCTGGGAGGGATGGTGGATGGGCGACGTACATGAGAGTGGAGTGAATTGGGTTCTGTGGGGGTCAACACCGTCAGAAGGAGTAGAGTAGGAGTAGAAGTAGAAGAAGTAGGAGGGAGATACCTGAAGAGGCAGCTCGGACACACCCGCTTGCCGCTCGAGCCACCGGTCGGTGCCTGAGTCTGTCAGCCGTCAGCCGTCATCTGGCCCTCGCCTCGCCCACGCACCGGCTTCCTCATAAACTGTCATGCCGTCGACCATCATTATTTCGCACGTCGAGCTAGTCGGCAGCTTCTCCATCCGCCCCATCGTCCGTCACGGGGAGGGGCTGCATCGGACACTTATCTATCTAGGCTGACAGCGGCCACCGCACAGATTTATAGCCCGACCCACCAGCAAACTCGCAAACTCGCGAGGCTGGATGTTGGCGCTCTTGCTAGCCGCCGGCCGGCGCTTAGTGTGTCGTCGGTCCACGATGCCCAATTGTGTCGTGTCGTGAGGCAATGCGATCCTGGTGGTCGCATATTCTCCGTGCCCTGTTCGACTCTCGGATCGTTATAGCCAATCGTCCCAGGTGTCCCGGGGCCAGCCCTCACAGCCACAGGCAGCACCTGCATCAATTCATTCGACTACGGAGTCCTTCCGCTGCAGTTCTGGGCAGTCTAGAAAGGGGGAGAAATCATCGCAAGGCGACGCGCATCACCGTCGTGTCATTCATTATGGTGTCTATGTAGTCCCGTTGCAGTGGTGGTCGCACGTACTCAGGAAGTGGCACCAGGCGGGCTACACCCTGGTCGCTCAGCCTCTGCTGCAGAGGGTACAACGTCTATCCTATCTCACGGAGGGGGGCAGTGCCCTCATGAATATTCGACAACTCCGACCACCCGCACCTGGCATGGTGCGTCCAAATCCTTCCATCGCAGTTGGACTAGACAAATGCCTCGTCGCTTTCATCTAGCAAATCTACGCTGTCCCGCGTTTCCACCGTCGGTGGGGGAACAAACAGGGACAGCGTGGTGAACAGCGAGTCCGTCTCACTCGGTAGCACAACCCCCCTCTGGCGGGCCGTCGTCCGCAAAGACTGCAACACCACCCGGCTCGACTCCCACCGCCGTGAAAAGGACTTGGCCGCGATGCTGAGCGTGATGAACGCCTCGCGATTGCGGGGCTCTTCCAGATCGTCCAGCAGCGTGAACAAACCCCCCGTGATGCACTGGATGTTGCTCACCGGCATCCGGTCCACCCCCCAGCACGAGCGGTGGATGCGCATCAGTTGGGCGATATTCCGCGCCGACGAGAAACACATCTCGCGGACCTGGTGGGGCGATGTGATTTGTTGACTTGAATGGGGGTTGGGCGATGGATGCTTGAGATGCTCGTACATCGTCATGATGATCGAGTGATAGTACATGCTGGTTTGGTTAGCGCAGTCCGGCAAGGGGCTGATGATAACCTACTGTAGACAGAGAATATGGGGTGCTTCAATGCTGTTCCCCTTCAAACATGTCGGCCAGCGATTGGAGCAGAGACGAAGACGCTCGTGGAGCTCCGCCACCCGGCTTTCTGTCTCCATCTGCGGTCGCTGCGGAGCTTCGTGGAATGTTATGGCCACATCGTAGGCAATCAGACTGAGAGCAGACAGCGCGTTGGCAAGACAGACCGTGTGCCCCTCGGTTCCCTCGGTCGCGTCTGGATACGGCCGCCAATCATCGTGGCCCGGTTCGTGGTTGACGGGCGGGAGACTATGTCGTTGTGGGGGTCGTATCAGCGGGCGATTCTTGTCGGTCAACGCGTGCATCCTGCCAGGGTTAGTTGTGCTCCGTGAGGGGACTCGTGAGATCCTACGTGGAGACGTTGAAGAGGCCCCAGACAGTACGGTTGGTGGCTCGAACCATGCGGAGCGTGTCCTCATCGGCGGCGGATGCAAGGACTGAATTCTTCTGCGAAAGTTCCTGGATCGTGTACGCCAGCTGAGCTCGATGGATCCAGCCTTGTCGGTCGCGACCGGTCATGGAGGCACTGGACAGTCAGTCAAGACCTCTGCATCTTGGAGAACACGCATACCATGCCCACAAAACGCCTAACCCCTGGACGGTCGGAAGCGTAATCCGCCCTTCCTCCTTGTGCAGGAGCTCTTTGGCCTCGTCGTAGAAGCGGACTCCTTTCGAGGCCAGATCCCCGGCGATCGCGTACGCCTCGGGATAATCGGAGTATGCCTGATGCCGTCAGCCAAGCCCAGCCACGCGGCGGGAATAAACCTACACAAGCATCCGCCAGGATAATGTTCACCAGGAATGGGGAGCAGAACTGCCCGTCCAACGATCCCGCCCGCATGTCCCGCACAAACAGATCCTTATCTATCCAGTTTCGGAAGGGGTGCGACCAGGTGAACCACAGCGATATCAGATGCGAGACGAAATCGTTATCGGAGACGACGTTAGTCCAAGGGCGGGCGGGGACCTGGAACGGGGGCATGTCGGAGAGCCGCTTGGCATCGAGGATCCGACGCATCAGGCGCGACTCGGACGGCTGGAGCTGTTGCACCTCCTGGCATACTTCCACCAGTTCCGGCGTCTGGGCCAGCTCCAGCCGGGGCAGCTGGTGGTTGATGTAGTAGCGGATCTCGTCGAGGGAGGCTTCGCTGCGGATGAGGCTGATGAGGGGAGCAGCGCGACGGTTGCCACTCTCGCGGAGGACCCCGACCAGGCGGACGAGGAGGTCCTCCTGGTCCGCGAGCTGATCGATTTTGCGTTTCAGGGCGCCGCGGCGGCGTTTGTCGGCGCTGCGGTCGAGGGTGCATTCGACTTTGCTCTTGACACAGTTGGCGCAGGGGACGGAACCTGTGCACTATTGGAGGTCAGTCTCTCTCTCAGCCTCCAGGTCTGCAACCGGGCAGTACTTAGATACCTTGAGCTTTCGCGCCTTGCAAGTGGCACAGGCGGTACCGACGTTCTTCCTGCGCTGTTGGGCATCGAGGGCGGCGTTGGCACCCGGCGGGGCGGGGGCCAGAGGGCGCGACTTAGTTTCGGACATGGCGTTCGTCCATGGTGGAGGGACCGAGGGAGGGAGGGGCGGGTCGGGGCGAGAAGAGAAGAGGGAGAGAGGAGAGAGGAGCGAAGACAGGGGGTGGAAAAACTAGCAGGTGAAGCATCGGGCCTAGGACGGCGGACAGGGAAGGTGGGAAGTGGGAGGGAGGAGGGAAGTGGTCTCGGTCGGGTCGGTAGATACTTACTAGTATCTGGCGGGCAGAACTACTTACTTGGGTAGGCGGGCGTACTTTGGAGACTTTGGAGTTCGGGCGAGGAGAAAGGAGGAAGATGGCGCATGGTGAGTGGATGGAAGCCACTTCCTGACCTCGATCGCCAGCCCGTGACTGCCTGCCCCACCGCCTGCCCCTTGGCCATGCCGCCATTGGCTGCCGGGACTGCAGGCGGCTTCCCCGCCCGGGATTGCCACACGCCGCCCTGATTGGCCGCCGCCTCAGGCACTGCGCAGTGATGGTCGGCCGATGTCCCATGGCGAGTCATGCCTGAGGTTATCTTAGTCGGACACTTTCCGAGTCCCTCGCCTCTCTTCTCTACGGAGTCTACTCCGTACAGAGTATCTAGTCCACTCCTCCTTTCCGCAGCGTGGATCTGGATGAGGAACCCAGACTCCAGCACAGACACCCGGATCGCTTTCATCAGTCTGTGTGACCGGAATTCACTTCCTGCGGGTAAGCCGTGCACCCGGCCTTAGTACCCCCCCCCCCGTTAAGGACATGGATCATAGCTGGTTTTCAGCCATGGCGCAACTGTGACATCGCCTGATCCCGGCCACCCTAGCTACTATTGGTGTAGAAATGCCTATCGGGCTGCAAGTCTGCGTGGGCTGGCCTACGGGGTATGTACAAAAAGTACAACTATGGAGGATTGATCAGCATCCCCCGATAGTTACGCCCATCCACTCACACTAACTGCAGTCTATTCATTCTATATACGCTGTACTCCCTACAGATGGCCGGATTCATACCTCCTTTCCAGCCACGTCTACGCCCACGTCGCCTGTTCTGGTCTGTCCCTGCGACTCGTCCGATCGCCTGCCATTCTCCTCGTCCTCGCGCCAGAAGCTCCTGTTCCCCTGAGCGGCTCGCCGCAGCCACGGAGGGAAGAACCCCCCAGGGATCTTCCACGTCCACGGCTCCTTCTCATCCTTGTTCGGGGAACGACCCGTCCCATCGTCGCGGTCTCGATCAGCCAGACCATGCCGTTGAGCGTGATGTAGCTCAGAATCCCGGCGATCAGGCCGTACGCGATACTGTACGTGAAAGGCATGATGGCGATCGTCAGGAACGCAGGGATGGCGTCCCCAAAGTACCGCCAGTTGATCTCCGCAGCCGCTTTGGCCATCAGCGCCCCCACAATGACCAGAGTGCACCCCGTCGCCCAGGGGGGGATGGACGCGAAGATTGGCGCGAAGAACACGGCGACGAAGAAGCAGATTCCCGTCGTGCAGGAGGTCAGGCCGGTCTTGCCGCCCTCGGAGATCCCCGCGCCGCTCTCCACAAAGGCTGTCACGGGGGAGGTACCGAACAGCGACCCTATCGAGATAGAGATCGCGTCGACCATCTGTTGGTCAGCGAGGATCCACACAATGGAATAGGGGTTGAACTTACGTAGGCTAGAGCGCTACCCTCGAAATCCTGCGTCTGCGGGTCGATCGTTCCCGCGAACCGGGCCATGGAGTATAGGGTGCCGGTGGTGTCGAGGATGTCCACGTACTGCGTCAGTCAGCGACCATTCCTTGCACCGGTACTGAAGTCGCCACGAACCAGGAAGGTAATGAAGGCCAGCCCAAACTGGGACCCGTGCTCAGAAATATCCCAGTCCTGCGCTACAAGGGTGCGCGTGATCGGATGGAATGTGACTACCTTCTTGAAGAAATTAAACATGCTGTCCCCGAGCTCGGTATGAGGAAAATACGTCACGGGCGTCGGACGCGGCCATGAGATGATGGACACCAGCAGGATTCCGATGATGACGGCGCCCTTCACCCGGTAAAGCATGAGCATGGCCGTGAGAACCCCGCCGCAGAAAATCCCGATCCACATCGTCGGACTGCGCATCTTCGCGGAATCCGGACAGACACCGGCCGTCGCGTCACGGAGGCTCTCGCTACACCCCGCCAGTTCAATCGGTGAGTCCGTGGCTCCCGTCACCAGCCCAATCCCTGCGCTCTAAGTCAGTCCGATCAAGGTAAGATACAGGCCAATGCCTGTTCCCGTTGCCAGTTTGATCGACGCCGGTAGCGCGCGGGCCAGCCACTGGCGGATACCCAGCAGGGTCAAAGCCAAGAAGACGAACCCCTCCACAAAGACGGCCGTAAGGGCTACGCGGTACGGGATCATACCGAACCCATGATGTCCGACCACCGTGTACGCGAAGTACGCGTTCAATCCCATACCGGGAGCCAATGCGACCGGCAGATTCGAGAAGATGCCCATGCAGAAGGTAGATAGTGCCGAGATGGCCGCGGTTGCGGTGACGATGTCGCGCTTGACTTCCTGCACACACAGCAAGTACTCAGTGTTGCTGTCGCACTGATCAGCGTAGCTGTCCGGCGGACAGACGCAGGTTCCCCCCGTGTCAGAAGTGATGGTCGCGTTGACACTGATGATATAAGCCATGGCGAAGAAGGTGGCCAGCCCGGCGCGGAGCTCTGTGAAGAAGAAGCTGCCTGCTCGTTCTTTGGGCTGCCCCCCGGTCAGCACACTCCTCCATGGTTCACCGAAATACTAACATGACCCGAGTTCTCCAGGCGGAACCATCGGCCGACGGGGCTTCGAGCCACTGCTCGGTTGACTCGATGCACCCAATCTGTGTAACGCATGGTGGCAACAATCCCGTGGTGGTTGACAGCAAACGACTCACTCTCGCGGGACCCCGAGCTTTATGATGCAGGGACCACGGTGGCGCGGACGAACAAGGCCAAGAATTTGTCTCAGATAAGACAGCTCAGGCCTATGACTGCCAATCCTGTCCTTCGCGAAGAATCCTGTCGCGGACATCTTGGCAGCTTGGCAAACCCAGTCCCGGAGGTCACCCCGTGGATGGCGCCCTTGGCAGCAGCACAACCAGCAATCAGAGCGGAATCCAGTCCGGAACTCCTTATCAGCGGGGATATTATCTGGCAGGTGGGTTGTCACGGGTCATCTTTGGGAGAATGCAAAGGAGATGAAAACTCTGAACCGTGGACAAGTATTGTTATATCTTCATGAAGACGGAAAGCCTACAGCAGCACATAAACAACACCGTCGGATTATTAGATTAATGTAGGTGACCGGCTAGCTAGCGAAGGAAAAGGGAGGAAGAGGTGGCTGCGGAGGCAGTCACTGGCACCGCTAACCTCAGGCAGCACCGCGCTGACAATATATATATATATATATATCATTCAAGCCGCTTTATCCTGGAACACAGCGGGCGCTGGCGCGAAGTTACTCTTTCGTCGCAACGCTGGCCCATAGAGGATAAACCCCAGGGGGATCGGAATCATGATCAGGGCCAAACATCCTAGCAATGTGCCCGCCCATTGCACCCCCAGGTTGACGAACATCTGCCTCGCGAAGAGCGGGAAACAGGCTCCGACGGCAGATCGAAGGATCGTGTTGGCGGCGAAAACCGAGGCAGCGCTGTCCGGTCGGTCAGTCCGCGTCAGACAAGGGATGCGATACTTACAATTGCAGATACGAGTCGATGAGATAGTTGAAGCACTGCAGGAAGATGCAATAGATTCCAAACCCCGTGAACAGTCCGGACGCGGTGGGGGCCATCCAGTGGATCGATCGTGTCCATCCGGTCCAGCCATACCAGAAGAGCCCGATGGTGAAGGTGATGCCGCCCACAATCGCCGGGGCAAGCCTCCACTCGGGGATCGGCACATCATTATTGGCTCTCAGTTTCTTGGTATATGAGTTTTGGCTCATCAACACAAATACTCCCCCCAGGAACTCTCCGATGATCAAGCCGATGAAGGGCAGGCTACCCACCCCGAGATTCATCCCGTGGATCTCCTGGAAGACGACCGGATATGCCGCCAACAGGGCGTACATCAGCCCGTAGATGAAGGACATGTACAGCGTCACCAGAAAGACAATCGGCTCGGTGAACAGCATACGGAAAGGTCGGCTGAAGTTAACCGTAACGAGCTCCTTGAAGTCGATCTCCACCTCATCTTGCTTGGCATGGATTCCCCAATTCCGTGTCTGGCGACGTACGGTGGCAGCTTTCTCCATCAGCAACGCGGGGGCGTATGTCTCCTTGTAGAATAGCAGCAACAAGGCAGACCCGAAGAAACCCATGATGGCCACGATGTACATGGTCCATCGCCAGCCAAGGTAGCTCATGGTTATGAAGCCGCCAGTAAAGGGAGAGGCAAAAGGCCCGACAAAGACCGCCATGGCGAACATGGCGATCGCAACCCCGCGTGTGCGGTTGTTAAAGACATCAGCCAACGCCGCAGGGACAATGGACAACGGACTGGCGGCAAACAGCCCGGCGAAAAACCGCGTCAGCATGATTGTCTGGACATCCTTTGCTGTCGCGGTCCCGATGGTGAAGATACTGTATCCCAAGACTCCCGCGGTGATGGGCCACCGTCGACCCGAGAGTTCCGACGCCGGGGCCCAGAAGGTCGGCCCGGCCGCGAATCCCAGAACATACAGCGTGACGCCGAGAGTTGCGACCTCGGTGCTGATGCCGTAATGGAGACCGACGGCAGCGACGGTGGAAGAGAAGATGGCGCTGGCGAAAGAGGCCACAAAGGTCACATACGCCAGGATGACCGACAGCAGGATTCTGGTCTTGTCAGCTTCATGACCCCATCCGCAGCTGGTGTCCACCGGAGCGCAGCGTACTTTGTCCGCGTCGGCCAATTGTGCGGATGCATTGGATCGTGGTCATCGATGAACTCGACCACATAGCGATCTGGATCCGGCAACGAGGGAGGGAAGTCCTTCCCCCCGCCCATGGCGAGCCATTGCTCCCGGGGCGTCTGGGGAGCCCTGGACCCGACCGTCGACTCGTGCGTCAGACGCAGGGTCTCGATGCGGGAGACCTCCAGGTTGGTCTGCGGCCGGCTGAGCGTCGCGCTGCTCCGCACCGGCTGGAAGCTGCCATGGGTAGTGGGGATCTCCGACAACGAGCTACTCGATCCTGATGAAGGCATTCTGGCGTGTGCTATAGCTGCTATCATCCCGGGGGGATCGGATGGTTTTATTCTGAGATTCCAGGTCCGGGCGAGTGATGGTGTCATGGAGGGTACGATCCATGGTACCCCCCCCTTCGCACTCGGCAGTCAGCGGAAGTTACGGATTACTGATATAACAAAGAGCCAGTGTCGGACTTTCAAGTACCTTCTCTCGTTTTGAGCTGGAAAGTGATGAATGGGAACAAAAAGAAAAAAACCAAACTCTGTCTATGTATATGTTGTGATACTTTCTAGGCCGCCATACGCTCAACTCGAAGCTGCAGTTCCTTGACCAGATCCATCCCAACCTTGGTAGCTTCATCCAGGCTCTCATCCTGCAATTCGAGCAGCTCATTCTGCGCCTTGGCCGAGAGATCACTGGATTCATCCGGGTAAAACGCCCTTGCGTACAGCAACTTGCTAAAACCCGCCATATTCCCCACTTTCACTTGCGCCAGGCCATCCGCATATCTCTTCCTGGTGTCCTCGTGGGTGATGGCCCAGTCGGCGTCGGCAGTGCCGGTGACACGCTTGACGCTCTCAAACATATCGTTTTGGCTGACGACAAAGCTCTTAACGTACACGCCCTTATTGAGAAACGCCGACAGAGTAAGACTCTCATCGTCTTCGTCCTCGGGAAGCTCCTTCAGGCTCAGGACCTTGGCCACGGCGCGCCCGACCTGCGATAACGTCGACGTCGAGATCTTGGTGTTCCCATCGTCGTAGATGGTCAAGGAGCGCTTTTCAAAGTCGAACCCAAAGCGAGCGGCCCCACCTGCCAAGCTGTAATCATACCAGAACCCACAGCACATGGTGATCCACTGCATGCCGAGCCTCTCAATCTCATCCCTGTGGGCCTTGGCCACGGGCCCCAGCATCGTGTCTTCGCCGAGTTGGATGTTGTCAATGTCCGCGCCATACCCGTTCGGCATGATGTAGGGAACACCGGCCTTGGCGGCTGCCTGGACAAGCTTGCTGTGGGTGTCCCGGGGCGCGGTCGGGGCCATGGTGATGATGAAAAACTGCTGGCCCTTGAGGGCGGCAACAATGCTCGCCTCGTCGTCGTAGTCGACCGACGCGACGAGAACGCCCGCGGGGAGTCTGTTGCCGCTGTCTTTCCGGGACAGCGCCGTCACGGTGTGTGTTCCCGTCTTAAGAAGCGCGTTCGCAATATGCGACCCAATCGTCCCTCCTGCCTAAGTGTGTGTAATTTTTTTTTTCTTGTCAGTTTTGTTGCATACGTCGTGTTGTTGATGGGTTGGCGGGGTACTTACGCCGACAATGGCGACTCTTTCGATGGCATTTTTGAAGTCGACGGGCTGGCTTTTGGCGTACTTGGGCATGATGGTTGGGTTCGTTGTTGGGAATGTATGGGATGATGTTCGAGGTGTGGAAGCTTGGGAGAGTGTGGTATCGTTTTGAATTGAAGTGTCTGGTCTGGCTGTCCCTCTCTGGCTCTGGTGCAGGGAATGCCCGGGGCTATTTATACATTTGTCAGACCCCGTCTCTCTCCATCTCAGCCGTGTCATATCTGATCGTACTGGAACCTCTCGGGCAAAGGTTCTCCACATGCTCGAGGGTCTCCAACTTAATTAGATCGCGGAAGTTCACTCTTGATTCGCCCGGAGATAGGGGTAGCAGTGGGCGAAGCCAGTCAAACTAAGTCGTGATGCGTTTCTCCGCAGCAGCCGCACGCAGGGGTCCCGCTCCCGCTGCCTGATAGGCTGGTGCGGGGCGAGGGGTAATATGAAGTCCGCAATAGCCGCACATAAAGCCGCACAAGGCGGCGCATCGGGCGCATTGATGATCGAAATGCGGACCGACGGACTCATAGAGCTGCGAGCATGTAGTTATGAGTACAAGCTGACATACACTCTATTGCGCATCGCGGGTGAGATGTCATAGATCAACACGCCCTCTATCCAAGACTGGGCGTGGCGTCCAAGAACACGGTGCAAGAATTAAGTCAATTGCAGTGAGATTGCTTGTTCTATGATCATCTCTATGTTACATCATTATATTATTAGAGATACAACGACACCCGCGTCACTATAGCTGGAAGTCAGGATCGAGCATGGATAGATATGGCTCGATGAAGAATTGATCCCAGTCCATCTCCCAGTTCATGTCCGGCACGGTGGTGGTGGCCTCGGATACCGGCGGTGCCGGAAAGAACTCATAGCCCGCCTCGACGGCTTTCAGCTGCGCAAGTTCTTTTCGCTTCTTTGCCATATTAAGGCTGAGTAGGTGGCGCGCCATTGACAACGCCTCGCGCGTCAGTCCGGTGTCGGCAGCCTTGACAAGGTTCTCCAAGCCCTTGAATGCGCCGCCGATGTGGGCGGAGGCTGCCGGCGTGTCCATGGCTAACAGGATGCAGGTATATTGGAAAACGCTGCCGATGACGTTCCAGAACAGACGACCTTGGATAGCTTGTTGCTCGGCCGCGTCCACAGCGGCGTTGCCGCTATCAATGATATGATTTATTGTATCGTCCGGTATTCGGATTTTGAGCTGGTAAAGGCGTCGATAGAAGCAAAACGCAATGTCCGCCTTGGTCACCACAAGAAACGGATGGGTAAATTGGAGCTCATCCAACGCCTTGAGACGCTTCAGTAGCTCCTCACTCGGAGTTGGAAGCTGCAAGTCGATCTGGAACGGAGAATTGGGCGAGGGAATGATCTGGATCAGTCGGACGAACTGATCCGCGACGGACCCCGGTATCGAGATGATAGGCTGGCAAGTCACGGAGCGGAATACTACAGGCGACCGATCGTACTCATAAGACAGTATAGTATGCCCAGCCCACGAGATCCAGAAGATTCTCCTCAGCCGGTCAGCGTCATGACCAGCGACGGACGCTATCTTCCGGATGTTCTCTTCCTCATGGAGCCCGATCGCTTCACAGAGGTGCATTTGCGTGCACGAAGCGATCCAAGCATTGCTGGGCCGGGTCGTTGCCCGTAGGTAAAACACTCGCATGCCCCATGCGACGACGTGGTCGATGCCATGCAAACGCATGGAGGCCGGATCATCGAGGATGGCTTTGGCGTACTGCACCAGGTCAGACTCTCGCGGGTGCCGGTTGGGAGATAGAAACGACCCGAGAGCAGCGACGCCGGCAGCCACGGCGGCAAAGGCGACCGCGTTGCTGCCCACGCCGTGGTAATAATCTCGACATCGCTGGGCGTGGATTCTTGGGTCCAGCACGTCGCCGACCGGGCCCAATCCCGAGAAGAACACACCCGAGAAAAAGCCCAGGTCTTCCTCCGAGATGAGATTTCCCAGAAGGCCGTGGGCATTGGATGCCTCCTCGGGGCGAATGCCAAAGTTGTAAGCGAACGACCGCATCTTGGGGGGGCTGTCGGAACCGAGAGCCACACCCAGGATGTGCGGGAATGCCATGGCTGCCGATGCTCCGGCGTATCTGAGCTTCTGCTCGTCGAAGATTCCTGGGGACGCGCCGGCCACGACGGTCGACGAGCCGTCGCCCTCGCGGCGGTCTCGACAGGTTTCACCGTCGAGACTGACGCGCTGGGCTGGAGGCGGCATAGTTCCGCCGCCTATAGAACCAGCGGGGTTGTCGTCGGTGTACCTGCAGTTGTATCCGTAAGTGGCGCACATGCCACAAGGATACACGGTGTCGCATTTTCGCTTGCGCTCATGGCAGGGGATGCATGCCTTCCTCGCACGCTTGCGCTTGACGGCTGTCGTCGACATGACTGGCAAGAGGGTTTGAGCTTCAAAGCCCGCAGCTGTGGTAATCGAACAGGAGTGTAGTGGATCTTCTGGCCAGCATTGCGGGGCGGGGTTGACGCGACCGTGGCATAGATTATTATGAAAGCGGCTAGCGCAACTCCATGCTCAGAGTCAACATGGATCGACCGACTGTTCGTCTACTAAGTATAACATCCCCTCGGGACGGCTGATTGCGGGGATACGAGGAATCTCGGCGGGGATGTGGTGGAGTTTCTCAAAAAGGGACACCCTTGGCTTCATCGGCCGGCACATCCGCTCTTACATCAGACACGAACATGTGAAGCTGAAATAATCGCCAATCGCCAATCGCCAATCGCCGGAACCTCGGTTGGTGCCGATCGTATCCAGACCGTTAACGATCCCGAGCCATAACTTCTACATAAACTGCCACAACGACCTCTTTGTCTCCTCCGTCTTCTCAGTCTCAACATCGCCAACGCCATGCCCGCCAAACTAATTCTCCCGTCCCTCAGCGCCTTTACTCTCTATGCCATCTGGTACTACGCCGAGGCCAACGGTCTGCTCGGCCTAGCCAAAGCGAGTATCGCCCGCCACACTGTCCCGGGCAGCAATGCGCCGCTCCGCACCGTCTACACGGGGCTGCCCCAGCTCGACGAGCTTCTGACCACCCTGACGACCTTCTTCTGGCCCACCACCGATGGAAGCCATCCAGCTCTTACCCTGCACACGCTGGGCTTCGCCGGTACCTTCGGGTCCGCCTGGATCCTGATTACCCTCGAATCCTGGCGACATGGAAACGCCTGGACCGTCGCAGCCTTGTAACTCCTCATTCCCCCCCATTATTCCCTCCCAACATCTCGCCCACCCAAACTGACCTGACACACTCCAGTCCGCTCATCTTCGGTCTCTCCGCCCAAACGCTCACTTTCGCCTTCGCCGCCCCCCTCTACTGCGCCCTGCAGCTCTCCGTCTCCCCCACCGCCAAATCCCCCACGCCCGACACCATCCGCATTCCCCGGCCCGTCCTGCGCGCTTTCCCCTGGGTGTTCGCCATCTCGTTCATCGTCCCCAGCGGTCTGATGATCCTGCCCGTTTCAGATACCATCACCACGGACCTGAAGCAGATCTTCATCGCTCTATGGCAGCCCTTTCCCGCGTATATTTCCCTCCTCCTCACTCTTGTCCACGTCGGGGGTCCCCCGCTCAACCGCCCCGACGGCACCGGGCGCAAAGACCTTCGCGCCCTCCGTTTCGTCTACGCGTTCGCGTTCGCGCACACGGCCATCAACCACCTCGTCTCCTGGACCATATCCCTCACCACGGTCTTCGCCCCCACTGTCATCGCCGTGCCGTTCCGGGAGCAGTTACACCCCAGCCTTGTGTTTGGAATCCCGACGCCGTGGACCTCGCCCGTCCTGCAGGTGACGAGCGTCGCGGAGGGCGTGCATGCGTTTCTCCGCTGGGATTGCCTGATCGGGTCCGCGGGAATGGTGGTTTGGGCGAGCGCTTTGTACGTCGCTGCGCACAGGGCGGTGTTGGGATGTGTGGGCTGGGGACGGTTGTTGGTTAAGGTGGTGTTGCTGGGGCTCGTGGCTGGGCCGGTCGGCGCGGCGGTGGAGTTGGTTTGGGAGAGGGACGAGCTGGTGTTGAGTGAGATGGGGGGTGTGAGGAGGGTGGCGGGGGAGAAGAAATAATTTTTTTGTCCGGTACACTGCCGATGGCACCATCGTGGAGGGGTGTGTCTTTTTGGATCAACAAACAACCATTTACCCCCCTGAAGGGAGAAAATAGTACCACCCCGTTGCTCGAATCCGATTGAACTTCCCTCATGCACGGTGGGATTGCAACCGAGGCATGTGGTCGCAGAATGCTGCAGATCTGATCGGACTCCAGTTGTATTCATCGACGATCAAAATCCCACATGACATCACCAATATATTTGACCTTCCCCTGTCATACCCCGGACGGGACGCCATGAGGCGAGACATGAGCTTGTTTCGTCTGACTCGAGTCAGTTGGCACCAGAGTAGCGACGATGAAATCTCCAGCCCCTCTTTGCTCGTTCCTTGCTCGTTCCTCGCTTGTCTATTTAGGCAGCATCACAAATAATAATGATCTGCCCCTTAATTTCATTTTCGAGAGCTCTGCGGCGGGAAAACTCTTCGAAAGCAACGGTCTAGTGGAGCGGCGGGAGGGCCGATGCCGCCAATGGCCGCCCCTTATCGACGGGCCTGCTGCTATCCCCGATGCATATCCACTCGCATCCACCGCATGTGTTCATTCTCGTCGGCTATCGGGCGATATCTCGGGGTCCCCTTTCGGGGTTGCTTTCCTTCATATTCAATGCTTTCCCATGCTGGATTTTCATACGGCTCAGCCCTACGCTCTTTGCTCCGATCCTTTTTCCGATGGTTTGATGCCTCACTGGTTCCCCCCCATCGCTGAAGCCTACCACAGGCGATAATACCGACCTCTAATTTCTCCTTTTTTCATCCCCCGCCCCTGGCATTCGCAACCATGTCTAGAAATGAGCGTGACTCGACAGAGCACATCTACCGCCAAACCGATGCCAGCCCTAACCCGGCCCCGCCCTGTGAAGATGTCGAGGATATCGACACTTCTCAGGCCAGCCAACAGAGCAAACCACGAATCACCGTCGTCATGATCGCTCTCAGCGTAAGTATCATAACTCAAAACGCCCATATCCATACTCACCCGCGCAGTTGGCCGTGTTTCTCGCCGCTCTCGACATCGTACGTGCCTCTTCCCCAGCTTGACCCTCACCCACTCACCAAACAGACCATCGTATCGACCGCCCTCCCTAAAATGGTCGCTCACTTCAAAGCCTCCGATAGCGCCTACTCGTGGATCGCATCCTCCTACCTGCTCGCCAATGCCTCCCTCGTCCCCCTCTGGGGCCGCATCAGCGACATCACCGGTCGAAAGCCCATTCTGGTGATCTCCGTCTTCCTCTTTCTAGTCGGCAGTCTGATCTGTGGTCTTGCCCAGAACGTATCGATGGTTATCGCCGGTCGCGCCATCCAAGGCGTCGGCAGCGGCGGCATCACCGTCCTAGCCAACATCTGCGTCTCCGACCTGTTCAACGTGCGCCGCCGCTCCGCCTACCTGGGCATCTTCGGCGCCACCTGGGCTATCGCAGGAGCCATCGGGCCCATCATCGGCGGCGCATTCACCACCTACTCCACCTGGCGCTGGTGCTTCTTCATCAACCGTACCCCCCCCTCCAAATCCTCCCTCTCTCCCTTACTAACCATATCAGTTCCCATCGGCGTCCTCTCCTTCTTCACTCTTCTCTTCTTCCTACGAATATCCACCCCTAAAACCCCCTTCCGGGACGCGCTCCACCAAATCGACTATATCGGCCTCGTCCTAATCGTCAGCGGCACCCTTATGCTGCTCTTTGGTCTCGAATTCGGCGGCTCCACTTACCCATGGTCCTCCGCGACAACCATCTGCCTCCTCATCTTCGGCGTGATCGCCATCCTCCTCTTCATCCTCCACGAGCACCGCACCCCCTACCCCATCATCCCCGCGACCCTCTTCACGGTACCCCAGAACCTCCTCATCCTCACCATCAACTTCTGCCACGGCGCCGTCTTCATCGGCGCCTGCTTCTACCTCCCAGTATATTTCCAAAACGTCCTCGGCGCATCCTCCCTCCTCAGCGGCGTATACCTGCTGCCACTGGTTGTCGCGCTCGCCGTCTCCTCCGGCTTCGCCGGCTTCATCATGCGCACAACCGGCCGGTGTCGCGAAGCCATCGTCTTCGGAATGGCATTCACCACCCTCGGCTACGGCCTATACATCGACCTGAAAGCCTACGCGTCCTGGCCGCGCATCATCCTCTTCCAGATCGTGGCTGGGTTGGGCATCGGGCCCAATTTCCAGGCCACGCTGATCGCGCTCCAGCGGAACGTCGCCGCGGAGGAGATGGGCCGGTGCACGGCGGCGTTTTCCTTTGTGAGGCAGTTGGCTGCGTCTGTGGCTGTCGTGGTTGGCGAGGTCGTGTATGGGGCGGTGGTTGGTGGGAAGGAGGGTGTTCTGAGTAATGCGTTGGGAAACGAGGTCGCCGCTGAGGTCGTCGAGGCTGCTACGGCCGTCGAGGGGATCCTGGATGAGTTGACTGAGGAGCAGAAACGCGTTGTTTTGGCTGTTTTGGTTGACGCGTTGAGGTGGGTTTGGGTGCTTTTTACTGCCGTTGCTGGGGTTGGGTTGTTGGTTAGCTTGGGGTTGAGGGATGTGAGGTTGGGGGGGCGAGGGAGGGGATGGCCATGATTCGGGAGGAGGGGGAGGAGTTGGAGGGGAAGAGGTAAGGAGGCAAAGGAAGGGGGGGGGGTTTATACTCGCGCGAAGGACAGGCGTCAGTCAGGCCAGTCCCGACCGCGGCCACATGATCACAATGCGACCGAATTCTCGAATAGGTAGCTACTCTGGCTCCCCCTTCCCCCATTTATGGTCCCCACCCACAGCGTTGCCCAGAATTGGAAGGTCGAGGTAATTTCTATGGAGTTGAGGTTTTGGTTGATTTTTTTTAATCAAAGGCTACATCACGTCTAAATGTCTGTTTTGCCGCATCACCCACAAAATAATGAAGAAACATTGTGAATGCCCTATATAGAGGATAAATAGATCTGTGTAGCTTCATACCTCGTGGGAGGCACAATCCTGTCCGGATAGACCTTCGCGGGGTGGGAAGAAAGGGACCGACCGCCGAGTGCGGGGTCAAAGCAAGGAGTGAGCATTGACATTGCATAACTAATGAATACTGACTGATCAATGCAGTCAGCACCCCGCGCCAACGCACATGCTATTCACCGCCTGCCGCTTCGCCCGGCTTATCGTGCCCGACGGGATTTTTTCCTGGCAGTAAGCGACAGCTTGACTGACCACAAAAAGCAAACTAGTTCCCAACTACTTCGTAGTGCGGCGCCTGTTTCTTCACTATCACTATCACCACTGTCGTCTCGCCTACGGCTTCACCTGATCTGTCCATCTCCAGCCAGCCCCCGCCACCCGTTTCATCGATATCGCCGTTCCCATTCACTTGAATGCCCGTCCGTCATCACATCCTTACAAGCAGGGAAGGCGGCCCACCCCATGGTGGCCTTAGCATATCCTTCCGACCCTCAGATCCTTCCAGACGCCTGCCTCGCTCTAGCCCCGATCTAACCCCCCGCCGCTGCCTGCAATCATGTTAGCCGATGCCGACATTCATGCCCTGGATACCGACCTAGGGGCCGTCGTGCTCCAGAACCAGCAGCACCATGACAACCTGCAGGCCCTCCTCGGGAAGTTCCGCCAGCTGCTGGACAACTACAACAACCTCAAAAGCGACTACGAGGAAGAGAAGGAGGCCCGGGAGAAATACAAGCGTCTGGCAAGGGGGCAGGTACGAGATTACACAGCTGCCGCTCCCCGTGGGCAGGTCTGACGGCTGCAGGATCGTAATCCATTCGTGCTGGTGCTGGTCGATGGGGATGGCTATCTGGTTCGTTGCTCCGGCTTCCATCCCGCTGGTTGAACACCCGTTAACCTCGATCCAGTTCAAAGAATATCTAGTCAAGGCCGGGAGTGAGGGTGGTATAACGGCTGCCCGGCTCCTCCACGATTCCATCCGAGAACTCCTCCATGACCGGCTGGGCAGCCAGGCCGACCAGTGTCGGGTTATGGTGCGCATATACGCCAACGTGCTGGGGCTGTCCAAGTCGCTAGCTCGCTCCGGATACGTGGGGCACGAGGCCCGCTCTTTGTCGCCGTTTGTGGCCAGCTTCACCCGGGCGCAGGATCTATTCGACTTTGTAGATGCTGGTGATAAAAAGGAGGGGGCGGACTATAAGATTAGAGGTATGGGGGGGGGGTGTTCGATCTGGCAGAAAGACAGGCTAACATCCGCAGAAATGTTCCGTTTATTCGCCGATAATAACCAGTGCAAGCATATCTTCTTCGCTGGCTGCCACGACTCCGGATATTCAAGCCTTCTCACGCCCTACCGCGGCCGAACTGACCGCATCACCCTCCTAAAGGGGGCCAGCTTCCACAGCGAATACGAACGACTAGATCTGCCGGTGAGGGAGCTCCCGTCAGTCTTCATGTCCACGCCATTTAGCGGAAACGGACACCACACGACAACCTTGCCGCCAAGCCAGCCGCCTACTGCGGCGCCCTCCCGGCAGATCTGCAAACATTATCAGAAGGTAGGTTCACACCATCGGACACTGGATCTTGTGGCTAACGGAGCCAGGGTATTTGCCGGTACGGCAATGCTTGCATCAAAGTCCACATCCCGCAAGGACAACAACTTTCTAAATCTGATGATCCTCTCCCCTCGGGGAGAGAGGCTATTATCTCTACTAGAAACCAAGACTACTATGCCTCGAACCTTGTCCGTAATATTAGCCCGACATGGCAAGGTAGTATACCGACTAACACGGCCGGCGATCGCATCGACACTTACTGTCCCATCCCGTCCTCTGAAGCCTGGGAGGCGTATACTCATCGAGCCAAGATTCATAAGCCCTGTAACAACTACCATCTTGGCGGCGATTGTGGTAATAAAAACTGTGACTATGATCACACCCCGATTGATTCGACCTCACTCGACGTCATGAAACACATTCTCCGGCAACATCCGTGCCCGACGGGTCCATCGTGCCGGTCTTTGAAGTGCTATCTCGGACATATCTGCCAGAAGGATGGATGCCGGGCTACCAAGCCGTGCAAATTCCCCCGTTACGCGCATATACTTGACCTACATATCGCCACCTGGGTCACCCCTCTCGACCGGAGGGAATTTGAAAAGAGAGACTTCGGCCACTTCCGCTCTCACTCCCACTCCCAATCTCACTCCCACTCTCCCTCCCCAGTGAGCGAAAGCTCCGGGGACGCTCATTCGGCCGGCTCCATCGACAGCTTGATACACGAAGTCGGATTCTGAACTGCTTATACGGTCCAGTAGGGCCCTCATGATGAGAAAAATACACGCAATTTCCTTTTCTTAAGCCGTCTTTACTGAGACAACGCGGTGGGCTTGGTATAGGTGATAAAAATAACCGCCACCACCACCACTGCCGCAAGGAACGGAGGAAACCATCAACATCATCCATGCTCTTTGGTGTTGGTTATGGGTTATGACGGTCATATGGATCATCGGTTAAGGTTACTTATACTTAACCTGTTGGAGCGGAGTAATCTCGCGCTAAGCTATGACGAGAATGATACCGTGGAAATCCATCCTTAACCTGTTCTGTCGATCTTTTCCTTTCGTTCTTTCTTCCTCTCTTTCGTCTTGAGGTTTTACAATCCCCATTTATTGCCGGTTGGTTTCCTTAGGCAGAGCCTGTTATTTTTCCTCTTATTTAGCTATCTATTTATTTGGGTTTTATCTTTCGACTTCGTATCGCATTCATAGCCTTGTAGGTATAGGTATCATGGGTGGTTGATATATGCTATGCTATTCCTTTGTTTCTTCGTTCGGCCCGTTCTTTCCAGTTTCTGTCTGGGGAATTTTCCAAATGAAACGAAACTATATCCCATTGGCCTATTCTCCTCATACTTGTTGTTAATCCTGCCGACTCAAGTACATCATCACGTAGACAGTGCGTCCCCCCCTCCCTCACCTACAGAGACAAATTCTAGCCTTGTTAGTGATCAGGGGACAAGTAGGGACATCTAGTCAACGAAAATTACGGAACTGACTGTGGTAGGGTAGGGCTCACCAAGAATGTAACCAGTAACAAGGCCCACCCACCAGAAACACGCAAGTAAATCCAAGGTACGGGGTAGTACTATCGAGAAACAAGAAAGAACGGCGATTCCGACTACAGAAGGCGATATATAAGATGATAAGTACAAGATGATACACAAGGCAATACATAAGGTGACACAAAAGCTTACACAACTTAACAACACACAGCACACCTTTCCCTCCCACCTCTCTCCTCTCCCCCATCATCTTACTGCGTACTCCGTACGCACTAGGCTTTCCCCTCCTTTATTTCTCTATCCACAAATGAACTGAAGGCGTTCCAATCAACTCAAATCTTCTAGTTCTTTCTCCTTACCCTCTTCTCCTCGATCGCTCGATCGCTCGATCACCAGGGTCTCGGTACCGGGACTATTACCACACATATATATCATATATCACCCATACCACCTACCGTACTACCTGATACGTATCTTATGCATCCCGATTGACTACTATCCAGGTCGTGACGCGCTGTCGTGGCATTTCGATCTTTTTCGCTTGTAGCGGATGATGTTTCATGGGGGCGAGGCGAGGCGAGGGGTGCGGGGTTACGCCCACGCCCGAGAAAGAAATTCCATGCTATGCATGTATTGTTTGAAGTCGTGGTGGTGGTTGTTGTGGACCAACTTGAAGTTGTGAAATGCATGCATAAATCAGATAATGTTTCCATTTTAGCTAACGGGGCGCTTCCCCAGTAAGGAAGGAACTTGGTCTTGTAACGCCATAGCCGTAATATTGCTGCATTCCAAAGACTTGACTGAATAACACATGATAAAGGGGTTTGAATTGTTAGTCTGAGAGCTAAAACCGCTGAAAAGGCAGTATAGGGCATAACACTGGCTGTTTTGGCCGGTTGAGTTACCTAATGCAGCCTTCAGGTTTAAGGGGGGGGTTTAATCTTTAGAACGCTGGGGCTGTCGAAGTTGGTAGGGGGTGGATTTACTCAGGCTGTGGTGCTGGTGTGGTAGGCCAATGAATAAAGGCATGGATGATCTGAATTTATAGATCATGGATATACAATGCATATGAGCAAATGCAAAAAGAAATCACTTTTAATTATCCTTCCCATCGCCTTGCTATGCTTCGCTTCCGGTTCGCATATAGTATATACAACTCAACTCTAATTCTAATCCTACTCCTGGTTCTCATCCACCGCGCGTTCGAGATCGCCGATCTTCCGTCGGCCAAGGCGAAACTTGCTCCGGAGGTTCTTCTCCTTGATGAGAAAGGCACGCTTCCGCCGTCGCGGTGGGTAGTTGATCGGGCTCTCGCCACCCGTGAATATGGTTAGATCGTAGATGAAGGCACCGCATAAGCCGCCGGAGATATCAGCGACCCAGGGTCCCCAGACCCACCATGCATGGTACTCTTTGAATAGGTGGCCGCCCCAGCCGGCCATCACGCAGACGAGTCGGGGGCCGAAGTCGCGGGGACCGTTGAAGGCCCTGTATGGGTTAGTTACAGGGTAAATGGTGGTGAGGGCGATGACGAATCACATACCCTCCGCTGTTGTATCCTAGTGCAAGAATCAAGATGCTGATGATTATTCCAATGATGAAGGATTGCATGCCTGCTCCTGGAGGTGCGTTCGAGTCATCTCCCAGAGCCATGATGGCCCCGACTAGAATTGCACTGCCGAGAAACTCGTTGAAGAACGCCGTAGCTGGACTGACAAACTGTTTCGGTAGCGTGATCAGTGCTTCACTGGCTGCGGATTCATTTTGCGGCAAGTTGGTCTCCGTGGACAAGTTCATGATGGCATCGTGGTAGATAGCATAGGCGAACCCGCCGGCGGTGATGCCGCCGATGATCTGGGCGAGGATATAGACGGCACATCGTCGAGCGGGGAAACCACGCCAGACAGAAAGGGAGATCGTAATGGCGGGATTTAGATGGGCACCGGAAATTCCACCAGCCACGTAGATTGCTGTCATGAAACTGAAGCCCCAGGCCGCGCTCACGGACATCCATGAGCCAGCCTGGCCTTGGGAGGTGTAGAGAGACAAAGTAGCGCAAAGACCGAGGGTTATGGCAACGGTTGTCTGTAAGCATGAATAAAATCAGCATCTCTTCACCACTTTGGCCAGGCAATCACTCACCCCCAGCCACTCTGCCAGTGGCTCCCGGAGATAGTGCCGGACTTTGCACCACTGATTGAAGAAACCCCTTGTTTCTGCGGGTTGTGGCATGTCTGTCGGTGGCTCTCCCGATGCAGGAGGTGGTCTTTCCCGTCCTTGCTCTGCTTGTTCTTCTTTCCTATCCTCCGGTAGTGCCCCAAACCGCATGCCGTCTCGGACAACATGGGGAAGGGGTTGGGCCAAGCTCCAGACAGGCCCCTCATCTTGCTCTTGTCCATATTGGGGGTTTAGCGACTCATAATCGGGGGAGATATAGGCTCCATGCTGCGGTGTCGGGGCGTAGTATGGGTTATTCCCAGCGAGAGAAAATGGAGGCTGGCTTCCGTGGCTTTGGTTTCGCAAGGATGCTGGGGGTTGACTCCTGTAGCTTTTACTTCGGGAGGCCCCAGTACCTTGGGTAAGGTGGCTCTTGTTTCGGGGCATGTCTCTCCTAGATTCTCCATTCCTTTTTTCTCCCCGGGTGTCATCCCCTTTGTTAGAACCCCCCTCGGTCGTCTCAGAGGAATGGTAACCATTTGGATCGGTATCAACTTCTGCATTGAATTAGCGGTACATTCCGATCGTGGGATACATACTTACTGTCGAGTTCGCGATTATGTGACTCGATCGGGTTCTCCATTGTCGCAAAATAACAAATAAAGCAGCTGAACGACAAGGAAATCGGAGTGAGAGCGCGAGAAAGCCAAAGACTAAGTGATAAGGCAATTGCCAGTGCTTGAAGCCAGAATTTTCAAAGGTTCACACCGGCGGGGCGCCCATTCCAAAGACTTGTCTTTATACTTGGCTAACATTGCGTCACAGATAGACGTCAGGAAAAGCTACCCGCAACCAAGGATCACACCCAGTGCATGGAGTCCGACTTGCGATGATGGAACAGAGCCGTCATTGGCCCGGACGATAGCTTTCGCGGGAGCTTTCCCATCCAGTCAGACGTACCATGGCAAAACTCAGAGCTACCTTGGTAGCCGGGGATTCTACTTTGATGTTCGGGTGGGTAACGGTTGCAGGATCTGCGGACAGCCACAAGAATGCCCGCTGGCTATCTGATTGGCGGGTCGTTCCAGCAAGGTCCAGGCCCGGGAGGCAAAGATCAAATCCCACGGATCCTTTCCCAGCCATTATGCACGTCAAAATGGTGATCGGCTTGGAAGGTTAGGTAGGGACCTCTCATGTCCTCCACCATACCATCGCGCAAAAGGGACCTTATCAAGAATCGGCTTGTTGTTCTGACAAGTCGGGTTGAAGACCGGTGCCAGAGATGATTATTTGTTGAAGCTTCGAGGTTTTGTAAGACTAGGCACGTGCCAAGGACGGAGTCGAAGGTCAGTCAGTGCCTTGGTTGGGAGTTGCGGCGAGGACTGCTGGCCTGCAGACGTCATCGGCTCCCCACCGTCACTTACTGATCGCATTGCGGAGTCTATCAGGGTGGCTGTCACTTAGAAACACTTATCTGGGGCGAGATCTCCCCGATCATCATTGAGGCTTTATTTCACCTCCGGTCGAGACTTCTGGCAGGGGAAGCAGGGGAAGCAGGGGAAGCAGGACAGTTGGACGCGCGGCAAAGATCGAGGCGTCGCGACGCCTCCCGATCGGGAAGGAAAAGTCTCGTGACGTCATCAGGGGTCCTTCCGGATCGGGCGACGGCGCGTTTCTTTCTGGAAGATGCCACAGTTTGCCATCCACACACTCAGTACTGAGTATTTTCCCAGATAACAGATATTATCGCGCTTTGTCCATGGTGGAATGCTTCATTGCTAAATCACATCATATACTCTCCACTCCCGTGATCCTCTTGAACTGACTCTCCGTGTACCTCCAAACGACTTCCCCGATTCCATGCGCCCTCAATCCAGCCAGGGCTTGGACCGCATTGTCGGGACTCTCACCAGTCCAAAGCATGGAATACACTCCACTGCCTCGACTTCCATCAGCTCCCCGGGCAACCGACATGCCCTCCGGTACCGACACCTCAGCATCTTCGCCGTGGCTCGCGGGATACATCGCACTGGTCAGGAGAAACAGATGTCTCTCCGCGCTCTCAGCCTCGGGGACATAAACCCATCGCCCAAGTAGCAACAAAACAATCCACACGACCCACATGCGGAGGTTGTCCGTCTCTCTCAGGACCCCAGATTTGACGATACCGGGATGCACATTGATGAAAGAGACGGTTGGGGCCTGCTCAGCCAGGTGTTCCAAGGCCAACGTGGTCATGGATGTGATATGCCCGCGATAGAACGGGATGGATGCTTTCCGAGCCTCGAGATCGGTCGTGTCGATTTGGCCTTCATGTCCCCCTGCCCCGCGGGAAACCTCATCCACGACCCTTATCAGACTTGCATCTGCCGGGATAAAGATATACTCTCCCTCTGGGTTCATGGTCTTGCATTCTGTGGCGATGCGCGTACCCGCTTCTTGACTGCGGCCAACGAAATAGATGCGGGGGCGTTTGGTATGACTGGCGAACTGCTTCAGGGTGATCTCGCCGACGCCACTGGTACCTCCCACAAAAAGGGCCACCGAACCCTCGGAAAGGGAAGTAGTGATTCTGGCGTTCGAGGATTGGATGTCAGGTAGGGCTATCATCTTGCCGTGTTTTATTAAGCTTGTAGTGTGTAGAGAGATGTCGGAGCACCAGATATATAGCAATGGAGCGGTGGAAGTGCAGCCCAGAAAAAACGCTTACATGGCTGTTCAAGTACCCTGAGAACATATACCTTGTTGCAAAAGCACACCATCTTAATAATTGCGTCCGACATTGGTAATCAAGTAGATAAAGGACATGGAGATTCGGGACTATTGACTCTCGGCTTCTTCCGCTTCCGGACGGGTCTGTCTTTCCGGGGACCCGAGGAACCCCGTGGAGGACCCTCCACGGATGCATGGTTAACCGCTCGGAACTTTTGATAAGGCTGATTTTATGCCACTATGCGGTTAGCAGACCTGTTCCTGACTCCTTTGTGGCATTATCAGTGCCGAATAGAGTGTTTAGCTGCTCTGTACCGGCCTGCCTGGAATGCAAACCGACCAAACCTCAGTCCTCACCTCGGCGGGATTGGGTATTCCGCGCCCCGCCTGCCCGTTTGAGTAGCGAACCCCGAGTTTCCGTCGCACCACGTGGTGCCTGGCCTTTCAGGCTGCTATCACCGACCCAGAGCCACATCAGATTAGATCGCTGTTCCTGCCTCAGGCTTTGGAGAAGGCTGAGACTTTCCACCCCTTGTTTGGTTGATTTTTCTGGATTCCCCCCCCCCCCCCCCCCCTCCTCCTCGAGCTGTCAGTCACACATCCCGTCCCATCACACCACACCGTGGCTTGCAGGTTGCACATGCTATCCGCCACACCAACACCAAAACCAACACCAACACGCACCCGAGCTAGATAAGCCCAGGCCGGTTGTCGCAGACTCGCAAAATGGCTACAAATCAGACCCCAACCCCCGAGCCCAGGCTTTCTGGGCCTCGACCAACCAGATGGCAGCGCGAGGGCCAAGTGGGGGGATTTGGTCGAGGTGTACGTCAGCCCGGGGAGTTCGCTTCACGTCCGACCTCCGACTCGCGATCCACTCGCGCCCTCCAAGCCCATATTAATCCTGCAGCCTGCCTCCATCCAACATGCCTTCGCCCTCGAGCTCGTATCGTCCAAGAATGCTCGGACGAGTCACTGCTGCCGAGTTATTCTCGGTAGTCTCTCACCACGAACATGTCTTTCTCCCAGACCACGATTGAGGGGCTAATCATCACCATCAACGTTACCGCGTTCGGCCTAATCGCTGCGATAGGGGGGGAAGCGTCCTTCGCCGTCTCGAAACATCTGCGACGCCAGCACATATACTTGGAAACGGACGGTCAATCGGAGGGATATGAGGATCAGGATGGTGTCGCCACGGAGGAGTCCCTCACCGCGTTTTCCGACAAGCTGCCGCGCGACGCGCTCTACGTCGCCGTCGGGATCGGTGCCTGGTTATCTTTGGCCGAAGTTATTGTTCTCGCCTTCATCCCGAATACGATGTATGGCTTGACACGATGGATGCGACTCGGGGCGTGGGCCCTGTTGGCGACTAGTGCCTTCGCGTTGAAGGAGCGCAAGTACACGGCCAGATTTGCGCAGGGTCTACAAACAAGCATCGGGTGTCTTTCCATGGTCGGTATCCTGGCGACGGAACAATATGGCTGCTACCAAGCGATGGAGTCCTCCTTCATGGCTTGGTTTTTCCTTGCCGGCCAGTCCAGCGCTGCTCTAGGTGCTTGCATCGCCGGCACCTCGTTTCCTCGTCGACCGGATGTATTTCACAAAGGGGTGCTGGTAGATCGCAAATCGTCGACGACCTTTCTCAACCGCCTGTTCTTTGGGTGGGCGAGTCCTCTTCTCTCTGCGCGTCAGACGGGGAAACTGAAGGTCTGCCATCTACCCGAGCTGGAGTACGCCAGTCGTTCGGAGAATTTGTTTCACGCCTACCAGCAAACACGCCTGGCATTTCCGAGTTCCAGCCTTTGGAAGATCCTTGTTCTTTGCCACCGGAGGGCTCTTCTGATTCAGCTGTGTCTCACCATTCTCAACGCGACCATGGCCTTTGTACCTCAATTTTGCGTCCTCGGAATCTTGCGGTGCCTCGAAAACGACTCGAGTAGACCGTCATTGTGTTTGTTTGTCTTTGGATTGGGCATGTCGACCATACTCTCTGCCCTTCTTGAGAATTGGAATATGTACATCTCTTCCAACCAGATTGCAGTCAGACTGCAAGAGCAACTCTCCACAGTCATCTACAACAAAGCACTGCGGAGTAAACCAGTGTCAAGCGCTGAAATTGAGCTCAATAGTGCCAGCAATGGGAAGTCGTCCAGCCAGAGCGCTATGAACCTCGTGGCGGTGGATGCGAAGAAAGTGGCGGATTTTTCCGCTCTCGGATTACACCTCTACGAAGCGCCGCTAAAATTGTGCCTCGCAGCCATCTCAATCGGACGGTTGATGGGAGGCCGGTGCCTTTTCGCGGGGGGTGTTGTGCTTCTGCTGGTCACAGGTGGGAATATCTACGCGGTGCGCCAGTATGCCACGAAGCAGAAAGGCCTTCTGAGATCTCGCGACAATAAGATCGGAATCATCAACGAAGTCATTCAGGGTATCCGCCAGGTCAAACTATCTGCTCTCGAAGACAAATGGGAAGGTCGCATCAACGATTCGCGGAGGATTGAATTACAGAATCAATGGATGGTTTACCAGTGGGAGCTCCTGATGTTTGTTGCATACAACCTTGCCCCGGTTCTAGTCTCAACTGCCTGCTTGGGCACATATGCACTTCTTCACGAGGACATGCCTGCTTCTACAGTGTTTACATCCATGTCGCTTCTCGGGGCATTGGAAACTCCCCTCGCTGTTCTTCCTCAGATTCTCTTGAGTGCGACCGGGGCACAGATCAGCCTGCGACGGATCGAACGATTCCTTCGCTCTCCCGATAGAGATGTCGAGCCTTCACTGGCGGAGGGTGTGATACTGGAGCAGGCAACGATTTCCTGGAACGGAAACCTCTTCAGTAAAAGCTTCACCTTGAAGGACCTCACCCTCACATTTCCGTCTGGGGCTCTCAGCATAATCACAGGACCTTCCGGCTCGGGAAAAAGTCTTGTTCTCGCCGCCATACTCGGTGAGTGTGAGTTTCTTCAAGGCCGCGCGCAACGCCCCTCAGCCGACGCCATCGCCTATGTTGCCCAGGAGCCGTGTATGAAGGACGGCACTATCAGAGAAAATATAATCTACGGTCTTCAGTTCGAGCAGGAGCGGTACGCGAGCGTTCTTTTTGCTTGTTCGCTGGACAGAGACCTCAAATCCCTTCCGTTGAAAGACGAGACTCAAATGGACACACAGGGAACCACCTTCAGTGGTGGTCAGAAGTGGCGGATATCATTAGCCCGTGCGCTATATTCCAATGCCAAGGTTCTCGTCATGGATGATATTTTCAGCTCCATCGATCCTCACACAGCACAGCACCTATACGAGCATGCGTTGACGGGAACGCTCGTCGAAGGTCGGACTCGGATTTTGGCCACTTATCATCTGGAGCTGTGCCTTCCAAGAGCGGAATACGTGGTCGCTCTTGACGCGAGTGGATTGCATTATGCTGGCCCACGAAAGAACCTGAGAGAGATCGGCATATTCCAGGATATGCCTCATGCAGCTGCCGGAGTAGACAGGCGGTCTCCCTTGAAGACAGACACCCTGGCAGCTAATAACGCTCATATACTGGAGAGCTGGACCGATAGACCCATGCCTTTCCAGCAAGAGCAGTTCAGCAGCACACCGCAAGAGGCGGGTCCAGACCTGGATACTGCACGAGATGGAAAATGGCGAAACCGACGGCGGATCTTTCGCCTCACTGGTGCGAAGTATCACTGCTTGCTACTTCTAGCGCTGTACTTGAGCTATAGTGGACTCGCAGTTGGTCGAGTATGTCATCTCGTTCATCTTTTGTTCGTCGAAGCTAATTCATTTGCAGGGTCTGTGGATGATGGTCTGGAGTAGCAGAACAAGTAACAGCGGATCCTCTGAAGACACTCAGTCGACTGGCGGCAGTGTGAAATGGTTCCTCTTCATCTATCTGACACTGTCAATCGGGTCATGCGTTGTCGCAGTCAGCCGGAGCTTTCTGGCCGTTCGCCTAACATTGCAGATGTCTCGTAGGCTTTTCGAAGGGTTTCTGTCTTCGATACTGCGTGCCCCTCTTCAGTGGCTTGACAAGATCCCCCCAGGAAACATTCTGAACAATTTCTCTGCTGACTTCAGCCTCATCGACTCACGCTTGGGCTACGACCTCAACTACGCACTTGGTGTTGCTGTCGAACTTTTTGCAATTGTCCTGGCCGCATCCCTGGTAAATGCCTGGTTGAACCTCCTCTCTGCCTGCGCCCTTCTTCTAGCTCTCTATTACGGCAGACTGTTTGTCAAGAAAATTCGGACGATCAAAGAGCTTGAGAGTGCCATGCGAGGTCCGGTGCTGCACCATCTCTGCTCCACCATGGACGGCATCATGACTGTCCGTGCGTACCAGCAAGAGGAAGTTTACCGAGGTGAGATGTATTCAAAGGTCGACCGTCACTGCCGTGCCTCTTGGACCCTCTGGCTTCTCACTCGCTGGATCGCCATTCGAGCGAGCACCATCGGCGCCGTGTTCACCACCGCCGCGTCAATACTAGTTCTCTCTTCCAACAACATCACCGCCGCGACAGCTGGCTTTGCCATTACATTTATAATGCGGTACAGCTCCGTGATGTCCCAGGTGATTCGGCAGTACGCCAACCTGGAAATATCCCTCAATAGCGTGGAGCGAGTCGCATGGTCCCTGGACATCCCCCGTGAGAAGTATGAAGCCGATTGCGACACACCAGTGCCGGACTCCTGGCCCACAGAAGGCCAACTGGATGTATCCGACCTGGTCGTGTGCTACTCACCCGATCTCCCTCCCGTCCTCTCACACCTCACCTTCTCCGTCCCCCCCAATAGCCGAGTCGGCGTAGTCGGACGCACAGGCGCAGGAAAGTCGTCCCTCGCCATGGCGTTATTCCGCTTCCTCGAAGCCCAGCAAGGAAACATCCACGTCGCCGGAGTCAACATCTCAAGCGTCTCGCTACAGCAACTTCGAACCCGCCTCGCCATCGTGCCTCAGGATCCAATCCTCTTCTCCGGCACAGTCAGATCTAACCTAGATCCATTCGACGAATACTCCGACCAGGAATTGCTCGCAGCTTTGAGACGCGTCCATTGGACCACCCCCGCCCAAGACTACGACTTGAAATATTCAGACGACCCAGTAGTCAACCTCCTCGAACCCGACCTCTACACCCTAGAACTCTCACCCCACCACCCCCTCAACCCCCTCACCGCACCTGTCTCCTCCCGCGGTTCCAATTTCTCCCAGGGCCAACGCCAATGTCTCTGCCTCGCTCGCGCAATCCTGCGACGCCCGAAAATCCTCGTCCTGGACGAGGCCACCTCCGCCATCGACAAGACCACCGACGCGGTGATCCAGAGCTCAATCCGGACCGAGTTCGGCCGGAATGACTCGTCTTTACTGGTCATCGCGCACCGTATCAGCACGATTGCGGATTTTGATCGTGTCCTGGTGTTGGATGCGGGTCGCGTGGCCGAGTATGGCACCCCTAAGGAGTTGGCGGTTAACCCGGCGGGCATATTCCGAGGTTTGGTTGACAGCAGTGTGGAAAGGGAGGAGTTGTTGCGGACCATTGGGGTTGGTCGTGCATGAGGCTTAAGGTGAACTGCCTATCACCTGGCAGTACCAGAGCTAGTCCGTCTCAAGGTGAGTTGCAATTCCGTCTCATATGTATAACATCTCAGCTTCGTGTGGTAACCAAGAACGCCGTTTAGACGTCTACGTACGCTTTCTGCCATTCCAACCCACCATATAGATGCATCAAACGCGTCATCCAGGCTGCGACTCCTGATGGAAAAAGTCTAGCTGTTTTCTTGGGTCGCGGAACGGCATCGACTCCCGCCATGGTCCCCATCAGTCCCTCCCCCCCGATCGGCAAATTTCAGACACACGCACCAACACCCAGGCACTGCTAGACAATACAGCCTCCGCCTCAACAACTATCCTCCACACGCTACACTCTTCTCTTCTCTTACCCGTTATTCTGGAACATACTGCGGAGAGTTGCCACGACGCTCGGATAATGTTTTAACCATGTATACCCACTGGATTACATACTATCTACGTACCCCAACAACAATTTATGCCTTCAGTCCAGCACAATGACGACGGGAGCGTTCCTGCCTGTGGGCGTGGACTTCAGCGTGGCGCATGCTGCCAGGATTCAGAAGCCGGCATCTCCGAGCGTTCCGTCGGTGCCCCTCCGGTCAGTGTCACATCCATCACATCACATCACACGGTCGGTCGGCGGGACCAAACATAGTACCACTATCACCACCACGACGGTCCACCAACCAGACTGGCGTGGTTAGCTTCCCTCTTCTACTGGCCACGAACCGCATCAAATCACCTCTGTTATCGTCATATCAAGAGAACAAATCGAGGATCGGAGTCCACCGGTCGTGCCTGGCAGGGGGAGTCAATAATGGAATGACATGATGATGACCCTGAACTGAAGACCCGCTTCTTGTCTAGGATTTATCCCTATCGCTCCTGAATGTCAGTCTGGTTTCATCAACCTACCTACCTACCTACCTACCTACCACCTAATCCCCGTCCTGGCCCCCCTGTACTGGTACATATATACCGCGCACATATATACTAGACATATAGACGCGCATAATAGCACGACGCAATATTTATCCCCCCCCCCAAAAAAACCCATGTAAACCCTTTTCATCCATCTGTCTATCAAATGGGGCCTAAAAAAATGAATGAATGAATGAATGAATGAATGAATGAAATAACGAAAAAACAAGAACCCGACCCTGAACCCTTCCCCCCCATTCTCAATCGGGCCTAGTCTCCGCGTCCTCATAGCTCGCCAAGAGTGGGGTCAGATTGGGCTTAGTCTCCGCGCCTGGGGAATTACGTTATTGTCATTTTCCCGGTGGGCACCCGGGAGGGGGGGGGGAAAGCACAAGAAAGATAAATATCCTGTTTCCATGCCCTTTTTTCTATGAGAGGGGGATTTGGGTGGTAGCTTGATTTTTTTTCTCTCTTCTTTTACACACACAGACACACATATATACACACACACTCTCTCTCTCTCAAATTATTTTGATAATCTGTTCGTTGGAATTTATACAATAAGTATCCTATCTACACGGGTTTATAATATACAAGCACACGCACACGCACACGCACACGCACACGCACACGCACACGGCGCGGTCATGTCGTTCCCGTACCAGAAAGTGCTCGTCATTGGCGCCACCTCGGGGATTGGGAAAGCGCTCGCCACCAGACTGGTTGAGAAAGGGACGAAGGTTGTGGTTGCGGGGAGACGAAAGGAGAATCTGGATGAGTTTGTGCGGGTACATGGTGGTGAGGGGGAGAAGGTGTCCTCGGCGGTGATTGATGTGATGCAGTTGGATCAGGTATGTGTTGTCCTCTCCCTCTGTTATTTTCCTGTTACCCTTTTTTTTTTTTTTTTTTTTTTTTTTTTTTTGTAGTTGCGAGTGTGGGTGTGTTGTGTTGCACTTATCGGCAACGGGCTAAGCTAACCAGCGGCGATGACGATGATGATGATGATGATGATGATGTAGATCCCCGAATTCGCAACCTCCGTAACAACTAGCCACCCGGACCTGGACTGCGTATTCGTGAACTCGGGCATCCAGCGGCCCTTCGACTTTACGGACCCCTCGTCCGTGGACCTGGATGTCTTTGACCAGGAACTCATAACCAACTACACCTCGGCGGTGCGGCTTACCAAGGCCTTCCTCCCGCACCTGCAGAAACAGCGCACGCAGACGGCGATCGCATTCACGTCGTCACAAATGGGCCTCGTCCCCATGCTCCGGTGTCCCGGGTACGGGGCGTCCAAGGCGGCGCTGCACCATTTCGTGCTTGCGCTGCGCACGCAGTTGGAGGAGGGGGCTGGGGATGTCAAGGTGATTGAGATCTATCCGCCCGCGGTGCAGACGGAGTTGCATGATGCGAAGCATCAGCCGGATTTAAAGGATGGGCATTTGATTGGGATGCCGTTGCAGGAGTTTGTGGATGAGGTGTGGGAGAGGTTGCAGGGCGGGGAGGATCAGATCCCTGTGGGTTCGGCGAAGGACTTCTTCAATGGATTTGAGGTGAAGAGGCAGGAGATGTATAAGAGCATGACGGAGATGCTGTCGGGGTTGTTGGAGCAGTTTTTGCGGTAAATGGGGGAACTGCTGCTGGAACAGGGGTTTGCTAAAGGGCAGTGGGGATGGGGCGTGTCTAGATAAATCGGTTAGAACTGTCTTCATGTACTGAATATTAGCGTGGTGGGGTTGGGTTTACTTACTTGTTCCGGCGTTCTGTAACGAGCCGGGTAAGAACTGATGGGTCTAGTACCTATAGCCATTTGCCGGGGGGTATGGCACGCCATCTATAGCTCTACCCTTACAAGCGGCGAGGATCAGGCCACCGAAATCGGAGATGCCATGCACCATCCCCCGCTCCATCATACTGGAGTACTGATGCAACGAGACCATGGAGTCCAGAGGCTCAGCGCCACCAACACTCCAACCATCAGTATCCCCATCCTCGTCCCACAGCGCCGTCCGCACATCAAACGGCAGAGAATCCACGAACGGGGTGCGGACCGAGTAGTTCCTCTTCTTGAGGGAGTACACGCTGCGTAGAATGAACCCGACGATGATGGTCCGTCTTACGCTCTCAGCAAACAACCAGGCTTTCCGTGGACTCAGACTCCTGGGTAACTGTGTGGGAGCTTGTTGCCACAGCTTTTGGCCGAGGTTGAAGAGCATGGTGCTGATGGCTTCGGAGTAGGAGGGGGCGGACGGGTCCTCTGCGAGGATGAGCATGCATTGGGCCAGGAGCAGGGCCTGGGCGATGGCGAGCATCTCCTCGAAGGAGATGGAGTGGTTGATCTGGCGGAGGAAAGAGGAGGATTTCTGCCTGAGAAGGGGGAGGAGAGTGCTGCTGGTTCTGGTGGGTTGAGCGTGCAGCTTACAGAGAGTGTGAATCTCTCGGATCGGGGAAGGGGGGGTGGAACGGCTCGGCCAGAGGTCCGGGTGGATGAAGTGCGTTTTCAGGTTCTGTGCAAACGCACAGGGGTAGGACTGCATGCCTGTCACCAGGAAGGCGATGATGGTTGGGGGGTAGCCTTTGGCAATTTCTAATGGGAGAGCAGGACGGATGGATGGTGGACGAGTGGATGGGGCCTTGCGAGTCGGCTGGAAAGTCTGACCGGCCTTGGAGACACCCGAGTCGGAGCTAGAGGTGACCATCAAGGGCATGTTGACATACTCGCAGTCAATTCTCCGCGTCAAGCACCGGCTACAGCGTGGCAACCGTTGGTCACAGCGACGTTTGCCACGAGCACAGGCTTGGCATGACCTGCGCAGAGTGGGCGGTTTGGGGGCGTCGACGGCCATTGGGGGTGATAAGAGAGGGGAGTAAGGGATTAATGAGATGCGAGAGATGATTCGAGATGCATCATTATTCGGGGGAGGGTGGAAGGAGAAAGTCGGAAGCCTGGGGGGGTCGAAACCCGGGTCGGTCACGTGCGTGATGTCTTACTGTCCCCTCGGACATAATTACTACATCTAGTTCGTTCAGGGTCTTCATCTCCGAGAATTATGGGTTTCCCGTGGGTTAGACACGCACTTGGCTGCGAATCAATGAAGCTTGTTTGAAATTAGCTCGCTTACAGCTACCTTTATGTTTGACATTCCCCGAGAGCCTGCCTGCAAGCCCTCCTGCAGCTTCCTCCAGGACTCTCTTGCCCGCTTGCCCGCCTCCTCCGGCCGAAACTCTTCGCTACGCATGCGACGGTCGAACACCTCCATCGAGACCCACCCTGGAAATCGTTTGTCGAGCACCCAGGCCCGGACAATGTCCAGCACAGGCAGATATCCTCCAAGTTCTGTCTCAAAGGGAAAGGGTCTTGCATGCTTTGACCAGGTGAACTGCGGTGCCTCTCCCTCTTGATACCAAGGATGCGTACTCGAGAAGGGGGGGTCGAACCGTTCTCCATCCGATAGCTGCACATAGAAGATCTTTTCCACGGGGCACCGTTCGACAAACCGGCGCAGCGAGTCCTTCAAGTCCCGGTCGCCGGTGGGATACTTGCCGGTTCGCTCGAACGGACTTCCCCACAACTTTGTGGCTTCGTGGAAGTTATCGAGGCAGAGACCAAAATTGGTCCGGTCAACAGAAGTGACGAGGTGCAAGGCCATCTCCCAGGTTGAGCAGTATGTTCCCCAGGAGAGCGGCTCATAGGCAACGGAAATGACTGGTTCTTCGGCCCTGGCTAGATCCGCCAGTTGCTGCAACTCGAACACGATCACTTTCTCGTCGGTGCTGGCGTCAAGACCGTACTGGGACGGGATCTGTAGGTATGTTGCAGTCAGCGTGCGGGCGACATCGATCCAGTGTTTGGCCACGGAGAGTCGATCGTTCAGGGGCGAGCGGCTCCCCTCAAAATTCTCGAAGGCAGCCAAGGCAAGAACTTCCATTTGCAGGTCGGCGCAGAGCTTCTTAATGTGCCCGGTTGCTTCCAGCATCGACACGCCCAGGAGCGTCGAGTATCTCTCCAGGTCGGCGTAAACCACTTCGATGGCAGAAAAGCCGTGTCGGGAGGCGACACGAATCTTGTGGTCCAGGGCATGGGAGGGGTGCTGCCCCAGGGATAGGGAGCCGATGGCTTGTTTGTTGGATAACATCGTGAGAACTGAGGGGGGAATACTTCTGTGTCGCAAAGATGGTCGATTCTAAGGTCCCTTTATACCCCACTTCCCCGGGATCTGGTTTCCGGTCGGAATCAGGAGCGCCCCAACCCCATCTCGTTATGCACTATAAAACATTATACTGGGGGCAACAGCTGGCGGACGGCAAGGAGTGACATGGCTTAATTGGAGATATTCGATTTAGTCCCGTTGACGGATGGGAGTAAGTATGTTGGAGGCCCGGATTCTTTTGGGGATGATGTGGCCCGTGAATATCAGGCAGGTGCTCGCCAGTTTGCTAGCCTAACTTGATACAAATATAATTGTTCTTTCTCCCTCTTGCTCCATTGAGATGTCTCCAGCACTGGTCCTTCGAGGCCAGAAAGCCCCTCGGAGATGGAGGAGGTGGTTGCCGCTGGTATGAGCCAACATCAGGCACGAGTAACATAAGAGGAGATCATCACCTGCCTACCTTCCCAATGAGAATATGGGACTCCAGAGCATACTTACTCGCATCCGTCAACAAAACTCAATCGAATCTCTCCAACAGCCATCCTACACCTCGCTGTCCTAGCCACCACTCACAATGTAAGCCTCATTGTGTGAAACTGAGCGAAAGCGCTGATTGCAGAATACTGATATTGATATCGTGCCCCCCCCCCCCCCCCCCCCCTCTTCCCCTTCCGCACATGCGGCAAGCGGCAGTAAGGGAAGATCGGCCAGTAGTACGCGCCAGCCATGCGGCTTGCCACATTCGCGGCACGGGGGAGTGCTACCACTATTCGTAGTGTCTGATGCCATGTGTGAGCAAGGGGGAAGCTTACAGGCAGGACAATTCCCAGTGGGGAATGCAGTTGCAGCAAATGGTGAGTTTGGGGTTGCTAGATTCCATTTTGACTGGTGTGGAGGGGGTCAAAAAAGCAGTAACCACAGGAGGTCGGAAATCCTCGGAAAACCCCGAGCTAGGAGGAATCGACAATAAGGCGGGAGGAGAGGAGCGACAATGATAAGATCCTGGCAGGAGATGAGTCCCATTTCCGGTCCAGGGGTGTGCTACCGTAGACAATGCAACGTGTGAGGAGACCTCCGGAAGTGCAGACGCAGGAGATTTGCGGGGGACTTCGATGGGCATCAGTACATGTCCAATGCTAGTCTCTTGGTTCGGGCACGACACTCACTCCCGCTTCAGGGGCCCGGTGGCAGCCTGAATAACTCGTGGCACCAAGTACAATGATGGAACTCTTTTCAATAGCAACGCTCCGTATGTCTGTTTGGGCTAATTATGGCGAGTCCCATTGGTAGCGGGCTCAGAAGGGAGATTCCTTTTCGCTCCAGCGGATATTCACATCGTGAACCTGTGCGAGATGAGACGGGTCAGCGAGAGCTGCAGCAGGGGATTGAACAGGGAGGAGAGTGTCAGACAAGCTCACTGGATTGGAAAGTGCTTGATGGGTGGTATGGACACCGTCGTGGTATAGATTTGGCCGAGTGCAGAGTTTGGGGTGGGGAGATGCAGATGCAGAGTTGTGTCGAGTGGAGTAGTAGCAGGTATGTTCGCCTGGGGAAGGTTTCACGCCGGCCCTGGAAATCAGGCACGCAACCCCGGCACCCGGGCCTCTACTACTGTCTGGAATTGTTCTCAACTGCCGCTGCAATTGTTTGTAGTGGGGCACTCGCCCCTTGTGTTATTCTATATACAAACTAGGGATGGTATTATAGGAAGATGGAGCTACATAGAGCCCACGTTGGCTGGTTGAAGTATTCCAATTAGTTTACCAACAACACATAAGGGGGGGGGAGCTGAGATTTGGCCAATAGCTGTCACCTGAACAATGCGCAGGCTGCTTGAACACAGCCCGTAAATCCACGGCAGTCACCGAGATAGAAAAGAACGAGACCGAAATCCTCTACATCACGCTACGCTCGCAAGAGAAGACGGCAACTATTACGCCACCACATTAAATCACATTATATTGGCATGAGATCAATCGGACTGACGTGGAAGGAATCAAGACCCAACGGAAGAAACAGTTCCTTTCAACGCTCATTTCTCTACATTGAGCACCTGCTTTCTCACTCTGATATCTCTCCCCTAGACGAACTCTAAAATTCAAGTCGGCGAATATCAGCGCTCTGATAAATTATCCGACGAATCCAGACCGATGACTCATTTACGCCGTCTGCAGCATCATTTGCTCAGAAGTAGAGCGTCATGTGCCGAAGACTCCCTTCCATGGCTTATTCTTCATCAGGACTGTATATATATAGCCGGGCGCCCCACACATCTCCCCGGGGGTTCGAGCGGCTGCCACAACACTAACAGAAATGAGTTGCATATCGTGACCCGAGGCCAATATAATATCGATACGGCCGGAATTTGTCAAAGCGGGGTATCTGCAGATATGTCTGACATCCGTGCTTACAGCCTTACTACCTACCGATGTCTCACTCAACCCTGCCTCTGTACATTCCCGCGCAGTGCTTAGCTGAACCGGTGCAAGGGTGATGCTCTCACCGCCTACCGTAAATGTACTAATCCAGCGCGTGCGCAGATAAGACGCCAGAATCCAAGAACGCCACCGGAGAGGGCAGGCAGCGTTTTCACTCGCCAGAACGGAGTACTCCGTACACTGTAGAGCATTGAATAATAATACTGGTCAATACATGGTTCAAAGTCCAAAATCAATACATGCCTGGCGCCGCTGCCGAGAAGCCAGCCCATTGACAGACTGTCAGTTTTGAGTGCCGGAAATCCGGGACCGCTCCGATAACCGGAAGGATGAAGGATCAGGCCCGGCTGGGCCTCGGGGTGGCAAGGTCGAGGTCACGGGGCCGTTCCCAGCCCAGGGCTGGTTCCTGAACCAATTGAGCGAGTCGCCTCAGGCGAAAACTCTGTCCCGTGTTCCTGGATGCGCCCGATCAGGTCATCCCGACAATGCGGTTGTGCTTGTCGCTGGTGGCTGCCTGCCACCTCAGCACCAGCAGTCAGCCCACACTCTGGAGCTTGACATGTCCATGCGTACGGTGCGCGCTGCGGAGTGCGTGGTGCTGTGGAATGCGGAGGTACCGTGGGAAAACCCTGGAAGCGCCTCTTGGCCCGACAATCATCCAGACTTCTCGAACACCGCTTTTCCGGCGACCAGCCATTAAGGTTAGCTTTCTCCAGTAGGGTCGGTTAGCGCAGTGAGTGGCAGTGGCAGTGGCGAGCACGACTTTAGGCAGAGAGCAAGCTAAGAGAGCTGGCTGCACGATGGAGATCCTTATCCGTATCGACGCTCGCGACCGGAGCACGCAAACGGCCCTGCTGTCTATCAATTCCCCACCCTGGGAAGTCCTGTAGCAAGGGAACAAAAGAACCACAGACCTCAGGAGATCATCCTTGCCAGCTCAGCAAGAACCGTGACATGGCATGGCTTTGATCTGGCCGGCGCTGAAATGTCGGTGACATGTCTGTATTTTTAGGTCGCCTGATCGTCGCGAAGAGTTTTCCCCATCCGTGGCGTTGAAGGTACGCGATGGCCGGCCCCTGAATGGATCGTTTCCGCCCCCATCGAGCCCGCTGTGGGCCCCCCGTCGTTTTCGGTATTTATTCTGGCGTTTCTTGGGTCCGTGGGCTGTCTCCCAACTCCATCGGCCACGCATTCTCCGCATTTTCCTCCTTCTCCTCATCCCGAGTTCAATTTGGAACTCACCATTATCGCAATGGCGTTCGACTGCTACTGCGCGTTGTGCGGTGTTGGGTTCTGTGGCATGCATATCGAGGCACCGTCTGAGACCGCGACCGAGCGGCGCAGACGCTGGATCGAGAAGCGATGCCGCGCGCTGCAGGCCGGGAGGGACATCGGCCAGGTGTCAGAGGGAGAGGAGACTGAGGACCCCGTCCGCAGCTATGATCCCCGGATTGTCGGCTGGGACAACATCTCCTGGCTGTATAAGGCTCATTGCCTGGGGTGGAACGAAAGCGCTCCTGCTGGCACGAGCAAGTAGGTGCTCCAGATCCTGCGGTCGGACGGGTCCGATTAACAATCTTCCAGAGCGTTCATTTCCGACGAAGGATATTACGCCGATTCAGTAAGCTCTCCCCAAGACACGGGTCGTACGATCGGAGCTAACCGTTGACAGGGAGAGTTAGTTGTCAAGGCCAGATCTGGTAAATCTCCACGAGACGATGCATCCGGGTGGATACTGACCTGTTCAGATCGTGATCGACCCCGATCTCAACGTGTTTTTTCATGGTATGACAGTCCCGATTCTCAGACCTATTGGAGGTGGTGCTGACCGTTCAAGCTATGGCCATGGCTCCGAGGAGGCACCCGGACCGGTCCTGCCGTTCCACTGGTGCTGTTTTGAGATTCTGACCCGCACCCTGACGGGCGCGAGTGACACCGAGAATGTCAATATGGATGTGTTGTACAATGTCATGACGCCCCTGTGCAACATGTCGAGCTCCGCACTGCAGTTGAGCTACGGAAATGACGTCGAGCGAGCCCAGGGTCGCTACTGGGAATGCATCCCGGGCGCAGAGGTAAGCAAATCATCCATTCCTGATAGCAAAGACTGTATTAACCCATGAACAGTATTGCGCCACACACCCGACTAACACTCCGGGTATCGACGAGTACATCCAGACCGCCCTGGAAACGAATTCCGGCCTGAAGACCTCGTCTGCCGAGCTGAATCTGAGAGGACGCGATCCCACCAGCCCGTTCGGCCGATTGCCCCTCGAAATTGTGTATCAGATCTGCATGTTCCTCCCCGGCGATGCGGTCAAAGCCCTGGGGCAGGCGTCCTTGAGCATCCACCTCGTGACCCAGGATAACTTGTTCTGGAAGAAGTTCATGCAGCGTGACATGCCGTGGCTCTGGGAGCTCCAGGGAGCGAAGAGTCGCAAGATTCCGCAGGACGTCAACTTCAAGCGGCTTTATATGTGGTTGAATCGGATCACGGCTCCGCGGTACGGCATGGACGATGTGAAGCTGATCGGCGTTGCGAATCGGAGGCGCATCTGGGGGGTTTGCGAGGAGCTCGCCGATCGTTATCACGAAAGCTTGCCTCAGCCCACCGTTAGTGGCTGATCAGGTCGCCGTTTAGAAAACCTATCTATCGACAGACGTCACGAAGTAAGCAGGCTTGGACACGGCGATCAACCCAGGGAGAAACATGGCAGCGACTGCCGCTGCTGATGCCGCGTCCGAAGACGTGTGGGTTTTCGAAAATTTGGAAATCAGAAGCTTCAAGGAATGAACGACGGAAAGCTCGCTCGCTGATGGGTGGTCGAGTGAAATCTACGTCTACATATACAAGGACCCAATCTGTGGATCACATGATCGGGGACCTGGCCGTGATGGCCTCAGGCCTTAACACGCCTCAGGCCGCCATGGGGCAATATAGCAGCAGTACACATCTCACAGCCTTAGACTATACACGCTATAACAATAATGAAATAATGATACGGACTTTAGGAACTACAATTATTGATTTAGCCCGATTCACTACTTCTTCCTGCTTTACTTGTCATCCTTCCCATCCACCTTTTATGCCTTATCCTATATTCCACGATGCTGGGAGTGAGCTCGTCATGTACAAACCTGGAAGACACCAAGGCAATAATCCGTAAATGTGTTACATTCCTGACTATCTACTAGTAGTTGACCAAAGGAAGGTCGTGCAGCCCCTGCCTTGTTCAGGTCAGTAGTAGTAAGTAGCTGGAATTGCTAAAGTGTGGAAAGAACTGCATTCATGCCTGCCTTCCCAAGCGAATCTCAAGCAGATGATGCCACTCTTATTTAAGGACTACCACTGCCGCTACTGCTGCTGCTACAGTGACTATGTCATACAGATACATGCACTCACCCACTTACCAAGACATCAAAAAATATAAAGCAACGATCACTCCGCCTGCTCCCACCGCCTCATCGGCCCGCTCGACGCGCTACCTCCAGCGCTCCCGCCAGCAGTAAGTTCTCATGCGTTTGCACAGAGGGTGGCTTTAACAGCTGCAGATGCGCGCTCCTTCCTTTCCACATCCACCGACCGTGGGAGTTGTACCACCGTCGGCCTCCCCCTCCACGTATTCTACCTTACTCCCCTGTCTCTCCCGAGCGTTTTCTGCTGATCATCCTATCTCATTATGATGGCGAGGAGGTGGGTATACAGCATTCGCCTTTGATGAGCTTTCAGCATAAGGCTGCAGCTCCTACGGAGCTCTTTGTTCGGGATGGCAGACCTATCCAGCATTGTTCGACTACTCTGTAGCTGGGGGTTTGTGTGATGCCACACTGGAGGGTGTATCGGGTATAGCACTCCTGCTTATTTTGATGTCTGGAGATGTTCCTGTTCGAGGGTTTTAATACTTGGGTTCGCCCAGAATGTGGGGGGTTGGACGGAGTCGCGGCGTGTGATGGGCTGCGATGCCTGGGAAGTCAGTTCGGGGGCATGAGATGGGGTGGGTAGGGATAATGGGGATAGGGAATGAGTGGCACCCTAGTCAAAGCTGTGGTTCCTAAAGAGAAACGACACGGTGATTCTGCCTCTGAGGTATTCGGGCTGATTCAGCCTATGTCACAAGATGAGTGTTTGGGAAACGGTGGGCGTTTTGTGGTGGTCCAGACAGCGTCTGCTATGGTTTGATAGGATCAGACACAATGCCTCCATTGAATCGATGGGAATTTCCTTTATATCCACATCAGAACTAGCTTTATCCTGTCGCATCCAAGCCCCCCGAGAGAGGTCAGATATCGTTCAAGACTATAACTGTCCGCGTCTGCAACTAGTAATCACATGGGACGTACCTTCCACACCGGGGAAACGGATGGGTGGGAGGCTTTGGGGTGCTCGGATGCAATAACTCAGACGAAGAGCAGTATACTCTGCTTCAGACCAGCTGCTGCCAGCTCCAAGGTGATTTTGAATGGTGTGTACATACCACCCGGCGCGGGGTGGCGGTACCGAGTGCAAGTTATCTCCTTATTTTTTTTGAACACTTTTGAGACATATTTTGAGAGGGTGTTCATGCCGGGTTCGATTCACCGCAGCACCCAGCGGCTGGCCTTTTTGTTTCCTTTTTCTTTCCTCGCTTTTCTTTTCCCTTCTCTTTTGCCTTCTCTTTTGCCTTCTCTTTTGCCTTCTCTTTTGCCTTCTTTTTTGCCTTCTTTTTTGCCTTCTTTTTTGCCTTCTTTCCCCCTTCTTTGCTTTCTGTATCAAACTACTACTACTCATAACTAGTGTCTATTGTCTCTTGTCTTCAAGATTTCTATATTTTTTGATTCTATTGAATATTCTCCTTCCTCATATGCTCTAGTAAATGGTATTTGGGAGGGGGACTCCTGCCCCAGTGAATATCAAGTCCTCCACCAAAAATTGCATCGACAAGAATGCAATTCGTTAACCAGGATGAGTGTAATGTTCCCCTCATTCTTGCCAAAAGGAATCGCACAAGTGGAAAGTCGAGGTGAGGAGGAGGAGACCGGTCGAATTGAACGGCATCGATAGTACGGCTCCAGATCGACCCAATCTGCGACAGTACATACAGAGTTAACGGGCTTGTTTTGTCGCAAGTCAGATTCACATATGGCCTGCCCGAACAAAGGGAATCCACAACAAAAGAAGAAAGAGCCAGAGAAAAAACCTGGAATCTCTGGTTGAATTCCCTGTTGGCACCCAGCTTCCCGGTTAATTCTTCCATGACCCGTGGAACTGGACAGCTTAAGCGCGGGAGAGTTTGGATGACACGCACCAGCTTCTCTCTGTGTAGGACCGTGCTATATAGTAAGTAGCCCCCCCACACGATCCATACACAAGCGATCAGCACATCAAACTAACACTCCACACACCATGCAGCCAACTCCAACCAGCCAGGACAGCAACAATCATATCAAATCGCACCTTCCCCTCCCTTCGGGTGTAACCCTCTATTACGAAATCCGGGGCACTGGTCCACCGCTGCTCCTGATCCCAGGCGCCCATGCCACTGGCCTCATCTACGAGTCGCTAGCGGAGGCTCTCTCCCCGCGGTTTCGAGTGACACTCTACGACCTGCGCGGGTTCGTGCGCAGCGACCCGAACCCCAACTCCAACCCAAGCCAAAACCCCAGATCCAACCCCCAAACCATCGAAACCCACACCGGCGACGCCCTGGCCCTGATCCGACACCTCTCACCCACCACCCCCATCACCGTCTTCAGCAGCAGTAGCACCGCCCCAATCGCCCTATCCCTCCTGCACAAGTGCCCTCAGCACATCCACAAAGTCATCCTCCATGAGCCCCTCCTCTTCTCCCTCCTGCCCCCGGCCATCTTCACCGCCATCAACCGCCTCTTCACGTCCTGCATCCGCAACCCCAAACACCCGAGCATCCACGCCATCAACCGTACCATCCTACCGCTGGTGCAGCGCCCACATGGCTGGGCGCGGTTCACGCGCACACGCGAGCACGCCCGCTTCAGAGAGCTGAGGCTCCCGTCAGACTTTAATCTGCGATGGGATGTGAATGAGTTTTTGGAAGTGGTGGAGTGGGGGGTGGACGTGGAGGGGTTGATGAAGGTGGGCGGTAGGGAGAAGTTAGTGCTGCTACGGGGGAAGATATTGGCGCCGGTGTTAGGGAGTTGGCCAGTGGAGAGGTTGGGGGGGCTGTTAGGGGTTGAGGTTATCGGGGTGCCTGGGGATCATTTGGGGTTTGTGACGTGCGCAAAGGAGGTGGCGAGCGTTCTTGAGGGGTTGTTATTGGGGGAGGGGGAGAAAAGGGCGGGGGAGAGGGAGAGAACAAGGTGGAGGGACAAGGGCAAAAAGAGAATGGGAAGAAAAGGGAGGCGAGTTTGTAGATGTGGTTTTGTGTATAGAACGATAGCGACACCAGACTGAATTGGGATGTTGGTTTGGCACAGCTTATCGGGATATGGGGAAGACGGGGTCCGGAGTCCGGAGTACTCCGGATCGGATATGAGGATAGTAGATGGATGGGGGATTGTTGTTCCGTGTTGGACCGAGGCATTGCCTTTGCAGAAGACACTATCTATCTACTTAGTCCTTTGCTACTATGCTACTAGTAAGTAGCGAAGAGGTGCAGCAAACCGTCACCAGGCACGGTTGCATCGGTGACTGGAGCAGCAACGATCGCCACACCGGATTCGTCAGGCCCACCGCGAAGGAGCTTATCGCTGCAGCATGTCTCGGAGGTTGGGCCAATCCAGGCTGACTTCCAGCCCGGGCGGGTCGTTCCGTGAAGCTTCCATTCTTCGGAATGACGAAGAAACTTATCGTGGCGGAAGACAGGGGCACTCTATCTGAGGGGAGATTATCTGGAGTATCAGCAGACTATCTAGATAGCAAACTAACGAGCTGGGCAATCCTGGGCAATCATGGACAATCAGTGTAATCAGAGGCCGGTGATACACGCATGGACTTGCCCGATGGGGCGCGTGTTATCGGAGCTGCGGTGGAGTCGAGCGCGGTGGAGTCCGAATCCGGAGCGGGCTGAGCTGAGCTGAGCTGAGCTGGGCTGCTGCAGTGCTGCAGGCTTGCAGCTTACTTATATTCCGTCTCCCCCGCTCGTCTCTGCTCCAGTCCAGTCCAGTCTCAGTCGCAGTCTCGGTCAAAATGCGTCTTCCTCTGTTGGCTCTAGGCGCGTTGGCCGCTCCCAGCGTCGCCCACGTCGTCCACCCCCGCGATGACGGGCAGTGCAAGCAGACCACGGTCGCCATCCTGTGGGTCGCTTCGTCTGCGGTTGTGAAGACGAATGAAGGCTAATATGCTCTGACAGTGGTGCCGGAATGGCGGGTGTTGCAGCTGCGGTAGGTCGATCCGGAGGAGGGGGGGGGAGGAGGCACGCACAGCGCTGACCGTCCTGTCCTAGCAAACCCTGCACAACGCCTCCATGGACGATTTTATGATCCTCGAGTACCGCGACCAGATCGGCGGGCGCGCCTGGCATGTGCCGTTTGGCGAGGACGAGGAGGGCAAGCCGTACATCATTGAAATGGGATGCAACTGGGTGCGCACAATCCCCCACTGTCGCAAAGGACCAGATACTGACAGCAACAGGTCCAAGGACTCGGTGTTCCGGGGGGTCCGCAGAACCCCGTCTGGACACTGGTAGGTCGCCTCGCCGGGTGGTCATGATCGCGCTGACAGCCACAGGCCCAAGTCTACAACCTGTCCACCGTCTACTCCAACTACAGCAACGTCTCCACGTACAACCAGGACGGCTATAAGGACTACTCCTACCTGATGGATCTCTACGACGACATCTACGACACCGCCGCCGCGCAGGCGGGCGTCATGCTGTCCGACAACCTGCAGGACCAGACGGCCAAGACCGGACTTGCCATGGCCGGCTGGCGGCCCAAGGAGCACGACATGGAGGCACAGGCAGTCGATTGGTGGGAGTGGGGTGCGTTTTCCCATCCCTGTCCATCTACCCTTCATCTCGCTCACAATCCGCAGACTTCGAGGACGCCTACACCCCGCTTGAAAGCTCCTTCATCTTCGGCATCGCGGGCAACAACCTGACGGAGAACGGCTTCAGCGACGAAGACAACTTCGTGATCGACCAGCGCGGATTCAACACGCTCATCCACGGCATGGCGTCGACCTTCCTGAAGCCCAACGACACACGTCTGCGCCTGAACTCTCAGGTCACCAACATCAGCTACAGCGACTCGGGAGTGACGGTGCACAGCTCCGACGGATCCTGCGTGCAGGCCGAGTATGCCATCACGACGTTCTCGCTGGGCGTGCTGCAGAACGCCGCGATCGACTTCAGCCCAGCGCTGCCGCAGTGGAAACAGGAGTCCATCCAGGGCTTCACGATGGCGACCTACACGAAGATCTTCCTGCAATTCAACGAGACGTTCTGGCCGTCCGAGACACAGTTCCTGCTGTACGCGGACCCCTACGCCCGCGGCTACTACCCGCTCTTCCAGTCCCTCAGCACGGAGGGCTTCTTCCCGGGCTCGAACATGATCTTCGTCACCGTCACCGAGCAGTACGCGTGGCGCGCGGAGCGCCAGTCCGACGAGCAGACCCAGGCCGAGATCATGGCCGTGCTGCGCAAGATGTTCCCGGACGTGGACGTGCCCGATCCCATCCACTTCCTGTACCCGCGCTGGACCACCGAGCCCTGGGCGTACGGCACGTACTCCAACTGGCCGCCGAGCACGTCGCTTGAGATGCACGAGAACCTCCGTGCCAACACCGGACGCCTCTGGTTCGCCGGTGAGGCCACCAGCCCGACCTACTTCGGTTTCTTGCATGGCGCGTGGTTTGAGGGTCGTGCGGCCGGCAGAGAGATCGGCGCGTTGCTGAACGGCACCTGCCATGCGAATACCACCTGCCATGGACGCAAGCACTACGAGCGCCTGCATGGCACCACCCCATTGGCGGATTACAGTGCCGTGGATGGGTGGACGGCGAACAGCTTCTATGATTTTAACGATGATTAGATTGGGTATAGGGTGCGGATGTAGACGTATTGTATTGTATTGTATGTATGTATGGTGACCGAATGAGATAATAATACATTTATAGAATGAATGGAGATCCAACCCGTGTTCCATAAATGCCAATGCCTTGTCATGAAGGGCGGGGTAGTTGTGTCTTCGCAGTTGAAAGTCGAAAACTTCAGCATCTAACCACTGCTTTGTTACGCCCATGAATAGAAAAAGAAGCCGCGGCATTAAATAACTTGATCATTCACCATCCAAGCCTGTCAAGTCTGAGTGGAGTAGGATTTAAAAATCCATCAGCTACTCATCTAACCAATTATTTCTTCCCATGCCACTACAACTTCGCATTCATCTCACATACTCATAACACATCTCACTCATCGCATCACACCACCAAAGCACGAACCCAGAAGCTGGCCAGACAAGAATGTGAGAGAGAGAGAGGAATCCCCAACCTCACTCTCCCTCTCCTCTCCCTCTCCTTCAAAACAAAACAAAACAAACCCACCCTCTCATCCCAAACAAAGCCAACCCAAACCAAAATCACCAATCACAAAAATGCATATTCAAACTAACATCCCCCATCCCCATCCCCATTCCCTCCCCATCATCCCCCGCACCCCCATCCCGCAACATGACATACCCCCCCACGCCCACCCCCCAACACCCCTCCACGAGATCCCGAAACCCATCCAAGCAATCCTCCACACTCGCAAACACGCCGATCTTGCCGACGCTGGCCCTGATCACCGAGTTCTCGTCGTCCGAGGCGAAATGGTCCCAGTCGCCGTACGACACGTTCCAGCGGAAATCGCAGTACTGCACGCTGTAGACGTCTTTGATGCTGGCTTTGCTGGCGCAGTTTTTGCCCGCGGTGGCGGTGGGGGGGTAGCATGCTACGGAGGGGGATGCGGTGGTGTTGGTGTTGGTGTTGGTGTTGGTGTTTCGGGGGTGGTTTGGGCGAGGGTTGGGTGGGGGGTGAGGAGGGTGAGGGTGAGGGTCGTGAGGGTTGTGAGGAGGGTGGGGAGGGTGGGGAGGTGCATTTTGGATTGTTTTCCGGGCTGGATGGGTTGGGTTTGGTTAGATGGAGATGGAGATGGAGATGGAGGTGGAGATTGAGATGGAGATGGTGGGGTTGCTGGATAGGATAGGATAGGATAGGATATGTGGGCTAGGAAGAAGTCCCCCCGGGGATGGAGAGGGGGATGGAAGCATACCTGATGTGGCTGTATTTGTAGCTAAAGCCGTAGCGTAAAGAATTAACCTTTGCGTTGAGCCGGAACAGTAGATTAAAAATTGGATTGTATGTAGATGTGAGCAGCACTCCGTATGACAGTAGAAGATGAGAGTAAAATACCAGAAGTGCCCGGCCAGAGGAAACACAGACGAAATTTATACGGAGTCCTACAGCACCATGAGCCACTCTCACTAACTACCCCAAGTCTTTGGTCTGGTCTAGTCTAGATGTCCTCCCCCCACCCCCAGCTGATCTGCAAGGGCCTGTCGTATCTGCTAACCTGCTATCTGCATGTCTGGCATCTATGTCAGGGGTGGGTTACCTGCAATCAGGTCTAGAGGATGATCGACCGGTCAGTCGGTGTTTACCATGGATTATCGAGGTAGCGGATAAGAACAATCATGCATGAATGAAATAAATGTCATGTTGTCTGGGGTTTGTTCGGGTCTGGTCGCAGTAGTAATAGATTAAATGGAATATTCATCAAGTCTAGTCTGTTCTATATATATATACAAGCAAATCCAGTCTAAGTACGCAGGTCTAGTCCCAACCAAGCAAATCTAGTCCCCAAGCAGTAAATCCGCATCCGCAAGTAAAACACCACACCACCCCTTACCCATGCAAGGAATCGCAATCAAATCAAACCAAATCAACCCAGCTCCAATCAACCCAACCAGACAATCACTCAATCAGAACCCCCACTGCACCAGCCAATTCCTCATCAACTCCACCGTAACGCCCCCCAACCCCTCCATCGTGCGACTGGCGCGTCGGGTCTCCTCCGTCCCCACCTCCGCGGAGAGGACCTCGCCCGCCAACCCGCGATAAAAGTCCAGCAGCTTGAGCGCGGGCATCTCGCGCACCTGACTCTCGGTCGGCGACCGGATGGCCTCGAGCTCGCGCAGCCAGTCGTCCATGGGCACCGTCGAGACGCCATATTGGGATTCGATGGCGGGGATGAGCGTCGCCCAGGGGACTTTGGTGGGGTTCACGAGGTGGTAGACTGCGTTGGGGGTGGAGAGCTGGGTTGTGCGGCGGGTTTGGGTGAGTTCGGTGGTTATGGTTGCGAGGGTGTCCTATATATGTCCTTCTTATTAGGTATTGTGGGCGGAATATGGGATGGAGGAAGAGGGACGGGGTTAGGTAGTAGGTAGGAGGTATCGGGTTGGTTTGGCAGGGAACAAACATACCACAGGCACCCAATCGATGTTATAATTCCCCAAATCGGCCGGCACCTTGCCCAGCGACTTGGACGTCTTCACCAGGGTGGGCACCCACTCATCCAGATTCCACACGCCCTCCTTCGTCGTCGGGCCCGAGATCTGGCCCACGCGGAAGACCGTCGTGGGGACGCCCGCGATCCGCGACGCCGCCAGACACATCCTCTCCGCGACGTGCTTGCTCTCGCCGTAGCCCTGCTCCAGCACGGCGTCCACAGTCTCCAGCGGTTCCTCGGGCACCACGGGTCCCATGGCCGGGTTCCACGCGCCGATCGTGCTCACCGACGACACGAACGACAGGTGCGCGTTGTAGGTGCTCTGCGTGCTGAAGCGGATGAACTCGAGCATGCCCCTCAGGTGCGGGTCCTCGAAGGACTCGAGCGGGTGGTTGAAGTTGACCGTCCAGGCATTGTGGAGGATGAAGTCGACGCTGTGCAGCAGCTCGGTGTATTTCTCGTCCGGCAGACCGAAGTGTTCCGCGCCGAAGGCCACGGTCAGGAATTCGACCCGCGAGTCGAGCAGCCTCACGTCCAGGCCTTTGTCGCTGAAGCTGCGCTTTTGGCGCGCCGCGGCGTCGGAGCGGTTGAAGCAGTAGACCTTGGCGGTGCGGGGGTCGGACAGGAGACGGTGCAGCAGGTAGGTCCCCAGGGAGCCGGTGGAGCCGGTGAGGATGAGGGTCGATTTCTCGGACGGCGCGACGGCGGGGGTGCTGCGGTGGGGGATCTGGCGGGTGTATTTCTCGACCATGGCGGTGACTCGGTCGGCGCGTGAGACTGTCGTGCCGGTCTGCCCGTGGACCAGATCCAGCAGGTACTGGGCGAGCTGGGCGATGGACGGGTGGGAGTAGATCTGCTGCTGGGAGATGGAGTGGCCGTCGTAGCGGGTGGCAACGGCCTTGTTGAGCGTCTTCGCCAGCTGGATCGTCTGCAGCGAGTCCAAGCCCGCCGCATACAGATCGTCTGCATCCTGCACATCTTCTCGCTCCAGCAACGCGGTCACCAATCCCCTCACAAACCGCACCAGGCTCTCCCGGTCCAGCGTCTCGGGCATCTGGGCGGCTGTCTCCTCCTCCGCCGCCGCCGCGTAGATGGCATCGATCTCCTCCTTGTACTCCTGGTTCACTGCATGGCGCTGCGTGGTCCCCTTGGGGGTAACCTTGAATGGCTTCGCCCGTTTCGCGAGGCGAATCTTGCTCTTCGCAATGCGCCCGTACTTCGGCACGGCCTCGTTGGCGCGCTCCACCGTATCCCAGATACTCTCGACGAACTGTTTCTCGTCCACCGAGCCCAGCGTACCCCAGTCCGGCTCGACCAACAACGCGGTCTCGAACCGCGCCTGACCGATCAACAACGCCCTGCGCACACTGGCATGTCCCTCGACGATCTTCTCCAGCGTCACCGGATTGAGCTTCTCTCCGTTGCTCAAGACAATCACGTCGTCCAAGCGACCGTGATACTTCCACAGCTCGGGACGCTGCGGATGGCGCACATAGAGATCGTTGGAGCGGTATTCCGTGAGGTGGGGAAAGGTGTGGAAGATGCCGTGCACGCGGCGACTGTCGTGCTGACGGGGAATCACCAGTTCGTACAGATCGTCGCTGACGTGCTGCATGTCGACTCCGTACGCGGGGTTCCACTCAAAGTAGCCCCAGACGCGCTCACCCTGCGGCACGAACGAGGAGATGAGCCCCATCTCACTGGACCCCATCACGGTGATGATCTTGGTGTATTGGGATAGCTGGTCGCCGACTTCCGGGGAGAGGGGGGCGCCCGCGAAGTAGACCTGTTGGAGGGAACGGAGGGCGGCGCAGGCGTCGGGAGAGTGGGAGATGTCTTCGAGGATGGATGGCGGGAAGAACGCGGCGGTGGGGTGGGTGGCGTTGAGGATCGAGACGATCAGGTCCACGGAGAGCGGCTTATCGGGGCAGATGACAAAGGGGGTCGCGTGGAAGAGCGAGGTGATGAAGGCCAGCAGCCCCATGAGGTGGAAGAAGGGCGTTGTGGCGAGGACGGCATTGTCGGGTGGCAGGTCGTTGCACATGGTCGACTGGCGGGTTTCTGGCCGGGTGAGGTACGCGCCATTGTCGATGGTCGCGAGGTAGCCGTGGGTGAGAGGGATGGGTTTGGGCATGCCTGGTTGGTTTTAGCGAGTGGAGGTTGTAGTCTTAGTGAAGGGGATGGGAAAGTACCTGTTGTGCCAGAGCTGTGGATAATGATAGCCACATCGTCTTCAGCCTCGGTGAAGGTCTTGTTGTACGGGTAGGGCTGTGCGGGCGTCGAGAGCAGGTCCTCGAGAGAGGGCACCTCATAGAAGGCGGTGTTTCTGCGGAAGGTCTGGATCTCAGCCACGCGACGCTGCTTCTCGGGGGTGTACAGGAAGGTGTGGCAGTCGGTGGAGGTCAGGATGTGCTGGTAGGCGTCGTCGGAGAGTCGGGTTGAGGGGAGGAGGGGCTGGAGAGTCAGTCTCGTTCCATCAAACTAGGGTTATTCCCAGTGAAGGTGGACGACTCACCTTGTATCCGGTCTTGTGTGCGGCCAGCAGGACGATCAGGTACCGCACATCGTTCTTCGCCATGTAGGCGATGGTGGTTGGCTGCTGCGCCCGTCCGATGGTCTTCTCGATCCACCAGGCAAAGGCGTCCACGGCGCGCGCCAGACGGTCGAAGGTGACGGTCTCGTAGCCATCCGACCCGTCGGCATTGGGGATGATGCCGACGCGCTGGGTGGGCTTGGTCTGGGCGAGGTGGTCGACGACCAAGGGGAAGAGTCGCTGTCCGGGAGTGTTGGCCATATCGGTAGTATTGATAGTATCGCTGTTGATAGTAATAACAGTGGTGGGATTCAGCGAGATGTTTAGCGATGTATCGAGTGGTGTATCAGCAGACACAGTATTACTAGAAGTAAACAATTGTCTCAATAAAAATCTATAATGATGTGGACGTAAAGCGGGAAGATGCGATATTATAAGTAAATAGCAGAAGATTAAGCTGAAGCGATGGAATAAAACAGCACCAACCCTCGAGCGATCCGATCCATCCTATTTATCATCTTTGTCCCCAGGATATTCTGGACGGACGCGATCCGATTATCCAGGGTGACACCGACTTGCACTCCAAGTCGGCACCGGCACGGCTTAAGCAGCCGGCCCTGGCGGGTGGAGCGTCACTATGCATGTCTCCCTGCCTAAGTGAGCACCAGTCTGACAAATTCCATCCATCCCATCACATCAACACCACCCCCTCTTCTCACCACTCAAACATCCAAGTTCCAAATAAACCGTCTCCTCTCAACCTCCCCAAAACTAACCCCCCAAAAAACAGAAAGTTATCTTTAAACAAGCAACACACTTGGCACCCCCATCCACGGCTCCTCCCAGGAACCCGAAACTTAGCGCTGGACCCCGACCGCTTGTGGCGGCCGGATATCCATTGATGTCATGGATTTAGTGTATAATCTTAATCTTAATGCTCTGATCCCGCGTCACTAGAACCCATCTGGATACTACATAGTCCTAAGTAGTAGTCTAGCCAGAATTATCCACGCATGATCCCGGGCGGGCTATTCCCCATTCTGTCTGCGTGAAACAGACAAATCCAGCCGGTGCCGATTCTGCCGTGAGGTATTGCCGTGAGGAATTACCGTCTCGGGTAAGATGCCGTGGGCGCGGACTGCTGATGTCATGGGGATGACGGTCACAGTGTCGCAGTGTCAGACGCATGGGTTCAGTTGGGTGGCAGAATCCGAGACTTTCCCGACTCTCCGAGAGGACGCCGCCGGTGGGGCACGCTTTATGCTTATTCTTGGTTTCGCAGGGATAAACGGATGGATGGAGGGATTTGCCGGGTATCGGCAGGCTGGATGCGGGATTATGCTCCGACCTGACGGGGAATGGGGCCATATCCGGTAATAATACTATCTATTAGATACTATGGATGTACAGTAGGGATTTGGGTGGGGCGGGATGGACCGTTACTCCGTACGGAGTATAGATAGCAGGCAGGATTCAATGCAGGGAGAAGCAGGGATAGGTGGTTGTGCATTGACCTTGTATTATTAGCGGAGTAGTGGTTCAGATCATTCAAGATAATGTCGATGATTTATGGTATTAGGGTTTTAGAGTTCGAATAATGATGGGGTCTGGGCGGGCGGGCCCTGGTCGCGTCGGGCTCGGGGGTCCGGACTGGATGAGGGTTTTTTTTTTTTTTTTTTTTTTTTTTTTTTACTTTTTACTTTTTACCGTGTACTATGTGCCCATATTTTGTGGTTTAATATCTGCGGATGAATTGAGTTTACTGCATAGTACTACTCCGTAGACTTTTGTGCATTTGGAAGCCGAGAGCTAATATTTAGTACCGTGGATGCCTTCTCGGCTAGAATGTCAGGTACGTATGTATATTTTGGTTTGGAGCGGGAAGGCTGATGAATCGATAATTAAGTGAAATCCGAAATGTCCTGTCTATTACAGCTGTCTATAAAATAAAATCTGTTTGACTATTCGGGACGCGTGGCAGGCAGAAGAAGTGTAAGTGACCGCATGGTCAGGTTGGCTATTCACATTTATGCTGTTCTCCGATTATTCTACTGAGGACTAGCCGGGATGTATTCTTTATTTGTAGTAAGGATATCTCTGTCATAGGCTAGGGGTTAGTCTAATCGCGACCGTAGCAGCAAAAGTTAATCTTTGCAAACCTCTGCAAAGGATTCCGCAGCCACATGTCATCATCAGACACTGCGATTGGACTACGGAACACTAGTCAGGGCCATCACACCACGGCATGTTAGACCAAGTGTTTCCATTTCCTGTATCCCAGAACATTACATCACTGTCACAAAACTAATAATGTCAACCCCCCTCCTCCTCCCTCTCAGGGACATACTGACAAACTCTTACATCTCGCAAATTCAACCCCAAATTCAACCCCTCTCACTGGTTCAACCCCTCAGCCATCTCCAACAGATTCTCCCCATCCGGGCCGTTCTGCGTATACCGCGAATTGAACCTGAGCACCTTCTTCACCCGGAGGAGATGATGTGGTGGGACTGTGGGGATGATGCATACCATTGTCGGAGAAGACGAAGTGCGTCTCTAAGGGGTAGTACTCCTCGTCCAGCCGGTGCTCGGACGGGGTATGGAAGTGGAACTGCGCCAGGGTATATATAGTGAACATTCTTTGCAAGAGGTTAATTTCACCGATTGTACGAGGCAATGCTGGGACCCTCGGATCTGGTGGTAGGCCCCGTTGCACAGAGAAATCTACCGGTAGGTAACCGGTGTGGGGCGTTTTCAATCAGAAGGGGGTGTGAGCTAGGGGTTTCTTGACATGAACATTCACAAGGTCTACGGAGATGGAATCGGGGCTCGAAGGTCAATCGCGAAGTAGCCGACATTGCCCAATGCGGACTCGGAAAGCTTGCCAGTCGCTTCGGAAGAAGGTCGACTGTTGTCCACATCGCACACAGCGATCTGGCTTGGCTCCCATTCTCCATTGGTGACATCCTCCATTCACTGTAGACCCGCATGTCATATTTCTTGCGATCTCTAGTGAACCTCTGCTTCTTCCCACTTTTTTTTTTTTCATTTTTTTCGATTCGGAGCTACACAGGCTACCTCCTAGTCGAACCAAAAAGCCCAGCACTAATGCAAAATAGAGTGACTGTTCTCGGCTCGGGGGATCTCGACGCTTCGGGTGTTGTCATAACTCCGCCCAGAATATAGAAGCAGCGGCCTTTCTACCACCGTTCGAAATCAACGGCGGACACGAGTGGAGGAATCTACCATTCACTTTCTTAACATGTGCCCCGGCGGACATTTCTCCAACAGCTCACCATATTGCCAAATGAAGCCCACAGACCATTATGAATCGCTAACTTGCACAACCATCCTCGACCTTCCCGCAGTTCACTTCCGCGGACTTGAACATATTGGATGCGTCTATATCGTCAGATCTGCAGCATGGAGCTTTATGAGATGGCTCGAGCATGTGAAAGTTAATGATGGAGCGGATCTCTTCATCTAATCGCCGAATAGACAGTTGACTTTGGCGCTCCAAGACGCGCTCCTCATCTCCGCCCTGTTCTGTGCGTCAGGAATCCAGCGAACATGTGCAAATATTGTCATGGCTATATTAATTTTCAGTGACATCGTCGTACCTCGAAGGGTCATCCCAGGGCTTTGTGTTTGATGTATCCCGCCCCCCCCCCCCCATGAATTACTTTCCCTTGACGTACATCATGGACACTATAATAGGGATCCAGTATTATTGGTCAACCCTGTACCGTTCGAAGAAGAAGTTAAGTATTTTCGATATGCCTCCGCTTACACCTGTGGCCAGTACATTCATAAATAACCCACCTCTACGACAAACGCAGCCGGTAAACCTGTCAATTCTGAGTACTTAATCTTCCAGGTAATGCTTTCTTCAGCGCACGTCAACACTCTTAAGTCAGAACCGTTGGAAAAGCCAGCGCTGGCGCGACTTTGGACTTCTGGAGGGTATGTTGCTTTCAATATGCTCAGGCTATTTCTTCCGTGCTCGATTACAGAGATACAATCGTGGATCGTTGATCTGCCGTCTGCCGTCTGTCGTCTGCCGCACAGCGCTAACATACATTCATCACTAGAATATATTCCGCATATTCGTCAACTTTCTATCATCGGCGTTCCAGCATCGCGGTGGAGTTACTGGCAGAAGGAATAACAGTCCGTGCTGACCGACGCCTTCGTCTTAACTAACTAGCGGATGAGTAACTCAGACTCCGTCGGAATAACTCGGGCGTCTCGTCTCACTCATTTGCGCTGCAGACCCCAACACAACGTCATTTTTTCTGCTACATGCTAGTGCTGATGCTCAGCAACAGACACGGCCAATCAGATACCCCAGGGATAGCTAAATTCTAAATACAGGCCACATGGCAGGAATCTGACCGGGATGCTCTTTCACCCGTAGCGCATCAGCTGACATCCAGCCGCCTGGCGGTTTCGAATCCCTCCGGCCTTCCCCGCCAAGTTATCGTCAGCCAGATCGCGGCATCGCGGCATATAAAACACGCACAATCCCAGCCCCAGCCCCAACCCCAGCCCATTGTCTAATAACCATATCCCCGTCCAACATCCCAGCAATAAACATCATCATCATCATCATGAAAGCCAACCGCGGCGCTAAGATCGTCCTCCACTGGTACTATCTACTCCACCCACCCTTCCCTTCCATCTGGCATCTATCTAACACCCACCCAGGCTCGAGCGCTCCCGCGCCCAGCGCATAATGTGGCTCATGGAGGAGCTCAACCTCGAATACACGGTGCAGACATTCAAACGTCAACCCAACGGCACGGCACCGCCGGAGCTGAAACAGATCCACCCGCTCGGCAAATCGCCCCTCGTGTCCGTCACCCCGCCCGAGGCCACCGAGCCCATGGTTCTGGCCGAGTCCGGGCCGATCCTGGAGTACTTCCTCGACCACTTCGGGGGCGCCGACACGAGCCTCATCCCGGCGCGCTACACGCCAGGCAAAGAGGGCAAGCTGGGCGGCGAGACGGCGTCGTGGATGCGCTATCGCTATTTCATGCACTACGCCGAGGGCAGTCTCATGTCGCCGATCCAGGTGCAGTTGATTATGAATGGTGAGTTTCCCGAGTCTCCCTCCCCTGCCCCCGTCCCATCTTCCCATCTTCCCACCCCCCCCCCCCCCATCCCCTACACACTAACACCCCCACCCAGCCATCAAAAACGCCCCCGTCCCCTTCTTCCTCAAACCAATCACGGGCCTCGTCCCCGGAAAAGTCAGCAAGGAGTTCCTCGACCAGGAGCTGCGCACGCACTTCACCTTCCTGGAGACCCAGCTGGCGTCGGCGCCCGACGGCGGCCCGTTCCTGTGCGGCGCGCACCTCACCGCCGCCGATATCCAGATGAGTATCCCCGTCATCGCGGCGCTCAATGTCGGGATGATTGCCCGCGCCGAGTATCCCCGTTTGGACGGGTATTCGGAGAGGTTGCAGGCGCAGGGGGCGTATAGGCGGGCCGTGGAGAAGATTGAGGCGTTGGAGGGGAGGCCGTTTGTTGCTATTTGAAGGGGGGTTGGGTTGGTTTTGTGGGTGGGTTTGGGGTTGATGTGCTGTTTTGGTGTTGTGGTGTTGGTGTATTAGGGTTTTAATATTGTGGTGATGGAACTCTTAATGGGTATAATGAAGTTGGGAGTTTCTGAGAGGGTTTGGAGTGTATAGTATTTACTGATAGGCGGGTCGGGTGCCTGTTGGATTGGGATGGGATGTAAGATATTGGATGAACCTGTCCGTCCTAAACAACTGTAGCTTAGCAACGAATCACAACGAATGGATAGCGACGTTCGAAGGAACTCGAGCCGTCTCGTGTGACTGTAATTTCTGGTTTCATCTGCTGCTGTACTTCGTTTCACTCGTGAGATAACACATATAACCGCACATACCCGTACTCCGCTCCATCAGGCAAATCGACCGTGACCGTGACCGAAAACAGAAACAAAAGCAAAAATGAACGAAACCACCCAATGATAATCCAAGCCCAGAAGAGTAAAGGGGTTGGGACCTATCGACCAGAAGAGTACATATCCTCCACCTGGACTGTAATATCAACCGTTTTCAAGACCCCATCGCGGTTTAACTCCCGAGTCAACTGCCGCGTGCTCTCCGTACTTTCACTGACGCTCGTTTTCCGAACCACCTCGCCCTTGGTGCCGTTGGTGCCAGAGCCGAAGATCCCTGATCCAGTCGCATACAAGTATCTCGCTCCGCCCCTGCGACCGCTATTCGTGAGCTGGCTTCGATAGGCACTCCCGTTCGCGTGCTTAAGCTCGAGCTCCTCCGGCAGCTGGGTCGTGATTAGCCCGGAGTGCAGGCCCGCGAATATGTGATACAGGGTTGGCATGCAGGCGGTTATGACCGAGGTGCAGACCATGGCTTGTCCGAAAGATAGAAAGCTGACGATATCCCCTGCTCGCGACTCGCGAGCCATGTTAGAGCTGAGCTGGAGTAGGTGTGGCAGAAGGAGGGCAGGCGACATACATGAAGGATCCGTTGAGTGTAAGACAGATGGGAGGAGGGCTAGTTGGCAAGCTCCCATGATAACCACGCTGGTTACAATCAAGCTGTCACTGGCAATTCCGGGGGACGTGGGAAGGGGGCAAGATGCGGGAGCAAAATGACGTACAGGCCCCGTGCCGAAAACGAGCAGAGAATCTTTACTTTGGCCGTCCATTTTAATTGTACCTCATGCAGCATGAAGAACGGGATTGCAATAATAAGTATCTCGATGAGGATGTGGGTGACGATGATCGGATACAGGATAGCGCCCTGGAATGAGATCAGATGCTGGTAAGCAGAGAGATTGGTATGTGATGCGTACTTGGCCAGTACAACGAGACGGGCTGTAAATCCACGGCTCGGGGATTTCGCATTGGAAGGCAACTCCAAACAGAGCGAAAACGGCCCAGGCTGCTGTCAGGCTGATGGTGATGGTGCACGCGCGACGGATGCCGTGATGGGGGGTCAGTTTCCACACCAGAAGAGCGGTCGATATTTTGGAAAGCGAGAGTACGACGACCTCGATAAGTTGTGCGGTATAGGTGTACTAGATCGTACGAGACGAGTGAGCTTAGCGAGCTTTAAGAAAGAGGAACGTTGTACGTTCTGACTCACCTCGCTTGATATCCGAATCGCTGTGTCCGTGAGGGCATTCAAATGCCGGCCTAGTCCGTTATCGACAGCCTTTTGCATAACCACAACCTCCGCAATGAGCAAAGGCTGTATAGTCCGGGTCAGCTTTGCGGATCACATCCCCTGAGCTTGCAGGCCACTCACCAGAGCCACCCAGATGGGTATGCTGACCGATGTTCGGCGATGTTTGAAATATACCACGGACGCTATTTTGGCGGCCACAAAGATGATCGCCGTGATTAGAAAGGCCGCTGACACGAGAGTGACCAGCGGCCCCCGATTGTCTTCCGACAGAATCTCGAAGGGGGCTTGTGAACCCGCCATTGTCAGTCACACTGGTAGAAGGGCAGAGGACGTGGGAATGGGGAAAAGAAAACGCACCGAGATGAGATATTTAAGAGACAGGGGATGCCTCCCAGTCATTTTACGCCAGACCAGGGTCGCTTGATCCTGGTCGCGCTTCCCGTAGATGATCAGAAAACTATGGATGTTCGTTGCCTGCCTGTCCGTGGTGAAAGTCACATCACGACAATAACCGCGAGGAGAAACCAGCGGTCCACAGTGCTTTTTTTTTTTTTTTTTTTTTTTTTTTTCCTCCCAGAGATTTTCAAACCTCACTCAGCTCATCTCCCTATCTCCTTCGAGCCTTTGGAGGCTCTCTTGGTTCCAGCAAGGGCATGGTTGGCAGCCTACGCGCAATATCCTTCCCCTCTCCTGTTAGGCGCGCAGGGATGTTTCGGTCGCGGAAGACTTGCCTTGTTGAGAAACAGACAAAGAACCCCGGGACGCACTATCTACGGGGAGATTGCTGTTGGTGGGGTGAGTAGGCTCATGATCCTTGCCGGTTGCTTGCGTGTCCAGCGGCCGGACATGATGCTACTGTGTAGCTAGAGCCAGCTAGGGTCAGCTAGGGCCAGCTAAACCCAGCTAAACCCAGCTAGGGCCAGCCAAGGCCCGCCAGCGCCCGCAGCCGTAGCGGAGACTCCCGCCGGGAAAGATCCCGGAGAGTTAATCTCGAGCCCACTCCATACTATAGCTCCCCCATCGTCGTATGCACCGTTGCAGCGCCGGGCATGCGAGTCTAGCCGCCCGCCTACGGACGAAAGGCCGGAAGAATTATTTGACACCCATGGAAGCCCCTTCATTGCCTGTTTTGCCACTTCGTCGAGCCTCTCTCCTTTTCCTGCCAGCTAATTTCTTCCCTCTGCAACCCCTGCTTTTTCACTCCACCCACTGGACACGTTGGTGCGTCCTCCCTCCTTTTGGATCCAACTCCCCATCACTGAGCCGAGCTTCTCAGCAAGACCAGGACTTGAATGCTTCACAATGGCCGACGTCCAGATCGAGCTGAAGAGCGGAGGGGCTGTTCACTCAGCAGCTGCAGGAGGGGATCTGCGTGGCCCCGAGAACAGCAGTGTGGAATACCGGCAACGGCAGAAGCTGGATGTATGATAGAATCTGCTGCCTCCCATCGTCGTCCATTTCATTCGCTGACTTCAAGCTCGATAGAGGTATCTGAACTTCTTCTCAACGTTAGCGTTCTCGGTCACGCTCCTTGCGTCTTGGGAGACTGCTGGTGGGAGTCTTGCGGCCGGTCTGTACAATGGAGGTCCAGCGGTAATTGTGTATGGCATTATTGTCAGTGCACTGGGCAATTTGGCGATCGCAGCGTCACTGGCGGAGCTTGCCTCGATGTGAGGACTCTTTCATTCACCATCTTTTCTCCTCGTTGACCGGTACAACTCTATCCAGACATCCCACCGCTGGGGCACAATACCACTGGACCTACATGCTTGCCCCGCGGTACCGTCGATTCCTCAGCTTTTTTCAAGGTAAGGGTGGTGTTCAAGTGAAACGAATTTCCATTTGCTATTGCTAACCAGTCAGTGCAGGATGGGTGACCGTATGAAGTTCTTTCTCTGCCGGGATTTCCATCTGCTAACAGACATAGGTCTTCTCCTGGGCGGCGCTTGCCTGTATAGCGCCTTACTTCATCGGTACCGAGATAGAAGGCATGGCCGTCCTGAGCCACCCTGAATACGAGGCCAAGCGGTGGCAAGGCACACTGCTCATGTGGGCTGTGCTAATCCTCCCAATTATCATCAACATCTTCGCGCGCCGTGTCCTTGCCGTCATCGAAGTCGCCGCGGGTGTCATGCACGTCATCTTCTTGCCTGTGACCATCGCAACGTTTGTCATTCTCGCCCCTCGCAATTCCAACGCCTTCGTCTGGGATACTTTTGTCAGCGGCCTCAGCGGGTGGCAGAACCCTGGAGTCGTCTATTCCGTCGGGCTACTGGGCGTCATCACCCCTTTCAGCGGTAGGTGCTCAAAGCTCCTCGAACCCCCGACCCCCCCCCCCATACCAAACAGCCATATTAACCCTGGTCATACTAGGAGTCGATGGGGTCATCCACATGTCCGAGGAAGTCAACAATCCCAAAGTCACGGTCCCCCGCTCCATGGTATGGGGCACGCTGATGAACTTCCTCATGGCCTTCGGGTACGTCATCGCCATCCTCTATTGCATGGGGAACTACGCCGAAGCCCTAGAAAGCCCCACGGGATACCCGATCATCGAAATCGCCTACCAAGCCACCGGCTCCAAAGCAGCCACCTACGTGCTCATGACCATGGGAATCCTCCCGGCCTGGATCGCCTTCTTCAACTGCCTTGCCTCCGTCACCCGTCTGACTTGGGCCTTCGCCCGCGACAACGGCCTGCCCTTCTCCGATTTCTTCGTCAAGGTCGACCCGTACTACAAGATCCCCATCCGCGCCCTTTTCCTGGTCACCACCCTGGTCATCGCCCTCTCCTTCATCCAGATCGGATCCAGCGACGCCTTCAACGCCATCCTCTCCCTCAGCACCCTGGGCTTGTACATCTCTTACCTGATCCCCCTGGTTCTCCTCGTGCTGAAGCGCTTCACCGCCCCCGCCGATATCCCCCAGGGATCGTATTCCCTCGGTCAGTGGGGACTGCCCATCAACCTGACTGCCATTCTCTTTGCCACGTACTTTTCCATCTTCTTGCCGTTTCCGTCCGCGCTGCCCGTCACCGGCGAGAATATGAACTATGCCGGCCCCGTGTTGGGGTTCGTCATGCTTTTTGCCTGTGGCGATTGGGTCGTTAGGGGAAGACATAAGTGGAATGGACCCAGTATGGGGTATTTGAGGGAGTGAGGGGGTATTTGGGGGTGTTGCGTATGTAAAACTGTTCCTACGGGGTTCTTTGGTTTATGGTTGTCTGGGTGGGTGAGTTTTAGTGCATCGTGTTTGGGGTGCTTTGTGGCACCGTGCAAAAGTCTAGCATTTTTATTTTACCAGGATAGAGAGATTATCATGTTGTAGTTTGATTCTTCACTTCTGTTAAGCTATCATCTTACGTACTTTATAGATTCAGTGGGCCATTATGTAACTCTTGAAAATTAGGAGTTGCCTTATCCATACATTATCGAATACCAAACTGACAACAACGCTATCCTATTATAGATGATTCGACCTCGCTGCAAACCACCGAAAAACCGGCCCCAAGCAAGACCCCATCCAACTCCATCCAACCCCTCGCTAACCCCCATACCACCCCACCCCTCCATCGCCCACACCAAAAAGAAACTCTCGATCCATCTAACTCCCCCACCTACGCAGAAGCCGGCAAAACCCACGTCGTCACCGACTCCTCGGGGACACTGCCACTCCAGACCTCCCCACTCCCCATCTCAACCTGAACGTAGACCTCATTCCCAAACAAATTCTCAATGACGACCGTGCGCGTGCCATCCGGATTCACCGACGCAACAGACTGCAGCCCCCCGCCCCCGGAATACGTATAGCTGCCTGTTCCGTTCAACACGATCGCGCCGGGGGGCATGAACTTGCTGAACTGCGCCATCATGTAGTATGCTGTGTTGAGGGTGTATCCCTCGTCGGTGTCGGTGACGGTGACTAGACCTTGGCAGGTATCGCAGCCCCCGCTGGATAGGTGTGGCCCGTCCGAGGTGTCGGTGCCTAGGGTCCATGCGATTGCCCCTGACGCGTAGTTTTGTAGTGGCCCCATGGTGAAGTCGGCTGCTTGGTGCCATGTCCCTGATGCGGGCGTCCAGCATTCTGTCATGTATTGCGTTGCGGATGGGTTGGCGCTCTGGAAGTCGCTGAGGACTCTCCAGTCGACGTCGGTGGCGTAGCAGTGCCAGGCTACTGTGGAGACGTATTCGCTTGCGGTGCTTAGGACCGTTTGGGGGTAGCTGGGGACGTCTGGGGTGGAGGGTTAGTCGCCGGTTGCTGGTTGTGGGGTGAAGGGTAAGGTCTGATGGGTTGGGTTGGGTTGATTTGGGGTTGGGTACCTGTGTTATGGTCGTAGGCCCAGATCTTTGTAGACAGGCCTGCGTCCGCGAGAGCAGGGCCGACGTAGTCCTGAATCAACTGTGCGGATTCGTAGTCGAAGACGTACATAGTCGGGTACCCGGACTGGCTGTTCAGCGGCTCGTTCTGGATGGTGATTGCGTCGACGGTCGCGCCGAGGGCCTCATACGCCTGGATGTACTTGACAAAGTACTGGGCGAATGCGCTGGAGTAGCCCGTGCTTCCCGTGCCGCCGCTGGTGAGGTAGCCGTCGTTGAGGTTGTTGTCGGTGGTGTTTCCGTCGATCACACCGTTGAGCTTCATCCAGCCGGGGGGGCTCCATGAGGATCCGAGCACGGTGAGGTCTGGCTGTAGTGACTTCATCGTGGCGAGCATCTCGGCCATTGCGGTGCCGCGATCCCCGAGGTTGAACCCAGAGAGGGTCGGGTCGGCCTCGTTCCCGTTGTCGTCGTAGGTGTAGACTGGGTCACCTGACAGATCGGAGGCGCCGATTGTGTGGCGCATGAGGGAAAATTGGGCGCCATCGCTGGTCATCAGTTCGTTGAGGAGCTGCTGAAGCGTCGCGTCTGAGAGCGTGTTGAAAGATGTGACGGTCGCGTCGGTGACGGCAGCTCCGAAGCCGGTGATTGTCTGCTTATGGCCCGACGAGGTATCGTCAATGGTGAGCTTCCAGGTCGACTCAGACCCAGGGCTGCCACTTCCTTGAACCGGGGCTGTGATGGAGGTGAGTTTGTAGGTGCCGGCCGAGTTGGAGGCATACGCCGAAGCGTCTGTCGCGCGTTTCTGGGGCGTGGCATGGCCGATAGCCGCCAGGCTGGCAATCGTAGTGAGAAGGGTGACAATCATTCTCGATTGAACTGAAGCTTTGTGTTGCTGCGGCTTAGCGATTAGGGGTGGGTTGATGCCTCGATTTATTCAGTGCTGTTTGGCCCCCCGGGATTGTTTTAGGGACCGCCCCACGCGACACTGCGCAATCAAGAAAGTCCAATCATCGCCGAGGCTAGTCCCAGTTGGTGTGGCTGACAGGATCACACTTGATTCACGATGTAGATGAATTCCCTGTTTGGGAAAAAGGTAGGGCGGAGGAGACCGAAACCGGCTGTTTGTGAGATCGATTGCCGTGGGGGCCCCGCAAGCTTATTCGTGCCCTGGATAAGAATAGCTTCGGGCCCGCCTGGTAGTTATGCTGCTTGCGGGATGTACGCGACACCACAGGCTGCTTGTTAACACGCGTGGCATGTCTCCCGGGTTTCGGGGTTTGAAAACTGCCACCGTGTGGTGTTTGTCCGTCGTCGCCCTCCCTTGACAGACTGCCTCAGTGCCTAGAACATTCCGGTGATCGGGGATTTCCTCGGCATTCCTCGGAGATACGGTCTCCTCGGGACGGGATTTGCTGGATATCTCGATGTCTTGGCCGACAGCTGTCTGGTTTTCGAAGTGGAGGGGCAAGCTGATGAAAATCATCCTGGTTCAACTGGAATTCGTGAGAAAACCTGTCAGCTTCTAGTGACGATGGGAATGTGTTTTGAATAACAAGCATCATGGGACAAGACTCAGGCGGGTGTTGGTTCCTGGCATCAAAGAAACCGGCTGCAAGTGGCTTGATATCTCTGTGGAAAGGTTCGTCAAGGACGAGAGAAGACAGAGGAGGGAGTCGAGGGGTGGGGAGGGAATGCACTGAAGCACGCGTTGCAGCACGTGATACCGGGGGGTCTCGTCAGGAGCGCCACCTCTTCGCCTCGACAAGCACTGCCTCCTTTCCCTTGCTGCTGTACTTAACAAATTCTTGAGCATTATCAATGCTCATCGAGCCTATGACTTGTTTGTCTTGTGAAGCGGTAGCGAGATCTACGTGTACTCCTTTCTTTCCTCCATCTGCATGCTAGAAACTGACCTCCTTTCCATCTAGCTAGGATAGCAAGTCGCCCACACGAAACAAATGACAAGACCAATCACGCAAAGAGCATCTATATGAGTAACGGATGTCAGACAATTGAGAGGTAATATCGAGGGCAGTGTCCAGTCCTACACGCGCATCCGATTTGAACAGTCCAGCTCGAATCGGGGACCTAGAGCCGATGTTTGTGCGTCGACAACATGAAGCAGGTTTTGGTGAGGGAAAGCTAGATACTAGACATGGGGGGTTGAAACAGGGCTCTACGCAAGTGGCTTGTGGTGCATACGTATTCCGGTACATACAGAATCTAAGTAAGATCTTAATCAGTCTTGCTGCTACGAGATATGCTAATAACACAAGGTGTGCCTGACGGGTAGAAGTAGTATTTAACGAACTACTATTATAACATGCTGTCTGACGTCGAAGATAATATGCATGCGCAGAACTCCATCACCCTGTACGTGGCAGATGTGGAGGGAAAACTGAGCGGAAGTCCCTCAACGGCTGTATCATGGAATAAAAAGTCACCTTCCCTGATGCCTAATGACTACCTCTACTAGTGAGCGCGAAGACGACGGAAACGCAGGCCTTTAAAGTTATCGCCCAGGAGCAGAAATGTACTAGAGGCTCCATCATTTCATGGTGCTACGGTCATATCCCCAAATGGAATGATGCTGCCTTGGCCTCTACGGCCGATGGCTACAGGGGACACATCTGGGTGGTGAACATACGAGCAGATGGGATCCGTATACTGGTCAGCACGGTCGATTGCCGCCAATCTTGCGCAGATGAATGCCTATTCGGGCGCGAGGCCCGCTTTGAATCGTGTGCCAGGACACAGGTCTACCAATGGCTCTTCAACAAACTTTCCATCGACGGAGACTGCTACCCATAGGCGTGTGCATTCCTGCGAAGTACTTTCGATAGTTTCGGTCCAGGATTTATATCAGCGCTGAGTCTGCGAACAAGGGTGAATCAGAGGGTCATCTTGTCAGGGGGCTACACGTTTTCTGCGAGGTCAGTCATAACAGCTCTTCTTTCGTCCCACTGCACACAAAACATGCCGAGTCACCAGCTGAAAGCGGACAGTCGATCGTCGGAATTCATCAACACTTTCCTGGTCAACTGGGAGAATTGTTTAATCTCATAATCATTTTCGTCAGGCACAAAAAAGGCGACTATTCCACGGCTCCACAGACAGAGCTCCCGCGGGACCGACCCGATCAAAAATATGATAGATCAAAAATGAAATCTCCCTGACTGGGAGTCGAACCCAGGTCTCCCGCGCTTGTTCCTGTTCAGGATTGACAAGCGGAAATCATGACCGTTAGACCATCAAGGACTTCTTGTTGATGATGCCCAAAATATGGCTATTTATTCTTTGGATAAAGTTTGCGGGAGTCTTAAAGAAACAATCGAAATTCCGATTCAGGTCTTGGCAATTGAAGGCAAATTGCTTCGCAAGATGAAAAGCCCTTGCTGGGTCTTTTACATCCAGCTTCTATTATGAATAGACTGCTTTCAAGAAAGTTGGCGCGAATTTGCATGAAAGTCCTTTCTCGTACAGAACTGGCGGAATCATGTCAACAATTCGTGGACGGTATGGTTGTTCCAGACTTGTCCGATTTCTTGCCACCGAGGTAAGATCAATATAACCATGTAGAAAACTATCCAACCTTGCATTGGGTAACTTCCTGTCTTAACAACTATAAATAGTCCAGTGGAATTAGCACTTAGGTGGCCACTCACGTTCATCGGTCACCATCTTCCCTTTTTTTTATACATTCTTCATCCTAAAAAGCAGGCAGGAAAAGACAGGGAGATCTCTCAACGAAGCAGAAAAATACCAAGGCATTTCTATATTGTCCTTCAGCAATGACCAACTTATCTTTATACTTCGGCTACATGCGGTGTGAGCAAAGTGAGTCACAGGATTATTAAAGGATTGAAGGATCCGAACTACTTCAACTTCTCATCAATAATGACTAGTATCCAGAGTACTAGGATTTAGTTAGTTAAGTTCTCAGGGTTCCGCCATCAACCCTGATAAGCACGACCAGATAGTATGTAACCCCTCATCGACCCCTTCACTCCGCTCTGATACTCATCCACCCATCACACCACACCACAACAATGGCGACCGGACCACACACTCACATTTACAAATCCCATCCCGACCTCAACCTCAACCTCCATCTAGACGTCTACACGCCCAATGTCACCCCCCAGACCCCCAAGCCTGTCATTCTCTGGTTCCACGGCGGCTACCTCGTTCGTCCCCCGCTCCCATTCCCCTCTTCCCAAACACCAACCACTAACACCAACACCCGACTAGATAACAGGCAGCCGCAAAGCCATCCCCAGCTGGCTCCTCGCCTTCGCCAACACCCAACAATGGTCCCTCGTCTCAGCCGACTACCGCGTCCTACCCGAATCCACCGGTCTCGCGACCCTCGAAGACACCACATCCGCCTACGAATGGGTCGCGCACTCCCTGAAGGAACTACACCCGGAGAGCTGCACCGACACAAACCGCATTATTATTGGAGGCGCGAGCGCAGGGGGATGGTGTACGCTGACCACCGCGCTGCATTTCTGCGCCGCATCTTACAGCCACAGCCACAATCAGAGTGATAGTGACGGTGGCAGTCACAATCCCAGCACGATCGCAAAGCCAGCTGCTCTCTTCCTCCTTTATCCCATGGTCGACCCTGGGACAGAGACATGGGCGCGCGGCTTCGCATTACCCGGCTCCAGCCTCGACGCAGACGCTGAAGAGCGAGTCATGGGCGAGATCGCGACCAGTCTCGCGAGCGAGACGATCAGCGACGGGGAGGATTTCCCCAAGTCGGAGGCGGAGGTACTTACGCGGAAGCGGGTCGCCTGGGTGTGGGCTGTGTTGCAGAAGGGGCTGTTTTTGGAATATTTGACGGGCGTGCCTGGGTTTGCGGGGAAGTTGCTGGATGGGGGGGTGGAGGGGGCGGCGGAGGGACAGGTAAGAAAGCTGTTTCCGTTGGACTTTGGGACGTTTGAGCAGCAGGCTTTCCCAAGGACGGTGGTGGTGCATGGGGTGGATGATCAGGAGGTGAGCTGTCAGGAGAGTGAGAGGTTGGTGAGCTTGTTGGCGAAGGCAGATGTCCAGGTGGATTATTTCCCCGTGACTGGGGCGGATCATGCGTTTGATCTGGAGATTGGGGAGTGTGTGTTTGATGTGCCGGAGTCGGGGGAGCCAAGTGCTGTTCTTGGGCGGGCGTTGCGGGCGTTGCAGGGGTTTGTTGAGATATGACATCTACCAGAAAAAAGTGTTTGTGTGGATTATATGATTTAAATGTGCGTATATCGTCATATGTGGATGATACTATGAGAGATGCCTTCCCTTTGCAGGTCTCCTCCAAGACCGTAATGTATATTTGGAGTTGTGTGGACATTAATACTTGATTTCTGTTCTAGTCGGTTTGACTAGAACTTGACAGTATATTGGACAGCAAGTAGTATCAAAACTGCAAGCCCTATCCCATTTCTCTACCATCATGGTCTTCTCCAAAACTAGCGGGTGGTTAGAATTACTTACCTCTATCTATCTACAATCTACCCTTTACACATCTTCATCCTCAACTATGAATTACCCAATCCCAAAGTAAACCATTCTACGCTACATATACATCTACCCAGAAGAACAGAGTATGTAAACACAACACACCGCACACCAACCCCGAGTCTCCCGATTTTCATGCCATATGTATGCCGCCATCTATCAGGCTTATCAGAAACCAACACCTATTACTTAACGCTTCAAGGTCCCACAGGTGGGTAAGACAGACCGGCCCGCACGATGCACTCTTGCGGGGTAATGCGGAAGAAAGTTTACAAACAGCTGCTGCCTGCCTGCCTGCCTGCCTGTCTGCCAACCTGGTCCAACCCCAACACTAATGTGTGTCGAGGAGTAAAGTGCTGACTGGGTGGCTCCCTCTCGTACACTATAGCTCCTGTCTTAATTCTGCAGTGGGTACGCAGGTGAGCTTGGTGAGCTTGTGGTTTCTAGTCTCGGATGCAGATATCTGATTTAAAGATATATATATGTTACCCGTGTGTGTACAAGCAGTTTCTTAAGCTGACATGTTAAGTACACACTCTACACAGTATACAATGAATATGAACACTACTAGTTCACTCAACATTCCAAGCTCTACAAAGTACAGACCACTCACCTCCAGACCCATGATATCACTATCTAATCCTTCACCTTTGAAATCGGAGATCATCACCACCCATGACCTTCTGGTGGAGCCAAGCCGGGGAAGTTCATTTCCCCCGCGCCTCAAGGGTGGCGGACTAGTGGGATGATGAAGATAGTATTATTAATAATAGAACACACCGTACTTTGTAGATACTGGCCGTAAACAGCCTCGATGTCGAAAGAATTCGCCTTCAGCTATCTGTCACACAGTCACAATGACGCTGTGTACCCACCCCACTGTGCCACACCAGTCTTGTGATACACTTTGTCCAAAGTACCTTACTTCATGATGTGTTTTTGTTGGGCAGGTGCGTCATACCAGTTCCAGAGACGATGAAAGAAGATATTAGCCACCGTGAAACATGATACGGGGATGACGGAAACGTGATGTCTGATCTGTGAGCTGTTGAGTTGGCTTTGAGTTGCACCAGAATGGGTACTGTGTAATTTCAGTTGTGGGGGATAGTTTAGGATCCACTCACTACCTTAGCAGTAGTAGTACTAGACTACTCCGTACTGTTGCCGTTTAGATTACAGCCCGCCCCATCCAGAAAATACAAAGTACGCGGTCCAGGTCCAGACTGAAGTGCCCAGGCGGGATCTGCCGACTGCCGACAACACCCACAGAACAAGGAACAAAGAACAAAGAACAAAAAGAACAACCAGACCACCACCACGGAACGTGGGAGGGGTGGTTCTCAGCCTCCCACATGTCTTTCTGGAAGGTACGGAGTAACCACGGGGTACTATGGTAAGCATACTGACTACTCCGTACACTGTTGTATGTCCTGAGAGCATGTTCTAGATACCCTCCTGTTTCTGGATGATCTGAGTTCCGCCACTCGAAATGAAGCGAATGGAGATGGGGAAGGATTCGACTCGACGCGACAAACCGGGTTAGTTAAGTTAGTTAGTGTGATCCAGATTAGTCACCCGCATCCGAGGACGAGTTTTTTCCAACCCCAGATTGCCGATTTCTGGCGACCACATTTTTCACCTCTTATGGATAGCAAATACAGAGGACCGAGTAGAGAGATCGGGTTGCCTAGAGGGGAAACATTGAGGCTATCAGAGTACCAAAGCAAGATCATATGTCTTCCGCGTGAGATGCTGGAGAGGGAGAGGGGACCTGAACCTCTGTAAGTACTTTAGTGAATCATCCGACCGCGTTGATAATAGGCGGCTAACCGCTTCGGTCGCCCACCCCAAGGTCCAAGCACTAGATAGTTCTTGTCAGCTCAGCTCGATCCTGTGCGGAAGGAAGGAGGGAAGGAAGGAAGGAAGGCATGCAGCCATGGTGGTATCCATCCATTAGGAAAGGAAATTAGCCCAGGCAATGCGACGGGCGTATCGGAGGACGGAGACGGACATCCTGATCCTTGTCGGCCACGGCCGAAGTGAATCAAGAGCAATCAAAACGACCCGCTCCTCCGCCGGGCTTGCCTGACCGGTCGGGCTGGACGGCGCGGCGTGATAGGCTGCTGCCCTTGCGGGATGGTCTCGCTTCCTAGACACGGAATAGCACTGCTAGATAGATATCTAGTATCTATGCCGACTGTAGGTTCTGCTAAAGCCATTAATTATTCTTTCCTCCCATCCTCAGTATCTATCTAGATAGATACACAAGGAATATAAAGTCGTACTAAATCATACAAATTCTCCGGACCCCGGACTCCCCCCTCTGCACACGCCGTGTACCAGCCACCCGCCGTCAGGGCCAATCGGCTGTCGCACCTTCTCCGTCACCTCACATGCTCTAGGCCGAAGTTTGATCCCCACGATGGATAACTACTTACTACTACTATTGCAAGGAGAGAGGCATGTTGTTCGGTCTGTCTGTCTGTCTGTCTGTCTGCCTGCCTGGCTGGGATGTTGCCACCGTGCCTTCCGGAGTGGCCGACCGTGAACTGTGCTAACGCCTGACGGTCGACTCCGGACTGAACAGACCCTAGATTTTTCGACGAGGCCAAGCTTCGTGCTTGGGAAACAAGCAATGGGCCAAGCCTGGAGCGAACGGGGCTCGGGGCCACGGCCTGCCCACTTGGCTGCCAATTTGCCAATTCCCATGCCCTCAAGCGAGCCCTAGCGCGAATCCCGACCGGAGCACGAGTGCTCATGTCTCAAGGTACGGCGTAGACACTAACCAAGACAGTCTCTATCTAGATTCTATCTATCTACGAGCGACTACTAAGCGATCCTGCTTGAAGTGGACACCCCAATCAGCAAGCCCCCGGGCTCACTGGTTGGGTAAGGGAAATTGGTCCGGGAAATGCCAGCGGCGGCACAGTTGGGAACGGCCCTCCCATGTCTCGGTTCTCCGCCGGAAATATACTCGTGCGGTTCCACTGGTCCCCTATCGCCCTCGTCTGCTTCTTCAAATCTTGTCGCCTGGCTGCTGGATGTGCCCGAGTCGAACCCGTGGATCGAATGACCGGGCAGATATTTGTTACGTGACTCATGATAACGTGCTGCAGGTAATCACCCCTTCCTGCAGTCAGCATTATACAGACAGACAGACAGACAGACAGACAGATAGACAGATAGACAGACACACGACATAGATAATGTCAGCGCCGCATCACCCGAGTCCAGCCGCAGACAGTGTAGATATCTAGTAGATACTTGGACAGTAAGTACCAGACAGACAGCCGACGGTGGAGTCCAGCGTGGCGAGCCGTTGGCCCTGGTCGGTGTTATCGTGCGGCAAAAGTTTGGGCGGCGCAACTAGTGGGAGTGCCACCATCCATCCATCCATCCATCCTCATCCTGCTCGGACTTGCAGGCTTCTCTGACTACTGACTAGCTCCTCCAGCTAACCCAACGCCACCCCTTTCTGGCTTCGATAGATGCTCCAGAAACCTGTCCTCGCACCAATCACCGCCTCAGGTACCGGGCTACGCTCCCCCGGTGGAGTGACGGCACCGTTGGCCCTTCGAATCGGACCTGTTCTCGTGATTATTGCGCCCATGGCACTTCTGGACGCGCCGCGGCAATTGGAACTGGATCAGTTCATCCTTCATCCGGTGATAACATCGCGCACGGAGCTGTCCCAACCAATCTCGCCCCGTTCGTTACCATTGCTCCATCGCGACGTTATCTCCAGCCAGTCTGGTGTGTTCACTGTGCGTAGCCAGCTGCCCCCTCCCCCCCCCCCGTCGCGTGCTGCTGGGCCTTAGGGCCGCTCTTTTAAACTACGCCGATCCCATAATCCCCCCCCCGGTTCGAGATCGTTGCATTCTCAGCCATCTTTCTCCCTCTCATCCCCGTGTTACTTTCACCATGGCCGAGATCGAGCCCGCCGAGACCCCTCGGGTCATGACGGACCTGCCTCCCTACGATGAGAAGCCCGAGCCCGAGTTGCGCATGATCCCGCGCCGCGATGGCGTCGACGCCCGTCTCGACCCCAGCGTCACTTTCGAAGAATACGTCTACTGGGCCAAGATCGAGCGTGCGCTGGAGGACGAGGAGAACCGCCAGTACGTCGAGGAGCGTGGCCCCTTGACCATAAGCAAAGTCGTCAAGGGCCGCTTCTCCAAGGGTGTGCACGTCGAGAACCAGCAGAAGCGCGAGCGTGAGGAGGCCGAGAAGGCCGCCCAGGGCCTCCCCATCGATGAGAAGTCCGCCGACAACAAGAATGGCCTCGTCAGCTCCTCCGCCTCGAACTCCTCCGTCGCCGTCTCCGATGAGGAATGGCGAACTGCCTCCCGTGCCCTGCGTACTGCCAGTTGGGGTACTATCTTCTACCTGATCACTACCGATGTGCTGGGTTGGGCCAGTGCACCGTAAGTCTCCCCCCTCCCCCGGGCCGTACTACTGCAGATCGATGCTGATGATCGTTTAGTTTCGTCTTTGCCAGTGTCGGCTACGGCCCCGGTGTGGCGCTCTTCATCGTCTTCGGTGCATTTGCGGGCTTCAGTGGCTGGATCCTGTGGCAGGTGTTCCTGGCGCTGGACTCGACGCGTTACCCCCTGGTCAACTTTGGTGACACCTACTTCCGCATCTACGGCCCCTGGGCCCGCCACTTCGTCAACGTCGGGCAGTCGCTGCAGCTGCTGTTGTCCGTCTCCGTGCTGATTCTTGGTAACGGCCAGACGCTGTCGCAGCTGGCCGACAACAAGATTTGCTTCGTGGTGTGCATGGTCATCATGATGGTCATCGGCATGGTCATGGGCAGTATCCGCTCCCTGCAGCGTCTCGGATGGCTGACCAACGCGGCCGTCTGGCTGAACATTGTGGACTTCATCATGATGTGAGTGCCCTCTCCCCTTTGTCCCTGATACCGAGGTTAACGCGACACAGCATGGTGGCCGCGGGCGCACACTACGGCATCGACTACGAAGCCGTCATCTCGTCGACCCTGATCCAAGTCAAGGAGCCGGTGAAGACCTTCGCCGGCATCCCCCCCAACCAGTACCAGATGCAGGCCACCGGCTTCGCGGGACGGTTCACCGGTGTGGACCAGATGGTTTGTGAGTGATCCGTCATCCGAATTGTGAGAGCGCCGGCTAATTGAGTAGACTCGTACGGTGGTGCCATTCTGTTCATCTCCTTCCTGGCGGAGATGCGTCGCCCCTGGGATTTCTGGAAGGGTCTGCTGTGCGCCCAGCTGTTCATCTGCCTGGTGTACATCTTCTTCGGTGCCTTTGTAAGTTGGCCGGCTTGCTATCCCGCGCGTGGCCCCGCTAACATTCCCCTAGGTCTACAGCTTCTACGGCCAATACTCCATCTCGAACATCTACAACGTCGTTGAGCCTAAAGGGCTGCAGACCGCGGTGAATATCGTGTACTTTTTAACGTGCATTATCGCCTCGAGTGAGTGGCCTTCCCAAAAAAAAAAAAAAAAAGATCGTACCTTGTCCGCTAATCTCGCCCAGTTCTCTACTTCAACATCGGCATGAAATCGGTCTACCAGCAGGTCTTCATGGAGATCTTCCACTTCCCCGACATCTCGACCTTCCGCGGGCGCATGCTGTGGTACGCCCTGGGGCCGATCTACTGGGTGATCGCGTTCGTGATCGCGGGCGCAGTGCCCAACCTGAACGGTATCTCCAGCATGGTGGGCGCGCTGCTGATCCTGAACTTCACCTACACGCTTCCGGGCGTGCTGTACGTGGGCTTCCGGTGCCAGCTGGACTCTGCGCTTCCGGGCGAGGGCTACGACCCGACGACGGGCGTGACGGTGCGCCACGACGGCGGGTGGCGGCGCTGGTCGCGCGGGTTCAAGAAGCACTGGGCGCTGAACACCTTCTGCACGCTGTACTTCCTGGGCGGACTGGCGTGCTCGGGCATGGGCTCGTGGGCGGCCGTCGAGAGTCTGATTGAGGTGTTTGGGCCCGGCGGCACGGTCGCCACCTCGTTCGGGTGCGCCGCCCCGGTCTAGTGTGTTTTGTTGGTGGGGCGAGGCGAGGCGATACCCGTTGGTTTCTGTCTGTCTGTTTGTCTGTCTGTCTGTTTGTTTGTTTGTTTGTTTGTTGGTCGGTCGGTCTGCTTGCTTGCGTGCTTGCTTGCTTGGCTGGCTGGCTGTTTTATGAGTCGCGCGAAAGAGTGCGCTGACGAGTCCATGTTATGACTCCCTACTCTGTATATGTGTGGATGCGGTTATGTATTACTCTCAACTTGATCGTGGAGGATGGTCGGTCTAATAATTCTATAATGTTTGTTCTGCCGTGTGTCTGGACGGGGCGGGCTGGATTGGATTTAGACGAGGGGCCGAATGACATGGGCTCTTTCTGGCCCCCAACCCAACCCGCCCGATCCTGAGTTCGCCCGCTTCATCTCCCATCGACGGAGTCCGCCAAGTCGACCGTCTCGCAGGCTGGTTGCAATTCATCCCCATTTGGCCCCACTGTCTGAGTAATTCTCAACAATCCGCATCCCACCCCCAGTCCGCAGTATGGACGGACTATCTAGATTCTATCTAGATAGATACTCCGTAGGTGGTCAGACTTTAGGCGTCCAACCGGATCCACCGCGAGGCTCCATATCTGCCGTGCCGAAGGTTGTTGTGCATCTCACTGGAGGGACGAGGGCTGAGCTGCTGCTGCTATCAGCTGCACGCCCCCCCGCCATTGGCTGCCGGTCCCTCGATCGGCCCCAGGCCTCCTCCATCCGGCAAGGGCGCATAAACCATCCCCTCCTCCTAGTAGTCTCCTAGCTTCACGATGCATGTCAGCACATTCTGTTCCCTCCCTGACAGGGAGCGAGGTGCTGACCGTCAGCCTCTGCTCGCTCGCCCTTTCTCTCCTTCTCTCTCTTCCCTTCTCTTCTCCGCAACACACCACCACACCACCACCACATCATCCCCCCCTCCCCCTCGTTGATCGGCCGGCGCATCCGTCGATGTGATCCAAGATGCCGCGCCCGCTTCTCTTCCTGCTGTCGCTCTTTCTGCGCGCCAGCCATGCCTCCAGCCCGCTGGCCATGAACTGGTCCTCGCAGGCCTACGGCCCTGACGGTCCCTGGCAGGCCGTCGACATCGCCGTGGGCAGCAATGGACAGCACGTCGCGCTGTACCCGGGCGCGACCGGCTACACCAGCACGATCCTGATGGCGTCGCTGTGCACCAACACCTCGCTGTCGGCCACCTGCTACGCCGCCCAGGCCGGCGTCTACAACGCCTCGGAATCCACCACCGCCTTCGTCCTCGACGTCAGCGGCTGGGAGACCACCTACTGGGCCGTCGAGGGCGGCAGCGTCGAGGGCGTCCTGGGCGACGAGGTCTCCGTCGGCAACGACCAGTTCGTCCCCAACGTCAGCTTCACGGCCATCTACCAGACCTACGAGACCTACCCCAACGGCAAGTCCTACCCCGTCTCCGTCGGCAACCTCGCCCTGGGCGCGCCCTACACCTCCGACGAGATCTCCTCCAACACCACCCTCAACCTGCTCGCCTCCTACCTCTACTCCTCCGGCGGCGAATCCGGCATCCCCTCCTACTCCTACGGCATGCACATCGGCTCCGCCACGCCCTCCATCCCGGGCTCCCTCATCCTCGGCGGGTACGATCGCTCGCGCGCCCTGTCCCCGATCAGCGCGCAATCCGTCAGCCTGGCGTCCGCAACGGGCGGCGAACTGCCCATCACGCTGAAGGACATCGCGCTCGGCGTCGCGGAAGGCGAGTCGCCCTTCCCCTTCACCTCCAAAAGCGGCCTCTTCACGGGCTACTCCACGCAATCCGTCACCGTCGACCCCACCAAACCCTACCTATACCTCCCCGAAGACACCTGCGACGCCATCACCTCGTCCCTGCCGGTGAGCTTCAACTCCAGCTTCGGCCTGTACCTCTGGGACACCACCGCATCCGACTACGAGAACATCACCACCTCCCCGTCCTACCTCTCCTTCACCTTCACCAAAGACGACGTTGACAACCAGAACATCACCATCAAGATCCCCTTCTCGCTGCTCACCCTCACCCTCGAAGCGCCCCTCGTCGACGCCAACACCACCTACTTCCCGTGCTTCTACGACGACACGCCCGTCCTCGGCCGGGCCTTCCTCCAGGCCGCCTTCGTCGCCGTCAACTACCACGACGGCGACAACACCGGCACCTGGTTCCTCGCGCAGGCCCCGGGCCCGGGCATCTCCACCTCCACCGACGTCACCGCCATGTCCGTCTCCCAGACCAGCCTCACGGGCTCCAACTCCTCCTGGGAAGACTCCTGGGCCAGCACATGGCACGTCCTCGGCGCCACGACCACCGGCTCCTCAAACAGCACCACCAACAGCACCACGCCCGCCACCTCCAAGAAAGACAGCGGGCTCTCCTCCGGCGCGAAAATCGGTCTGGGCGTCGGCCTCGGCGTCGGCGGCGCCATCCTCATCGCCGCCGCCGTCTTCCTCGCCCTGCTCATCCGCAAACGCAAACAGGGCATCCTCCTCGGAAGTCGTCAGACCTCCCCCACCCACGACCGCAAGCAGCCGTTCCGCGGCATCGTCGAGATCGCGGGCGGAGAGGCCGCCACCGAACTGGAGAGTAAAACCCAAGCCGGGTACGAGGGACTGGGTATGGGACAGGGTGGACAGGCTGGGCAGGCTGGGCAGGGAGCGGGTGTGTACGCGGGCAACATGCAGGGCGGGTACGGCGCGAGTGTGCAGGGGGGAGATATGGAGGGTCAGAATCTGGCTGCGATGGGCGTGACAGGCGGTGTGATGCACGGGTTACATGCGCATCCGAATCTGAGCCAGAGCACCAACGTGGGTCAGAGTGCGAACGCGAATGCGAACGGTAGTGCAAGTGGGAATATGCATTCCACGCTCAACTCGCACGGCAATCTGACGGATCCGGGCATGGGCGTGGGTGTCGGCATGCCCCATGAGATGATGGGATCTGAGGTCCATGAGCCGCCGAGGTATGAATTGGATTAATTCGATAGATGATGAGGGTAGTTGGGTATATAGTTTTTTTTTTTTTTCCTTCACTTTTATTTGTTCTTTCTTTTTCCCTTCTACTAGGAGGGAGAGATATATATATGATCCTTGGATAGTCGGTTTATCTTCTTGCGACGGATGTAATTATTCAGTATATTTTTGGTGGCTTGGATGGGCACGAACAAGTACTTAATTCTCTCGAGATGGATAGAGATAGATAACAAACAGATGTATATTTCATCCCATATTGGTTTTCTAGATATGGTTTCTACCTACTACTATACTCAAGTTGATTCAAATTGGGAGGACGTGAGCATGAAAGATGTCTTGATATCCGAACCATTAACTGATAGACTCACAGGAAATCGCAGAAACTGCCAGAATAAAGGGTTGGTTAGTTAACTAAAGAAAAGAAAAGGAAAGGGCTCAAAAGCACAGCGGGGGACTACGGCCGAATTCATCCGTCCGACACACGCAGACAGATATGAGATAGTATATTGTATAAATCGAATGCGGAGGAAAGACGGCGGAATAATACTATACTACTATATAAACAGTTTGTTTTTAGGGCTCTGGTTGTTTTTTTTTTTTTTTTTTTTAATTCTTGTAAGTACTATACTATACTTATCTACCGGACTCGAACCCGGAGCAGAATCTGAGTTCTTTGTTGTTATAGTCGGTCAGATGGATAGATTCTTTGGACTGTCCTGTCAGATAGATAGATGGTCGGTCAGATGGATAGATTCTTTGGAATATCGTGTGTAGTTGATATAGCTCATTCAGCGCAGTATATTACACCACACTATAGTATACTACAAGACCCCAACCCCAACCCCAACCCCAACCCCAACCCCCTATTCACTATCCACTATCCACCAACCCAACCCAACCCATTTCTCTTCACCAACCCAGCCATACCAGAATCAACCCCCCCACCACCACCACACAAGCAGCTAGTCACCACCCCCCGGAGCCGCCGCCTTGGGCGGATACTCCTTCCCGTCGCGCTCCACCTTGGGCTCGCACGTGCAGCGCTCTGCGTCCGGGATGCGGTCCATCACGGAGGGAATGTGGAGGCCGCAGCCATACCAGGAGGTTTTTTCTGTTTTTTTTTTTTTTTGTTAGGGTGTTTTTCGGGGGGGGGGGGGGATAAAACGGAGAAGGCAGGGGAATGGGATGGAGGATGGAAGATAGATAAATAGAAAGTCAAGGATACAAAGATACATAAAGGGAAAACTCACTACAAGTCGAGCAAATAGCCTTCATGCACATCTTGACTGTAGGATTGACAAAAAATGCAGTTGAATTCGATTGTCCTCAGATGCACTTAGACTTGGGATGTAAATGTAGATGTAGATGTCGATGCGTCACAGTAGACCAACCGATTTAGAGTCCGTGGGCGTTGCTGATAGTAATATTCCGTAGCAAGTCTGACTGAACCTGCAGATGTTGAGGAAAGTGCGTGGAGAAGACAGACGGCCGGAAAAGCGGGAGATGAAAAGTGGATTTTATGAACCCCCGCTTAGTCAGGCTGTTCGGCGATTCGGGGTTCTGCAGGCGGGGAGCAGAGCAGAGGAGGTCGCCGTGGAAGAGAATGGTAGATAATCGCCGTTGATTGATCCCCCGATGTCCCGATTGCTGGTTGGATTACTGGACTGATGTGCAGAATGGCGGGGTACTTGACCCCTGGTCGGACTACCGGACTACTGCAGGGGCTGGCTACTGTCACTAAAGTAAATATCCGATTCAATGCAGGTACCGATGCAGCCTGCATATCATAAGTCTTAAAAATACTGCATTCCAGCAGATCTATCGTAATCATGTCTACATTATCGGTCTATCGTCATCACAGCTTCCCCCGTCCCACCGGACAACACGGCTGCTCCGGATGCAGCGTCGACTTGTTAAACGCCTGCGTCGACGGCGGCACATCCAGTGCCGGGTTCTTCGTGAAGAAGCCATCCGGCTTCAACATCACGCTGACGCGCTCGACCGGCATGACGGGGAAGTCTTCAATGCGGGGGTTATGCGTCAGGCCGAAGGCTGTTCATCCCGTCAGCGGAATTCTGCAATCAACAAGGATAACTTACTATGCCACAGCACCAGATCCTCATTCTCGACTGCATCGTTCCGCAGCACCCACTTGTCCAGCCCCTCGCTCTGCTTGCTCTGGTTGGTGAACTCGCCTCCGGCGTATAACTCATCGTCTTGGTACTTAGTCACCCAGATGGGCTTGGTCGCGAAGCCGGCGCGCTTCGCCCCGTACGATTTCGGACTGGCGAGGAGCATCTGGCTCGGCGAGGTCTGCAACTTGTACGCGACGGGCTTGTACGTGATGGGATTGATGCAGGCGTCGTTGCGGATCTTGAACACGCGGTGGCGCGGGATGCTGGTGTCTGCGGAGCCGCTGGTACGGAGGACGGTCTGTTCGGTCGTGTAGCCGACCAGGTAGGGGTTGTTGTCGTCGTCGGGCAGGGGCACGCTGTCTTCGTAGTAGACGGTGTTTTTGTGGCCGTCCACCGCGGGGTCCATCCGGAACGAGAACATGTGTTGGTGGTAGGGCGCCATCACGCCCGGTCCGACGTTCGTGCCCCATGGCACCGTGGTGCCGGGCTTCTCGTTGTCGAAGGGCACCGTCGAGAGGATGCCGGTGGCGCGGACCTCTAGCTCGATGTTGGCGGCTTGGTCGAAGATGAACGCGAAGATGTATTCGTAGTTGGCCACGGTGCAGATCATCTGGATCACGAGCTGGCGGTTGCGCACGACCGTCGCGGCTCCGCTGCGGTAGTTGGTGTGTTTGTGCTGCAGGCCGTTGTCTTGCTCGTGCAGGCAGATGATGTTTTTGAGGAGCACCGGCGTGCCCTTTGAGTCGGTTCGGTAGCCGTCGAAGTACTTGATGTGTCCGAGACAGTCGCAGCCCAGCGCCAGTTGGTTGGCGGTGATCCCGAAGCCGACGTCTCCCACGTCGAAGGCTTGTTTGCGGTGGAAGGGCGCGCGGGGGTCTGCTGGTCAGTATGGACAGAATGAAATAGATGGTAGATATGGACAGGATGAGACGAAGATTGTGAAGAGTAGAGGGGTGGGAGGAGTGGATGGACAGTGTCGGGCATGAAGATCAAACAGGAACACGACATACCACCATACGGCACCGTCATCTCCGACACCGACAGTCGGTAGAACACATTCCGTCCATCATAAGTCAGGTTATAGATAACCAGACCCTCACGGCTATTCGAACCAACATGGAAGCGCCACTTCTGCCAAGTAACGACATTATCCTGGACCCTGAACGACGGCCCCTCGGGCTGCTGAACGATATACGGCTTGAGATCAGTGCGGAGCGGCTCATCCAGCAGATCGTGCGCGTATTGGATAGTTTTGACCGGCTTCCACGGCTGCGTGTCAGTCGTCGTGGCATCAACCCCACTAGGCAGGTAGTCCATACGGACCAGCTCGCGGGTGATAGCATTGAACACGGGCGAAAACTTGCACGGGACGGAATAGTGGTTGTTCTGGGGATGATCCGTCGCGACAATGTACATGTAACACTGGAACAACCGGCGGGTTTCCTCGGGGTCATCCGTGCCGTAGATCCACGGGTCGTTGCAGACGGTCACCCCCGCGGGGAGCTGCAGCTTGGCCACCTCCGCCTGCACGGCCGGGTGACTGAGACACAGCTGCTCGATCTCGATCAATTCGTCCGAGTCGACGGGGCCCTGCAGGATCAGCGTCAGCCCGGTGCACCTGCCACTGCGCCACACGTGATCCGTCGTCCTACCTGGATCTCCTTGGGCAGCTCCTTGGCGGAGATGACGGATTTCGTCCCCGCATTGAGCAGCGCCTTGAAGAAGGCCCCCGTGTCCTGGCGATGGAACAGCACCTGGAGCAGACGGGAGGGTCGCGCGGGCAGGGGCTGGCCCAGTCGCTCGGCCTCGATGTAGGGCACGACCTCGCGCTTCAGGGGCTCCTGCACGTCGATCTTCTTGTAGCGCAGGGGCACGCGGGGGAAGGCGGCCTCCAGGATCTTGGTGGCCAGGACAATTTCGGGGGGGGAGATGGGGTCAAAGGGGTGGGGGGGGTGGGAGGCCATGATGAGGGTAATGATTGAGTGAGTGAACGACTGGCTGAATGCCGGGCGGGTTATAGACTTATAAGCAGACCAGACCAGACCGTCTTTCGGCTGCTGGCAGATAATACCATCCGCATCGGGCCTGAGGCTGCTGGGCCCCCCATTGGTGTCGGCATCTTGGCGGGGCTTGATTGGCCCGCGATACCGACCCAGCGTATCTCCTGCCGGGTTGGGACTAGCGGGGGGTCTCTTATCTGGCGGACAGCCAAACAAGACAAACACTACTATAACTCTGGGTGAACGTTCCTGGGTGCCTGAGGCACGAAGCTCAGAAGCTCAACTGGGACAAACAAGCAAAAGTCCTGATTCATGATTCATCAACTCATCCCTCATCAGATAACCAGCACAACTACCACACCATAAATACCGACACCCCCAGAATCCCACACGTCGCCACCACCGTCGCCACCACCGCGCCCACCCGATCCTTCGTCGTGATGGGCCGCAGATCTCGCGGGTCCCGCGACGAGTCCGATGTCTCAGTGCCGGCTGCCCCATCGCCCGGGCTGGAGCCGCCGGTGTTGAATGTCAGAGGCCCGGCCACCGCCTCGACCAGGTTCGCCTGCACCGCTTCCAGCGCCGCCATCTGCTGGCCCACCCCCGTCGTGCCGTCATACCTCCCCGTCGTCCATTGCATCCCGCAGTAGGTCCCTGTACTTCCCCCCACGCACTGCGCCGCTGCTGCCTTGGCCGTCGCCCGCAGCCGGGTCATGATCGTATCGCGGGTGAACGGCGCCAGCTTGACCGTGTCCGCCATCCAGCGCACCAGGTAGGCCTTGAACGAGAACTGGTCGGTCTGGCAGGAGGCGATGGGCTCGCAGGCCGCCTCGTACAGCACGTCCTTATATGCCTCCTGGGTCGACAGAAAGGTGCTCTGCGACCGGAGCAAACCGTTGACGCGCTCGCTCCAATGGTTCTCCCCGTTTGTCTGCCACGCCAGTCAGTCCAACATCCCGCATGGATACCCCCCGGAGGGACCCTACATAGTTCCACATATGCGCCGCCCCCAGCAGAAACACCCCATTATTATACGTCCACTCGATGTGATTGAGGTCGGTACAGTTATTCTCCTCGCTCGTCCCATCGAACACATGGTACTCGGGTCCGATGAGTCCCACCGCCGACGCCCAGTCCCACACCTTGTCCGCCCACTCCGCGTACGTATCGTTGCCAGTATACCGAGCCAGACGGGCGGCGATGTTGAAGAAGCAGCCGTTGGAGATGGCGTTGCGGTAGGTATAGCCGCTGTTGAACGTGTAGATCTGCCACTTCAGCCCGCCGCCGCATTTCTGGGTGTCCCATCGCGCCGCCTGCTCGTTGAAGACCGCCTGCACCAGCGCCAGCCACGACGGCTGTTCGGAGGGCGGGTTGGGGAAGTTATTCTCGGCCGCACGCATCGCAGTAAAGGCCCAGAATGCCTGGTCGTCGTTGCCCTCGGTGCGCGTCTGGTTCGCCGGCATGAAGTCGCGGTTGGGGCCGGCTTGGTGCAGGATCGCTTGCGAGGTCAGATCGTTGTAGGTGCTGTCGCCGGTGTAGGCCCAGTAGTTGACCAGCGTGCCGAAGAACGCGCCCGCCTCCCACCAGTAGTACGGGTCGGGCAGGTTGCCGGGCACATCGCCGGTGCGGTTGCCGGTGTAGAAGCTGACCAGGTCCCAGGCGAGATCGCTCGCGACGGTTTTGATGTTCTCTGTGGTTGGTTAGTAAGTAGGGGCCGGTAAACAAGCCCATTGCGACACGCTCAAGTGCAAACGCGCCAGGACAACTCACGCGAATCCTGGAGATCGAGCTCGATCGCGGCGGCCTGGAAGCAAGGGAGCGACCAGACCATGCAGGCCAGGAGGAGTCGCCACAGGCGCGGCTGTTGTGGGGTTGACATCTTAAGATCTTGCCATGGGTTGTGCGAGTGGAAGTGGAACAGTAGACAGAATGATGGAGGAGGAAGAGAGAACCGGGGGAGGCGAAATAAAATAGGCCTTCATGCTGGCAGTGAATGGCTGCACTGCCGGGTTGTAAATAACCACCCTGCTGCTGGGACCCAAAACAGCATCTGCAAGGGTCGGCGGATATTGTAAGGATCGGATTATTGGTTCTTGAGGCTGTGCTTGAGATTTCAGGATGGTTGCAGGGTGTGGTGAAATAAGGTCTGGTATTTAGAGTCGCTATGTAGTGGTTGGTATTCCTGGCTTCGGAATCACCCATCTATATACTATAGATATAGATATTCTAGTCAAGGTAGAGAATAGTACCATGTTCTGCTCTCCTGGAAGTTAATATACTATAAATAACTTAATAAACATTCTTTGTTCCCATAAAATTCCCCAGAAGGAACCTACTTTCTGCACTTGAAAGAAAGTCAGCAGCAATTTTTTTTTTTTTTTTTTGTTTTTCAAAAAGAAAAGAAAACATTTCGCTAAACTGTAGTAGTGACATATTTCTACCACTTTTTAGAAAGACCCTGATGGAAGTTCTTCTTCTGCGGCAATAGTATTTTTCTTCCAGCACTTCTCCTTTCTTCAACTTCCAGCACTCCTGCAGCCTAGACTGACCACATTGAACCCTCCCCCCCCCCCAAAAACAGTCCTCTAGATATTATACATTCCATTATGCATCCATCCTCAGCTCCACCGATGTTATCTGGTTTATCTCCCTCTAACTATCTGCGGGGTCGATGACTCAGCGCCCATTGCGGGGTTTGTTGTATCTCCTCTATTTACCCATTGACCCATTGAACCCCTCTTCTCTCCAACTCCCTCTTGTTGCAGCATCCGATCGAAAGGCGGACGCGGACTATGGCGTGGCTCTTCTGGTCATCGTCATCATGGAAAGCTCCCACCGCCCCAAGCGAACCAGCAATGCGTACGTCTCCCTCTCTCCGCCGCATCATCACTGACACCCCCGCAGCTGCCAACGCTGTCGCTCCCGTAAGGTCAAGTGCTCCGGTTCCCAGCCCTGCGACAAATGCTGCCAGCGTCGCGAGGACTGCGTCTTCGAGGAGGACCGCAAGATTGTCGTTTCCGAAGAGTACGTATGGCCCACCAGCATGCATCGGACACTTCTAACTGGACAGACTCTTCTTATCCCTGAAGCGCAAGGTTGAGGCTTTGGAGAGCCAGAGCTCGTCCTCGGCGGTCAAACGACGCCGCACCTTGACCATCCCCAGTATCAATGACTCCAGCTTCGGTAAGACATCGCCCGTGTCGTCCATTCATCTCTGATCGCAAAGAACACCCACCCGAACCACAAGAAGCGACCCCCGATCCCACCGAGAGCACGCGATACGACGATCGGTTTGCCTCCAACCCTCTCGTCTCCCCAGCCGGATACGTCAAGCACACAGGACCGCAACCGCGAACATGGTGTATGTGAAATCCTCGGGGGCTGAGCACCGACTGATGCCGATTGTGGACAGTGTTTCTCGGTCCCACGTCGACGTGGTCCTTCAGCCGGCGCGTCCTCAACATCGTCCAGGCCCAGATCTCCCCAGACAGCTCGCAACCCATCCCTCTCGCGGTCGACGGCGACGCTTACCAAGTCCAGTGGCGCCATGCCAGCTCCGACGAACACCCCGATATCAGCGGACTGCCATCCCTGGAGCACGCGCTGTACATGGTCAGCACCGTGCAGTTCCACTTCAGCCACCTGTACCGGCTGTTCGACGAGGAGGATTTCCTCCATCATCTTTATGAATTCTACGATGACGCCGCGACAAAGGTGCAGGAGTCGCGTCTGTGGTACGTGCAGTTCCTTGTGATACTCGCGTTCGGGGAGGCGTTCCTCGACCCGCTGCGCAAGGCACCCAACACAGCCAGCTGGACCAGATACTTCTCGAGAGCGATGTCGCTGCTTCCGGATATCACAGGGCTGTGGCAGAATCCCACCCTGGCTATCGAGGTGCTTGCGCTAATTGCGCTGTACTTTCACTCGGTGGACATGAGAGACACCGCATACTGCTATGTGAGATCTGCCGTGGCATAGCAATTTATCTCGGATCGCTAACGAAATAGATCGGGCACTCAATGAGGATGGCCCTGGTCGAGGGCTTTCATCGCGCCCAGCCCGTGGAGCAGCTAGGACAGAAGTTAGTAAACAGGTGGAGCAACATCTGGTGGACGGTATATATTCTCGACCGGCAGTTCTCGTCGCTGATCGGGTCGCCAAACTCGGTAAGAGACGACGAGATCACATCCTTCCTATGGGACCCTCAAACCTGCTCTCAGAACGAGGCTGCTTTAGGCCTCCACGTCAAGATCACGCAGGTTATCTCCCGCGTCCTAAACAGTAAGTCCCTCCCCCACCACTCGACCTCACTAACAGCCCGAAGCGGTATACAGCGCCGACGGCACACTCGGGGGGGCCTTCCTGCGCAAAGTCCGGTCGGTCCTGCACGAAGTGACCACTCTGTCGCGGGAACTGGACGAGGTGTTCTCGCACCGCTTCGCCAGTTCAGTAGACGCCCTCTCAGGGGTCACCACTCGTCTGATCCTCTCATGCCATTTGGTATGTTCGCCCCCTATCATCAATGACGATACTCATAAGCGCTAGTGTATCATCGTCACCACGCGACCGCTCGTGCTGAGCCTCCTCTGGGAGCGTCTGAGCTGTTTCGAAGCCGGCACTGAGTTCCGCACGCTTTCTCCCCCAGTCCAGGCGCTGCTTCAGGCCTGCACCGATTCCGCCCTCAAATCCTTGAAAATCCTGACTGCGCTCCGCGACCAAAGGCTCCTAGGTCCGCCCCCTTTGGAATATATAGCAAAATCCATTGAAAGAAAGAAAAAGTAAAAATCGCCCCCCTAACATGACGCATAGAAACCTTCCTCCCATTTGACCTTGAAACTCTCTTCTCCTCCGGCTTCATCCTCTCCCTAGTGTCTGCCATCCTCCCGGACACCGTCCCCGACCCCAGCCACCGCGACACAAGCTACAGCCTCCTCAACGCGATGATCGACCGCGGCAACCGCGTCGCGCAGCTCCGCAAATCCGAGATCGAGCTGCTCGAGGACCTGATCCAGCCGCTAGTCCAGCGACAGACAGGGCCCCGGTATCATCGCCTGACGCCGGCGCGCGTCTCCGATCTGCCCGAAACAGGGGGCGCGGGGGCCGGGCTTCCGCCCCCACCGGTTCTCTCGGAGGAGGATGACCTGCCGCTTGATTGGCGGGGGTTTGGGCTGTCGCTGGACTGCATGATCAGTGCGACGGATTTGTTGAGTACGGAGCATTTGGTGTTGGATGCGGAGAGGGGAGGGGAGGATTTGTGGTTGTGGGATAGCTAGGTTGGCATTGCATGGAGTATGTTGGTTTGGTATGTGGATGCCTTTATTGGGGTTGCTTGCTGTTACTGTTGGTAGGGCTGGGAAGGAGGAGCTGGGAGTTACAACCGGGTTGTTGATGAGAGATCAAGTCAGAGGATAGATAGTATTGCATAACATCGCATCACCCATGGCCCCTTCACTGTAGAAAACTGAACTAGAGTGCAAACCCATCCACCACTACTATAAATAGACCCCAGCGCCACGATCGGAATCTCACGTCCAGTCCTGGCCAGTCCCATCTTCCCCGTCTCAAACTGCGACTCCACCATCATCCCGATCTAATATCCCTCAAGTGTCACCATCAACCTCAAGATATCATAGAGACCGAAGAGCCAACACCCCCGCCCCGCCTCGCCCTGGCCTATTTATATCCCGCGATCCAGCGCTTAATTAAGTATACCTCTCCGCAACCATGACACAATCCTGTAGCCCTGTTCAAGAACAATCTCCCTCCCCTCCTACTGATACAAGCTGTGATTAGGTAGGTATCTTCAGCATTAACGGAAAGTTTTCTTTCTTTTGCTGCGCTCTATCTATTAAATCAAGTACCAGTATCTTGTTATGGAGATAGGATATAATCCTGGTGACCCGGTGGGGTATCGGTAATCCTGCCACTTTCTATCTATAATGGGGATGGATTGGTGGTGATAGTATGGCATAGCGTAGCACTATAAATACATACATACACACAAACCTACTTAGGTAGGTAGGGTAGGTAGGTAACTACTACGAGTTACTCCGTAGATACCTTAGGTAGGGAGATACAATACCTTACCTTACTACATACATACATACATACTAGTCTCCATCCCACAGCCCAGCCCAGCCCAGCCCAGCCCAGCGCAAATATGAAATACCATTTGAACCAACTGTCTTTCTTTCTTATGTGGTATCTATCTATCTATCTATCTATCTATCTATCTATCTATCCATCCCTCCTTCCGTCCGTCCATCCATCTAGATAGATATATGGATAGATAGCAGTAAGACTACAGTGTAATAGGAAGAACTGAACAGCGCAGAGCGGGGGATATATAGATTCCCCATGTGTACTTAAATATATGTGTACGATGTATTGTGTAGTGTGGCGCTAACAGGCGCCATGTGAAACATCTGGTTGTCTAGGATTTATGTACCGTGGAATAATTAAAACTTGCTTGCATTGCTATTTGTGTGGGGTGTGTATGTGGATGTGTGTGGGGATTGATGGTGAGGTATCTATCTACCTACCTGCTTACCTAGGTGTGAGTGAGGTGTTGATGGGTGGATGGATAGATGGTGGGAGGTTTATTCCGGTGCGCTGTACAGAGTACTACTCCAGAGCATCTAGGTAGTTGTTTGCAGTGGGGATAGGATGAGAGTGGGATAGGTGATAGGTGGGGATTGGATTGGGTAGGGCTACAGGTAAATTATAAGTAACAGTGCAGACTGCAGAGAGCCTGAGAGGGGGGGGGGGGTGAATATGATTGATTGTGTTGGTTGGAGGGTTGGTTGATGTGTCAGGGTTAGTGTCGCTGTCGGTGTCACAGTTGCAGATGGATGTAGAGAGTGAGACTGAGAGGGATGAAGTGAGATGAGATCATTAGGTTTATTACTCTCTACGGTGTAGTTTTTATCCCTTTTTCTTTTCTTTTCTTTTCTTTTCTTTTTTAATTCTCTCTCTCTTCTTTCTTTCCTTTTTTTGGAGTTTTGTTTCATTTTTTCGAAGCTATCATGTCCTAACCCAGGCTGAAGGAATTTTTTTACAAGGATGTCCAGTGTTCACACATGCATGTTTGACAACTGGAGTGGCTTCTTAATTTTATTTTATTTTATTTTTTCGTTTTCTTTTTTTCTTTTTTTTTTTCCCAGGCAAACCAAACACCTCGGAAAACCCCAACCCGAGTCCTCCCCTCCGCGGCAGTCCTCCGTACCTGCATCCGGGTCTCGGCCAGGAACCGCCAGGCTGGGCAGCCCGCTGAGCCCAGGGCATACGCACCACCCAGGCTGGGCGCGTTGACTTTTCTCCCCTTCCGTACGGTACCTACCTGAGCGAAGCCATGGGAGGGGGCGGCGGCAAGAAATAAGGTGATCTCGCGAACCTTGGATTCGTAAGCGGCAAACCTGGGAACAGCCACTAGCTAGCTGGCCTTGGGTTAGCCGTTAGATAGATCCTGGTGACTGGTTGTGGTGGTGGTGTGGCATACGTAAGTGAGGCCCCACTGCAGGCGCCCGTCGGGTTGGCGGCCCTAATCCGGGGGCTTTGGCCGGGAGGAGAAAGGAAGGTTCCGAATGATGACGGGGAGAGTGACGGTGTGTCTGAGGGCGATGAAGATACGACACTTCTGCAGACAGTGCTGAGGGCAGTCTGCCGATCGAGCACAGGATTATTGCCCATCCACACGTGGTGTTGTTGATCGATCTGGACGACGACCAGCAAAGAAAGGAGTTGCACGGCTAACCCGCGCTAGCCGATGCTTAACTCCGCCCGTCCCACCGGCCGGCTTTGGTTTCTGCCTGGACACTACACCGATCGAGTCTAGATAGATAGACTAGATGCCTCAAAATGGCCGAATTGGACCATCGGGCTAGTAACTACTAACTAGATAACTAACTGACTGGCTGTTAAGACAGACTTTGCTTGCCCCGCCCCACCAACACCACTCCAACCATCCAACCATTCCCATTCAACCAACATCTCGCCGCCGTGGCGTCCCGGAGTCAGGAACAGGAATGCTGCCATTCGTCCGAGCAACCTGGCTGGCCAGTGGCCAGTGGCCATGGCCAGAACACATGGCGCAAAAGATCCGTGCCGCTGCAACACGATAGGCGGGCGACAGTGCGCCTTTCCCCTGCTCGCCATCCAGCGCCGGCGTGACGACGCAAGGGGCGGGCTTACGTAGGAGCGCTGGCATGCCAGACTCGTCTGGTGCGTGCCTGGTGGGTGGAGCACGTCAACAAACAACATTGGCTGCGAGGCGAGGAGAGGAGGAGTAGTAGAGGAGTATAACCTGCCCCTCCTGCAGGCGAGGGAGGCGGGAGGCAGACTGTCAGAGGGATCGCGTCGTGGTCTGCGTTTCAGCCTGCCTGCCCTAACCGGGGCTATCGATTCGGCCTCCCTCGACTAGTCGTCGACCCGGACCATGGCCACGCTGTCGCTGTCGCTGCTCCTGCTCCAAGCCTCCAATGCTGACGATTGCTGAGTCTGTTTGCTCCACAGGCTAGACGACCAGACTGGACCCAGCCCAACAGGGGCCGTCGACTAGTCGCCGGACTAATCGTCGTATATCCTATATACAGTCCAGCCCGGCCACCGTCGCCCGCCCCTCTCCTGCCACCATCTCCCTCCTTACCTGCATCTCCAGTCATTCCTTTGGACCCTGCGATCCCGAGCCGCAGAGCGCTGCTCGTCCCTCCTTTCGACCGCCGTCCAGTCCGCGGATGCAGATTGACTTGACATCTGATTGATTTGTAACTTCACCCACCACCATGCAGTGGAAATCCCTCCTTCTGTGCATCGCCGTGGCCGAGTCGGCCCTGGCTCGCACCCACGGCCACCAGCGCCGCGAGCACTCGCACGGCCATGACAACGCCCACCTGGCCGCCCGCGGGGTTGTCACCGTCGTCACCGTCGAGCACGTCACCCTGACCACCACCGTCTACGGCGCCCCTCCCACCACCACCACCACCACCACCGCGGCCCCCACCACCACCGAGGACTCCTCCGCCGCCTTCGTGGAAATCGACGCCAACGAGGACATCCAGATCAGCGCCAGCCTCAGCCTGTCCCTTGGCCTGGGACTGGGCGAGACCACCACCCACACGAGCACCCACACGCACGTCGAGACAAGCACCCACACCCAAACCCACCACTCCACCTCCACCTCCACCAGCACATCCACTAGCACGCACCACACCAGCACGGCCACCGTCGCGTCCAGCAGCGCGTCCGCGACCGCCTCCTCCTCCTCCAGCAGCAGCGACTGGGCCTCCACTCTGTCCAGCGGCGACTACAGCACGGCGGGCTTCGGCGCGGTAACGACCTCCAGCGGAAGCGGGATCGAATACAGCGGCAACGTCGGCAGCCCATGGGGCAGCAACATCATTGAGGTGTCGGCCTCGTCCGCGTCATCCTACAAATACGTCATCCAGATCAAGGGCAGCAACACGGAGGACTGGTTCGTCAGCTTCTGGAACAAGATCGGCCCCGATGGCGGCATGAACGGCTGGTACGGCTACTCGGCGCTGAACTTCTCGCTCGCGGCCGGCGAGACCCGCTACGTTGCCTTCGACGAGGACTCGCAGGGTGGATGGGGCGCCGCCAAGGGCGACTCCCTCCCCACCGACGACTACGGCGGTTATTCGTGCACCTGGGGTGAGTTCGACTTCGGCGACACCGAGAATGAGTCCTGGTCGGGTTGGGATGTTAGTGCCATTCAGGCGCAGGAGGCCGATCAGACCGTTCAGGGTATGCGTATTTGCGAGTACGAGGATAAGCAGTGCTCGTATATCACTTCGGGGGCTGGGGAGGTGGTTAATGCGTATACTTCTTCCGAGGCCTCGGTTGATGGTATTGGGGGGACGTTGTCGGCTGGTCCCGTGAGGTTGACGGTGGAGGTGGATTATAGTTAGTTAGTTGGTTGGTTGGGCTAGATGGCTAGGTTCGGTTGGAGGGGGTGTATATTTTGTTTATTTGTGGGGGTGACAGGCTCTGAGGGGCCCTGTTTTTTTTTTTTTTTCTTTTCTTCTTCTTGTTCTCTTCTCTTCTCCTCTTTCTTTCTCGCTGTATATATATAGGATTGGCTGGGTGAATGAATGGGGTCGGTGTACATAGTACATAGTACTATATATATGCGTCGCGAGTGAATTAAAGACTGCGAGATAGAAGATCTTGTTGATTGGATCCTGATCGGTTGGGGGTTTATCTATCCATATCTTTCTATATCGATCAGTGTCGGTGTCTGTCAGTGCCAGAGTGGGGAGGTTCTTGTGGCTGATCATCAGAGCAGAGGCACGGTAGCCTATTTCATACTTATTATTACTTTACTTCACCTTACTCAATACGATATGATATCATCTTTCATTTTCTCACCACCTCGGGATTCAATCCTTAACAGTCTAGTCAGTGGCCAGTAGTCAGTGCCCCCCCCATCCCTCGCTCCATCCGATCTCATCTTATCTTCACGGCTCACGCGTGTCTGTCTGTCTGTCTGTCTTACTTTGAAACCGGCCCGGGCGGCGGGCGCTGATCAACCGCTCTGCTCCACCATTCAATTTGCAATTTAGGTAGGATATGCTATCTATCTAGTATCTGCTGCTGGCACCTGCTGGGACGATCCGGATCGACACCGTGGTGGATTCAATTCGATGCCAATATTATGTATCTGTATCTGTACTGTATGATACCGGGTCGTGACTTGCAATATGGTATGGTATGGTATGGTATGGTATCTATCTGACATTTCGGCCAGAAGATTTTTTTTATCTACCTAGATGCTAGATGGGATGATGAATAGGGATGTTTGTTTCTGTCTGATGTTTGTGTCTGTGTGTGTGGTGTGGTTAGGTAGGTTACTTACCTACTTACTATACCTACTTACCTTGTACGGCATAAGGTAGGTAATCAATACAACCACACATATCTAGGTCCTGATCCAAGCCGCGTTTTCCATCTTCAGGTTCATGGTTCACGAAGCGCAGTGTGGAATTATCCGGGGTGGTTTTGCTTGCGCGTTATGGTATACCTTACAATTATAATGCTGGAGTGGGTGACTGTTACTCCTTTTTGGGACTCCTGGAATGTATCCGGACGGAGTCTTATAGTAATTTAGTATAACTAGCAAATTTTACCTACGTACAAGTTTGCTGCGCAATGCGGGGCTTCCCGTATCTACCTTACTATAGTACTCCGTACTGTACTCTGTAATGTCTGTCATAAAACCACGTCACAGGCTGCATGGTGCGTTATGCTGTGCTCATCCTGAGTCATCACTATGCAACGCACCCTCCCCTCGCTTTCTGTCTGTTCATCCTGTTCTTGCCATCTCTTCAACCTCCGATCGGACACCCAATGCCGCCAGGATGGATCAGGCTCCAGGGGCCCCGGTTGTCCCAAGGTCACCCCTTTCAATGCACCCCTGCCAGACTGGCCTGTCCCAGGACAGCCGCGCGAGCACACGGCTACCTTGCATCCAACCCAACTCCCCGCAGACCAGTCGGTCGCGATGATCGTCCGAGGGCCTCCCCGCCACTACGCACTCTCTTCACACACGCCTTACCCCCCATTCTCGTACCCCCAACCATCTTCCTCGGCCTGCTCTTCGCCCTGTGGACATGGAAATGCTTCTGGATCGTCGCCATGCAGGAGAAACTTCTGTACCTGACGTGGCTGCCGCCCTTTGCACGTTCCGAGAAAATTGCCGACTACAAGGCCGAATGCGGGCCCGTGCAGTGGCAGGAAATGCGAATACGGAGCCTCGATGGCACCCCGTTGGCGTTATGCGAAGGCCGGATCACCGGTGACACGGCACCCATGCCTCGCACGGGGAAGAAGTCGTCCGTGGTCATTTGCTATTTTCAAGGCAACGGCGGGTCGACCCCCATGCGCTTGCCGCTGCTCTCGCAAACTCTCCGCGCGATTGATGCGTCCGCAACTCTTGCCTCTTCGTCGCACCCCCCCAGAGAGGTCTGCTACACCGTGGTCGCTTTATCCTATCGCGGATACTGGTCATCCTCGGGTCACCCCACACAGTCCGGCATCGAGCGCGACGTTCAAGCTTTCTTGGACTGGGTCGTGGAAACCTATGCAGCACCCGAAACCGATCTCCGGATAATTCTCTGGGGTCACAGTCTCGGCTCTGCAATTGCCAGCACCGGTCTCGCGTCGTATCTTTCTCGCTCCGGAGATGGGCCGATTGCGGGGTTGGTCCTCGAGGCGCCGACGTCCAGTGTCAAGGATATGCTGATCAATCTGTATCCCCAGAAATGGTTGCCATATCGGTACCTGTGGCCATTCTTGCGCAGCCACTGGGACAGTACGATGGCCATGGAACGGATGGCTTATTGGGGGCATCGGAGCGATGCGAAGCATGGCCGAGAGAGGAGCAATGGTGACGGTTTGGTGGTGCGCCCCACGTCCGGAGCTCAGCTCCCAAGCCCCGTCACGCCTAGATTCATCCCCCCGATTCTTATCTTGTCGGCAGAGAAGGATGAAGTGATCCCACCGCATGCAGCGAATGACCTGGAGACCGCAGGGCGGAGTTTGGGGTTGGATATCACTAGGAAGCAGGTGCTCGGCGCGATGCACACGGAGGCATCAGTCAAAGCGGAGGGTAAAAGGGCGCTCGTGGATTTTATTCTTCGGTGTTCGTTCGCGCAATCTGCTGTGTCGCCAAAAAAAGGAGGTCTTGAAGATCCTGCAAGCCATGCGTGATTTTAGTACAGAACATTCCAGATTTATTCTTTATGCAGGAAAAGGGTTGTGAGAGTGTCTTCTGCCGCGACAAGGAAAAGCTCTACCCATTGATTGGACTGCTGTTGACGAACATGCAACTCATTAGTTATCTTGTTGATGAGCTCTCGAAACCTGTGCCGCAACTTATGAGCACTTCAGCTCGATGATTGCTTGTCCCGAAAGCCCACCCTTTCCCAGAGTGGATGCAGGTGTCGTGGTTCTCGGATGAGGGGGTCATCGTCTGCATCTTACTTCTTGTGTCCTTGCGATGTTTGGTGTGGCTGACGGGCTGTGTTACATACTGGGTCGCTTCGTTTGCATCTCTCAGATCCACACCCTCAACCTCTCCTCACCCTTCTTTTCCAAGTCTTCCATCTCCCGCAAGCTCCTCATCCTCAAGTACAGTGTTTGAGATTCATAAATCATACAGTCGACGCTAAGGACATTATCATCATGAAATGTGGAAATGGCTCAAAGCTGAGGTTTGTCGCCGTCGACCTAGGTGTCCAGAAACTGGCACAGAGTTAGGCCACGCAGAGCCACAGGGTGCTGCCCATGTCCATGCAAGGCCTGGTCTCAACCAGTGCTGCTTCGCACGACAGCCCCGATGATCCCGACCCCGACGTCGATGAAGGAACGGATCCCTCACTCTCCACCCATCGAGCGACGTCCGATCATGAGGAAAGCCTGGATGGGATTGTCACGCGAAAGCTGTCAGCTGCAGCTCTGAAAGATGTCATCTACAACAAACTCCTCAGTGGCTGTCAAAACATGTAAGACCTTTGACACTGTTCCCATCCATCGCACCCTAACAAACGCAACAGGTTCCAGTGGGTAGTCCTCCAGATCGCTGAAATTTAACGATGTGAAACGGAAGATGCTGTACATTCCGTTCTAGCCCAACTTTCCCGTGGGCTGGAAAGTCCGTATACAAAGATTATATACAGCGAAATTCAGTCTTGGACAGCTGTGCGCTTGAGCATTAAGGGGGATACGATAAATCTGGGTAACGGTGTTAGCGAAGAATCGATACTGGTATTATGTCAGAACCTTATTCTCCTTGACCCTCGCGAACATGTGTGGAAATTATCACATCGCTCGGTGGGGGACTTCTTTGAGAAAAAGGTGTGGAGCACGGGGGGAGAGGGAGCGCTACTGCGGGGAACTAAGCAACGATAATAGTAAGGCCTACACTCTGTACGTACGCTCTCTGCCATGCTGCATAACTGATTCGATTTTTATTAGGATACACACATACACCGCTCAGAAGCAACGACAACCCTTCCCAAACAACCGAAGACAATCAACGCAAACTCATCCCCCGTCTCCCCGTCTTGTCTCATCGCGAAGCCCTTCTATCCACTCACGCCCTTGACAATTCCGCACATCCCATTGGACATCTGGATCGTCGACGCGCTCGAATGCACTGAGGCGGACGCATAGGTGCTCGCGGAGCAGGAGGTGGTCCCAATCAGGTAGCAGTACTTGACGGAGGAGGTGACGGCATTATAGTAGGACATGGCGCAGGTATCGGACTGCATGCAGCTGACGCAGCAGTCGTAGGCCGACGCCGTGTTCCCCACCGTCAGTTTCTCGCCCGGCACGCTGCTGAAGGTGATGTAGTAGATGTATTCGCCGGCGAAGCTGCCGAAGTCGGACGAGAGGGGCGCGGAGGCGATGTTGTTGGTCGCGCATGCGGCGTACATGGAGGTTGAGCTGGTGGCGGAGATGGTCGAGGTTGAGGTCACGGTTGTGGTGAGGGGGGCGGCGGTCGTGGTGGAGGTGAGGGTGGAGGTCGTGGTGGTGGTGACGACGGAGGAGATGGTCGTTGGGACCGCCGTGCTGGTTGTCGTCAGCGTGCTGGTCGTCGTCAGGGTTGTGGTGGCCCCGGCCGCTGTCTGCGTGAGAGCGCTGGCCGTCACGGTCGCGATGATCGTGCTCTGCACCATCGTTGTTTCCGTGCATTCCACGGCTTGCGGGTATTGGTAGTCGTCTAGCAGGGGCGCGCAGTCGGTGTCGGTGTCTGCTGCGCGGGAGCGTTTGGCGTGTACGGCCGTGGGGAGCGTGTCCATGATGGGGGTGAAGCCGGCGGGCGCGGCGATGGTGGAGGTCGAGGTGATGGTCGTGGACAGGGTAACGACGGCGGTGCTGGTGATGAGGTCCGGGGCCAGAGTCACGGTCTGGGTGTCGATCTCGGTCGACGTGGTGGTGAGGATGTCGGTGATGGCGTCCGCCGTCGTGGTCAGCGTGATGGTCTCATATGCCGTGGTCCAGGCGGTCGACACGGCGGGTGTGACGGTGACCGTGGGCTGGGTGGTGGAGGTGATCCGGACGGCTTCCTCCTCGACGGTCTGGGTGACGGTGGTGGTCGGCACCGGACCGGCCAGAGAGCTGGTGCCAACCTGCGTCGAGCAGCTGGTCGACGTCAGAGTCACAGTGTCCGCGCATGCCTGGCCCAGGAGCAGGCCGGCCAGGAGGGTGAGGACGCCAATGGAGGAGGAGGAGGGCATGGTGTCTGCGTCTGCGAAGAGGACAGAGGGCAGGTCAGTGGCTGGAGAAGAGAAACGGAGGGGGATCGAATGCCCCCTGGGGGATTTAAATATGGCGAGACCCCTCCAGAGTACCAGGTCGGCTATTGTATCCCCAGGAATTAGGGTTGCGAGTGGGAGCGGGCCAATCTCCCGTTCGGGTTAACCACCGCAACCACAGCACCCCATGCAGCGATCGTACCTGAGTCGCGCGTGGCACTATTGATTGTTTCTCAGCTGCGCTTCGTATTTCCCCGCCATGGGGTGAAAATAGCCGACATGACATCCCTTAAAAGCCCTACCCTGATTCTCCCCCTCCTCCCCGGGGAAAACTTCTTCGCTCCTTTCTCTGCACCGCATCGCATGTCTCTCGTTTGATCACACTCGTTTCACTGCAGCCTCCCTCTGCAGCCATGATGGGTCTATCGTGGGCTCGGGGTTGGATCCTCGCAGTCCTCCTGCTGCAATGGAGCATTGTGCTGGCCGTCCGGGCGCCCAGCGAGTCGTCCACGTCGGGACATCACCACTGGACGCATGTCCCTCGATCGCTGCCCGTTCGCACCGCGTGCACTTCATCGGTGGCTGTACCATCCAGCTCCAGCTCAGCCCTGATTCACTCCGCGACCAACTCCCGTGGGACTGTGCCACTCCCTTCGCAGTCCCTTATCCGCGCCAGCTCGTCGCTGCCTTCGTCCAGCGCGAGGGTATCGCACCCCTGGACTTACACCTCGAGGCCGCTCCCTCATCGCCACAACTGCACGGCGCATTACTCGACGCCCGTCCCCAGCTCTTCCCGGGTCGCGTCCGCGTCCGCGTCCAGTTCCATTCCTTACATCCGGCCCACCCGCAGCTCGTCCGTCGTGACCGTTCCGTCTGGCAGACCCTCTCCGATCCCGTCCTCTGTGCCTTATAGCCGGCCCGCACCTAGCTCGTCCGCGGTGGCTTCATCGGCGCCGGCTATCTCGTCGGTCCCGATCGCTTCCTCCCATCTGTCTTCGTCCAGGCCTACGAGGAGCTCTTCTCTGGTCTCTGTGCCCAGCTCAATTCGTGCCCCACCCAGTGGTGTACCGGTGTCTCGTAATGCAACCCGGCCTTACTCGTCGACCTCGGGGAAGCCTTCTGTGGTGGTGGCGACCTTCACCTCCCCGTCTTCTGAAGCAACGTTTCCTTCGGAACATTCGAGCTCTGCTTCTCAGTCCGCGGCAACGTTGCCCTCAGGACACTCGGTTTCCCTGTCTCAGTCCGCGCCCAGGACCACCAATCCGGCATCTCTCGCAACGTCAACGCAGGCCATCACGATTGGAGGATCGTCTGCACCTCAGTTGACGACTTCCACGATCCTGACCACTCGCACCGCAACAATCACCGCCTGTCCCTCCAGTGTGACCAACTGCCCTGCCCGGTCCAAGACAACGTATCTCACCACCGAGACAATCGTCGTGTCCACGACTATCTGCCCTGTCACGGCAACCGAAACGTCTGGTCCTACGTCCGTGACATCTGCTGCGGAGACCGGTATTGCTTCAGACAGCAGCCCCAGGCTCACGACTTCCACGATCCTGACCACCCGCACCGCAACCATCACTGCCTGCCCGTCCAGCGTGACCAACTGCCCTGCACGGTCCAAGACCACCTACCTCACCACCGAAACCATCGTCGTCTCCACGACCGTATGCCCGATCACCGAAGCCGACACAAATCCCGCGACGACAACTGCAGCACCAGTGCAGACAGCCGCCGACGCAGCCGGCAACGGAAGTCCCAGCCTGACCACCTCCACCATCCTGACCACCCGCACCGCAACCATCACCGCCTGTCCCTCCAGCGTGACCAACTGCCCTGCGCGGTCCAAGACCACCTACCTCACCACCGAAACCATCGTCGTCTCCACGACCATCTGCCCCGTCACCGAGACCCAGTCCTCCGGCGCCCAGACAACCCCATCCGCACAGCAGCCCACCGACAGCGCCAACCCCCGTCTCACCACTTCAACCATCTTCACCACCCGGATCTCCACAACCACCGCATGCCCTTCTTCCCAATCCACCTGTCTCCCACAGTCCAAGACCACTTTCCTCACCACCGAAACCCTCGTCGCCTCCACCACCGTCTACCCACTTCCAGTCTCTGAACCTTCAGGCTCAGACACACCCTCCACCCTGGCTTCATCTCCATCTCCATCTCTCCCTCTCCCTCTCACCACCGCCCCCGGTGCATCCAACAACGTTTACTCCCTCTCCACTGCGTCTGTCCTGACCACCCGCATCGCTACCGTTACGGCTTGTCCCCGGGATTCTCCTGGCTGTGGCCCCTCCGACATGTCCACTTTCGTTTCCACCGAGACGTGGCTCGTCCCGACTACTGTTACGGTCACTGTGGCTGGTTCGGGGATTACGCCCTCGGCTGTGGTGGGCGGCGGCGTGGCGTCTACGGCGACTGCTGCCTCTGGGGAGGTTTCTGCGTCCAAGGGATCGGGGGATAGCGGAGATGACTCTGGTTCTGGGGCTGAGGGATCGGGTGGATCTGAAGGTGCCTCAGGTGCCTCAGGTTCCTCAGGCTCGTTAGGTTCCTCAGGCTCGTCAGGTTCCTCAGGCTCGTCTGGCTCCTCAGGCTCGTCTGGCTCCTCAGGCTCGTCTGGCTCCTCAGGCTCGTCTGGCTCCTCAGGCTCGTCTGGCTCCTCAGGCTCGTTAGGTTCCTCAGGCTCGTCGGCGCCCTCAGGCTCGTCGGCGTCCTCAGGCTCGTCGGCGTCCTCAGGTTTCTCAGGTTCCTCAGGCTCGTCGGCGTCCTCAGGCTCCTCAGGTTCCTCAGGCTCGTCGGCGTCCTCAGGCTCCTCAGGTTCCTCAGGCTCGTCGGCGTCCTCAGGCTCATCGGCGTCCTCAGGCTCGTCCGGGTCATCAGACTCCTCCAGCACCACGGAAATCACAGGATCCGAATCAGCCGCCCAAAACCCCTCCGGCGCCAGCGCAGTCGACTCCAACCCTGAAGGAACCTCATCGGAAACCACCATCATAGCAGCCACCACTGCAACAGTCACTGCCTGCACCAACGGCCAAACATCCTGTCCCGCATCTCTCCGTCATACGTACACGACCATTGTCGCAATGCAGACGGGCTCTGGCTCTAGCTCGAGTTCAGGTTTGGGCTCTGGCTCTGGCTCGGGCTCTGGCTTGAGTAACTCCGCGACCGAGAATATGGGCTCCCAGCCTTTCGGATCCGGGTCTTATAGAATCGGCGGTGGATACTCGAATTCGACAGCGACGTCCAGCTCGATGCGCTTCCAGGCTAGTCCTCAGTCGCTCAAGAGCAGCAGCAGTGTCTCGGCGTCGTCGGCGTCGTCGTCATCAACAGGGTCTGTGGCTTTTACGTCGACGGCACAGATGCCAGTGTTTACAGGCGGGGCGGCAGGGATGTCCATGATGATGGGCATGAAGGGGTTGGGTTTGGGGATGGCGGTTTTGCTGGGGTTGGTTTTGGTGTGATTGATATGTAGTTTTGTTTTGTGGGGAGGGGGGTGCTGTGATTTTGTGATAGTGTAGGTAATATTTTCTTTGATATTATATATTATATTTCTTTTTGTTGGTGTGTTTGTTGGTGGTTGTTTTGTTGTGCGGGAGGCTGTATTATATATACTTAAGCGTAGACTAGTTATCTGATGTTAGAGATACAGTATCATATCCACAGACCTATTTACTATCACTCTGAAGTATCTCTCATGTTTTGTAAATCAACAGTAAGTTATATTTTGGATTCCACTAAGATATAATTCTATAGCAAACCACCGCCTCAAAGCTTAGCCCGATATAGCTGTACCACATCCACCTCCAATCCCTGTCCTACTAACTTCTTCATTCCAGACCAAGCCAGAAGAAAAGAGAATCCTTATCTTGTGTTTCTGATTGGTAGACGCGCATCTATATATATTTCTGGGGTACCCTTCTTCGATCTGAGAACAACAATCTGGTATTCTGTGTGATGTCTTGAGTACCCCATAAACATACTTCCTATGTACCAGAGCGGTAGATCAGATCGCACACCAATCTGAGTCTGACTGACACTGACAGGCAATCCCAATCCCAACTCCCAGCCTAAGTGGGCTGTGGTTGTGGTTGTGGTTGTGGTTGTGGTCAGTCCCGCTCCGACCGCCGGCCGCGTTCCCAATGCGGCCCGGCCAGCCATCGCCATCGGCGCTATTCGGTGCTTATCGCCGCTATTCCCGCCACGCTGCAGCAGATCAGATGGATGGCAGTTGGGAATAGGGGGTTCTGTGGTGCTGTGGTGCATGTTCTGGCAAGCAGTGGGTGCTGATGAGATTTCTCTCGGCACGGTAAAGCCTTGCAGTAACTTTTTTTTTTTTTTTTAACATCCTTCAACATCCTACCTATTATTATTATCTATTTATCTACCTACCTACCAACAAGCCTGCTGTTAAAATTCAACACTCCCACCCACCCAGCAACAACTTACTACTTATCAAACCAACCCACACCCACAATTAATTTCCAAAAAAGAAGAAAAGAAAAAAAAAAATGAACCACCTCCCCCCACCCCTGGAATCCCTCCTCGGCCGACTCCTCCGCTCCCAACGCGCCCACGACCCCAAACTCCTCACACGCCTCAGCCCAACCATCCACTCCCTCCCGCCCACGCTCACCGTGACCTCGCCCATCGGGCCCTCCCCTCCCCGCTGCCGACCGAATACACGCCCCTCGGCGCGAACCGCTTCCCGCCCATCGCCTGGTCCCTCCCCGCCACGGTCGCCCCGGAGCAGGTGCACAGTTATTTGCTGATCGTGGAGGATCCCGACGCGCCGGTCCCGAAGCCCATTGTGCATGGGCTGTTTTATGGCATTCCGGCGGGGAGAGGCGGGGTGCCGGTGGCGGTGGAGGGGGGGGATTTTGAGTTGGATGGAAATGGGGAGGGGGTGGCAGGGAGGTTGTTGAAGGGTGGGTTTCGTGTCGGTGTGAATTGGCATCGGAATGTGTGGAGTGGGCCGAGGCCTGTGTTGGGGCATGGGGTGCATCGGTATTTCTTTCAGGTTGTGGCGTTGGGGGGGGAGATTGCTGGTGCTGGTGGGGATGGGGATGGGGATGGGGTTGCAGGAGGGGGAAAGGCGCTGGGGAAGGAAGAGATCTTGGAGAGGTTGGCGGGTTGTGGGGTTGTTGCTTGGGGGGAGTGGGTGGGGACGTTTGAGAGGAAGTGATGCTTTAGATGGGGTGGGGGGGGGGGGTTATGGTAATGGATGGAGCGGCGGTTTTGGAGGGTGGGAATGGCTATAGAGGGCATACTAATTGTTTTTTATTTTTTTGAAGGATAGATAGTAAGGGTTAGTTAATTTCTATATAGAGCTGGTATTTCTGGAATAGCACACTATATAATCGCATAGATTCATCAAATATGTGCAGTCAATATGTACATGATCTAAAATATCCCATGTAAGCCATCCAAACCATAACTAGATCTGCTCTATCTCTACACCCTCTTCACCACCAACACCACCCCCTGCATCGCCCCCTTAATCTTCTCCTCCCCCTTCTTGACCCCCGCCTCCTGCAACAACCGCTCAATCGCCCGCCGACATCTCCGCACATAATCCTCCTCCGTCCCCACCGTCTCGGGATGCGCCTCCCGCCACCTCGTCACCGGACTAATCGTGCTCACGATACTCTCATACCGATCCATCCCCACCTGAGGCAACTCATCGTGGAAACTCTCCCCGACATCCCACTCCCTGCGCACAAACCCCCGCTCGGGAAACTCCTCGACCGGCTTCTCCAACTGCCACGGCAACACCAACCCCTCATACCTCGACCGCACGAGCACATTGCCAGGAACAAAGTACGGCTTCAGCTCGGTATCCTGCATCTCATCCAGGGTGGTCTGAATCTTCGCTGCATTCGGCATGGACGGATGAAACCGCAGCTCGCCCGTCGTCCACACAATCACACTACCCCCAGGCTTGAGCACCCGCGCCGCGCTGGCCCAGAACTGGTCCATGTCGAACCAGTGCGCCGCGTTCGCCGCCGTGATCAGGTCCACGCTGTGCGCGCCCACCGCGGGCGACAGAGACGCCCCCAGGTCTTCGGCGCTGCAGACCTCGTATCGGATCCCTTCGGAGGTCCCGGTCACCCCACCTTGCGCCCGCGCTGCTTCCACCATCCCCGGGGACGGGTCCAGTCCGATCGCGTGTCGGAAATGTGGCGCGAGAGCCCGCGCCACGTTGCCTGGTCCGCATCCCAGGTCGATTATCGTGTCTAGCTGTCCGCCTGTCGAGGTGTGGTGCTCGAGCACCGCGGCGTAGAGGTTCGCGTGGTAGTCTGGGCGGCCGTGCGCGTAGGCTTGCGCTTGCGCTTGGTTGTAGGCTAGGAAGGTCTGTTCGGCTTTGAATGCCGTGGGAGGGGTGGTTTGGGCCATGGTGGGGGTGGTGGTTGAGAGAGGGTAGAATGGGAGGGAGACAGAGAGGGAGGAAGAGGGCAAGGGAAGGGGGAGGGGGAGATGCCCCGCGGGGTGGCGAGGTATTTATGGGGCCGTCTTGCCGTGTCCGTGTCCGTGTTCCTGTGCACACTGCAATAACTAGAGTCCCCTACCGCCCAACAGACCATCGCCCCCTTCGGGCACCACCCGAAAACTTCAAAATTGTGCATATTTATAAAATTATAATTTTATTATATTTTTTTGTTATTTTTTAATAAAATAATCAAAAATTTAATTAGGCCAATCTGTTTAATAATTATATATAATTAATAAGATAAAATAAATATAAATATTCTAATAATACTGCAAGTTAGAATTCTTAATAATATTCTATAAGAAATTATTAATTTATAATAATTCTGAAGATAGAAATACAGTTTTATATTATTTAATTAAGCTATTAAACTATAAAATACTTACTATAGAAATTAAAGACTTGTAGATATTCTAGTTTAATAATAAGAAAAAATTATATAGTCTTTTAACAGTCTTATTCTTTTATTATATTATATTAATTATAATCTATTAAAACAGCCACCGCGCAGATGTTATAGATAATTAAAATAATATTATTATTATAAATATTACAGATATTATAGATAATTAAAATAATATTATTATTATAAATATTATAAATAATTAAAATAGTATTATTACCTGCGCAGATATAGATATATATAAATTAAAATATAATATAAAAAACAGAGATATTGAAATAATTAAAAAAGATTTTTTAATTTTAAATTAAGATATTTAAGCTATTATTTTATCTCTAAATATCTAAATCTTAAAAAAAGACTTTAACTATAATTTCTAATTTTTTTTATTTTATTTTTTTTTATATATAATTAAGAACTTTTCTTAAGAAGACTTTATTGAACTTTCACTTTCTTATACAAATTTGATACAAAAGTGAGATAAAAATAAGAGAAAGATAAGAGAAATAAAAAATAAGAAGAATAGAGTGGCTAACAGCCAGGTCAGATTAGGTTAATTAGAATTTTTATATCTAACCGCCAGATTATAATCAGATTAAGAAAATTTTTATATCTGACTATAATATAGCTAAAAATTAGATAATTAATTATTTTAATTATTCTTAGTATTAAAATCTATTTACTATATTTTTTTAAGCTCTAGTATAATTAAAATATATTTAAATTAAATAATTATTAATCTAATTATTTTATTATTATCTAAAAATATATAAAAAGAAGCTTTTTAAATTAAAAAAATATAATTAAGAAAGAAATTAGTATTTTTTTTATTATTATTTATTAAAAATAATAAGAAAATCTTAGTTATATTAATAAAATTTAGCTTTTTATAAAATTATTATTCTTATAATAAAAAATATATATAAAAATATATAATTACTGCTCTGTTTTAGTTATATATTTTAATTATATTATAAAATACTAGAAAAACTATATATTAATTATTAATTAAAATATTAAGAATAAATAGATTATTTTTATTTTACTATTTCTTCTAGATTAAACTATTTTTAGATTTATAAATAAAATATAGCTTAAAGAGCTATTAATAAAATTAAAAATTAATAAATAATTAAAAAAATTATAAATAATTAGATTATTAGAATAGAGTAGATTAAATAAATTAAATAAATTAAATAAATTAAATAAATTAAATAAGTAGAATAAATAAATAAAATATATTAGATTTATATTATAATATTATAGCTCTTATAAAAGATTCTGTAAAAATCTTTTATAAATCTTTTTTATAAATATTTATTTTTTATTCTAGTCTATTATATTTTAAGCAGCTCTATTTAAAAAAAGAGATTATTTTATAATTTTAGACTCTAAATATAAATTTCTATTTATTAAATTTATTAAAATAAATAAAATATAGCAGGCATCTCAGCTATATATTAAAATATAATAAATTATATTTATATAAAATTATATTTTAAAATAAAATAAATTATCTTTATAGAGTTTTCTGTTTTTATTTTTTTATATTTATTATTTATAAAATAATTTTAGAATTATAAATTAATTATAATTATTTAATTTATTTTTAGAGAATATTATTAAGTCTTTTTTTTTATTTCTTAAATTTTTATAAATTATAATAATATCTAAACTAAGATAAGCTTCTTAAATCAGATCTTTTCTTTTTTTTTAAATCTTAAGATTATATATATTATAAGAAATTAGAAAATTATTTTATATTTAGTTTTTTAAAAAAAGCTCTCTATTTTTTAGAATTAATAACAGAAGATAATCTTTTCTAAAGATTATATATAAACTAAAAAATTATTATTTTATTTTAATTAAAAAAAATTATTAATAATATAAAACAGCTTTTAAAAAAATATATTATTTTTTAATAAAATTTTTTATATCTATTATATTATATATTTTTATATCTTATAATATCTAAAAATTAAAAATTTAAGAACTAGTTCTATAAGTTATTATCTCTATAAGAATTATAAAAAAAAATTATTATTAATTATATCTAAATAAATAATTAGTCAGATACTGAGTAAAGAGTTGTTATAGATAATTATTTATTTTTTTAAGATAAATCTTTTTTAATTATTATTTTTCTCTAGATTTCTATAGTTTATAATAAATAGAATTTTTAAAATTAAATTTTATATTTTATAATTATTTATTATCTACTGTTCTGAATTATTAAATATATTTAATTTAAATAAATAATTAATCTTGCTGTTTTATCTCTCTATTAAAAATTAAGTTTTTTTAATTAAATATAAATTAAAGAATATTTTATAAAATTATTTAAAAAAATATATATATAGCTGCTATTAAAGTTTTTAAATATTAAATAAATATTAATTATAATAGACTACTGAATCAGCCCTGATCAGAAAATATTTTTTAATTTAATTAAATATTTTTTAATAAAAGATATAAACTATTATAAAATTTTACTAGATTTCTAATTAATATCTAAATCTTATATTAATAAGAATCTAGCTATAATTATTTTATTAGTTTTATATAAATATAATCTTATCTATTAATTATTAGATATAATAATTAATAATATTAATAATAATAATATAATATTTAGTATAATCTCAGCTGAATTTTAAACTTAATTTAGTTAGAATATTTAGCTTTATAATATTCTAGTTAACTCTAATTTTTTAAAAATTATTTAAAGCTAGTATTATATTTTCTGTCTTATTTATATAATTTAATTTATAATTAATATTCTTCTGCAAAAATTTTAGATTAAGATCTTAAATAATATTATTAAATATATATAAAAAAATAATAATAAAAGTCTTAAAGTCTTTTTTAATATTTTAAAAATTTTTAAAAAAATATATTCTAGAAATTATTTATAAAAAATTAATATAAAATTTTTTTTATAAAAAGTTTTTAAAAATCTTTTATTAACTAGTTTATTATATTAATTCTTAATTATAAATTCAGAAGATTATATAATTTATAAATATAAATTTTTAATATTATAAAAAATTCTTATTTATTTAATAACTTAAATCTAGCTTAGTCTATTATCTTTTTTTTAACTATAAAACTTACTGGAACTTAATCTATCTTATAATTTATTAAATACTTAAATTTTATTAAATAATTAAAAGTTTTATTTAGTACTGTAAGTATATTAATATTAATTATTTTTATTTTATTATAATAAAGTAAAAATAAATAGAATATTTTTTTAAATTTTTATATTTTTTTTTTATTTTCTATCTCTCTAAGAATAATAAGCCTATTATTTATAAAATTTATAATATTTATAATAATTTTTTTAATTATCTGGATTATTTAATTAACAGATTAAAAAAAAAATAAATATTTTAAAAAAAGAAGATTCTTAAGAACTTATATAATATATATTAAAAGCTCTGAAAATATTATTATTATATTTATTAAATAAAAGATTATATTTATATAATTATAATTATTCTAAATCTAATATTAAAACTTAAGAAGTTTAAGAAAGATATATAGCTAAATAAAAATATTAACTAATATTATAAATATTAAATTATTTTTAAAAAAATATTCTCTTTTTATTTTAATTAAAATTTAATAATTAATATATTATTAATAGTCTCTAGATTATTATTAGATTTAAATAAGATTTTTTATAATATTTCTAAATATCAGAGATCCTTATCTGTAGTTAAGATATATAAAAAACTTAAGATATATCTAGATATTAAAAATATATAGCTTCTTAAAATATTTTTAATTAAATTAATATAATTTCAAATATTATAAAATATATTAATATTCTTATTTATTAAAAATTTTATTATAATTAATTTTTTATTCTCTATTAGATAGCTAGAGATTTTCTTTTAATTATAATTAATAATATTAATATTAAATATCTTTTTAATAATTCTTAAGATATCTGCTACTATCGCTGAAGCTGTCTTAATCTTAATATAATTAAAATAATTATACTTTAAATATATACTGATTATTTTATTATAAATAAGAAATATTAGAATATATTTAATAATCTTAATTTAGATTTAATTATTTTTATACTTAAAAAATAAAAAAAGAATAAAATAATTATTATTTTTTATATTAGTAAGAATAAAAATATAAATAATTTTAAAAATAATCTAGAAAATAAATTATTATTAGAATTAAAAAAATTAATCTTATTTAAGTCTTTAATTATTATATATATTTAAATAGAGATAGAGATTTAATTTTTATAATTTTTATATTATTATAATTATTATCCTGAATAATATAAAAAATAAATATTTTATATTTTTTTTTATTTTTTTTATACTAGATTCTATAAAAGTTTTTTTTAAAATATAATATATTTCTTAAAATAATTAATTAAGCAGATTAAGTAGTAGACTATATCTAAAAAATATTATTATATCTATATTATAATTAAATATATATTATATTTTATATATTATCTATATAAGAAAAATATATATATTATAAATTAATCTATAGTTATTAATTTATTTATTATATCTAATCTTTC